TTAAAATGTAATTTTAGACACTAAAACAGTACTGTGACTACATTTCAATCATCTGTTCAGGACTCTCCAATGTGAAAAGGTAAAGTCCCCGTAGTAGAGGCGAGATAGAAAATATTAATGTATATATTAACCCTTTACGAACCCCCCCGTTATGAACCCTCCCTAGACTGTATCGCCCTTTCCCACACAGTTATATTCACAGTAGAGTTGTAGAATGGATTTAAATACACAGAGGTTAGCCCTCAGCTACAGGAGGGAATGCAAGGTAGTGGTGAGACCGGTGAAGCCCCGGACGGAGGGGTGGGCAGTTGGAGTTATCTGTTCCTCTCCTTCTATTAGTAAGAGCCAGGATCAAGGAGAGAGGAGAGTGAACAGAGGAGAGATACTGGCCAAGACGGAGGGACCGTATATGAAGGCCAGGTTAAAGGCTGTTAACTGTCATCTGTGTCAGCGTCTTGGTTTGGACTTGGTAACAGTAGTGTGAGAAAATGATCAGAGGAGTTTACGAGGCATCGTAAGACGTTAGATTAGGGTCAACCAAACACCAGAGCACTAACTTTACAGCAACGGACTGTAGAGGAGGACAGACAAGGGAAGAGAATGAAGAGATGAATGAGCCAATCAGAGTGAGAAACAGAAGAATGAATGCTATGCACTATCCCGTCAGGTAAACCAAATTTGTGTGAAATTTGCTCTGAAAATATCAATTACCGCTAATTATGAATAAACATAAACAATAGTAGTCTATCTGCTTAATATTAAATTTGTTTTGACCTACTTTTTTTTAACTAAAATTAACTACACACTCGGCTATGACAGTGTTTTGCATCATGTGCAGCTACGCAATATCACAGCCATGATTTCTGAAAATATATTAACATGTCAATTAGTGACATCAACACAAGAACTGTTGGGGAATTTTTAAATAATGGTTTTCATTAAAATAATTCAGAAACCATCATTTCGCTGTGCGTATGTTCTCACACAGAGCGAGGCCGAACACAGTTCTAATAAATTAAACTGAAGTCATGATAATCCATCGGTGACTTGAACCTCTCTCCTGACCCATAATCACAGTGAGAGACAGATCTATTTTCTTAAAAAGTTTTAATTTAGTGACTGCTGATCATGGACGTTGATTTATGTTAATGCAATGTGTTTATTTATTTACCAGAATGCGTTGCATTCAGGATATAAAACGAAATATACAATTGCTTTATTTACTTGACAAAATACAAATACACTGTATATGTATATACATATATATATATTTCTCCTTCCCCTTGTGTTAGGGTCGGCACCGACCCGTTTTAAATGCATAAAAGAATCACTTTCAATTTGTTTATTGCATCAAGGCATTTTGACTTTGGCCAATTTCTGGATTATGTTTTTGGTGAAAATGAGGGAGAGTTTTTGTTACATATATTTCTACTAACACTGATATTTTTAAACTATACTTCTGAGGGTGGATTTGTGAGGACAGACAGAAATGAACACCTGATGACTCCAAACACACACATACACACACACACACACACACACACACACTCAAAGCAGCAGCGACAGAGGGACAACGATGGGGGGGCAGAGATGAAGAAACATCAGAGCTGAATCAGACTCTAACCCAGTTCCTCTTCAGTGAAGCAGGTTAAAAAACATAAAAGAAAAAGAGTTCTTTGTAGAGATTTAAAGAACAACGGATGGACTACACCAACATTTCAACATCATGACGGTGAGTCTGAGCTGCTAGATGAAAGGGTAACAAAAGTGGAGCAGGTGAAGATGAAGGACAAACGTTTTTATTATAATTTATTAACAACAAAATGTATTTTTTGTTAAATTAGAATAGGGTTACATCAATAAAGATGTAACCTATATATATATACATTTATAGGTTACATCAAAATCTATAGATGTATATATATATATATATCATTTCTTATACTACTTTATATAAAAGATGAAAGAAACATGTCTTCATTCAGTATAATTGGACAATTATTTTGATGTATCATGAAATGAGGTGAATGTTTTAATAATTTCAGGTTTTATCTTTTTAGTTCTGTGAAAAAACAGATCGTTAACATCATTTACAAGATATAAATATACTTGTTACACTTTAACACACACAAACACACACACAGAGAGAGAGCGAGAGAGAGAGAGAGAGAGAGCAGGTGCGAGGAAGATAGATGTCTGGATGAAATCCTTTACATGGAAATAGATCAGTGTGTGTGACAAACATCAACTCGATGACTGACATAATCTTTGTGTGTGTGCGTGTGTGTGTTTACGTAACTATGGCTGCAAATCCTGCAACTCTGGATTCTTGTCATCATTTCAGTGAAACATCTGCACAGCTGCAGTGTGTGTTTGTCTGTTGTTCCACACCATTATGTTTGGTGTTTGATCTTAAATCAATGACCTGCACTCACATGAAGTGAACTAACCATCTGTTCATTAAAACCCTGGATATTTACCTGTGATATTTTCTTACACAAGATTGTTCTCTAAAGGTTAATTTCATATTTTATTCATTTTCTTCCTCCATGGTTTCCTTTTCTTAGATTTTCTTATCGCTGATTTATTTTTCTGTGTATGTGTGTGTGTGTGTGTGTGTGTGTGTGTGTGTGCAAACGTTCCATGTCCAGGCAGCTACAAAGCTTTTGGACGAGCTATGTCTCCTATCCGCGCAGTCCCTGCCTCTGATGGACACATCGGAGCATTTTCAGGTCCTGAAGCTTCTAGGAGAAGGTTCTTATGGAAGAGTGATGCTGGTCCTTCACAGGAAGAATGGTGAGAGAGTGGGTGAGACAGTGGGTGAGTGACATCCAGCATCTGTTCAACACACGCATGCAGGTCAAACACACTTTCTGGTTCCTCTGGTCCCTCAGGTTCACCAATGGCACTGAAGTTCTTCCCTCGTGAGTCCACTCGTCTCCTCTCCTTCTTGCAGGAGTACAACTTCTCTCTGTCCTTCTGTTCTCACCCATCCCTCACTAGAGCTCTGGGAATCGTCTACTCCACACCTTCTCACTACATATTCGCTCAGCAGGCCAGTCTCTTTGGTGACCTCTACGACCTGATCCAGCCTGAGGTTAACCCCTGTTCCATTAATGTTTTACCTTGTTCCTCTGTTCATTTTCTGACATTTGTGTACTGTCCAGGTTGGCCTGGAGGAGGAGCTGTGTCAGCGAGTAGTGTCCCAGCTCTGTGGGGCCTTGTCTCATCTACATTCGCTGGGTTTTGTCCACAGAGACGTAAAACCAGAGAACATTTTCCTGTGTGATGCAACCTGTCACTGGGTAAAACTGGGAGACTTTGGAAAGGTCAGTTCAAGGTCAGGTGTTTTTCTGTTTCAATGTCTTCTGAGACTAAAGCTAAGACTTAGGATAAAGCTTTCACTAAAGCTGTTATAAAACAGACATCAGAGGGAGTGAGAGAGTGAGTGAGAGAGTCAGCAATCCTCGTTCAAAGACATGACCTTCTGACCTCTGGAGGAGACCAACTGGCAACACACTAAGAACTTTCTGATTCTTCTATTGTCCTAGGTCAAGGCCAGAGGAAGCACTGTTCCTGAAGTCTGGTACAGTTCTCCCTACTGCCCTCCTGAGGCTGAGGTTGCTCGAGGAAACCAAGACAGCTGGAGCGGTATGAACAGCAAGAACAATGGTGTTCTGAAGGATGACGAGACAAAAATGCAAAAGTCCAGAGTTTGGGTTTCAGTAGAACCTGGTACTGACAGCTGGGCCCTAGGAATCCTCACATATGCCATGTTGACTGGAACTCATCCCTGGGCTGAAACTGCCAGTGACTGCTGCTCATTTCTGAAATACAGAGAGTGGTTTGACAGAGTAAAAAAACAAGAAGAACCAAAGAAGAACACTCAGAGTTCTGTTGATCCAGTTGAAGGAGCAGTGGTGAAGAAGAGAATGGCTGCAGCTCCACAGTTCACCTGCTTCACTCCACTTGCCTGTTCCTTCTTCCAGTCACTGCTGGATCCCAGACCTCACATTCGTGGAGGACCTGAGGATGTTCTTCGATTCCTTGGTGGGGACTGGTTAATGGAGAAGGAGAAGATGAGGCTGGAGAAGGAGAGAAAGAGGAAACAGAAACAGCACTCTGAAGGAATTTAAATTTGAACCTTTTTTGTTGTTTTTCTTCACAAAACTTTGATGCTGAAAACAGTAAAATGAGAATTATTTTAGACACAAATGTTTTTCTTCACGACATTATTTTTTGAGGCTTTTGTGAACATCTTTTAAATAAACAGATTGGAGAACTAGCGAAGTCATAAAAATTCTTCATAAGTTTATTTTTGTCCAACACGTCAGTGTGAAAACTTCAACACGTCCTCGACTCACTTGCTTCAACTTCACTCAGACTTTTTTTAGAGTCATACATTGCCCAGTGTAAAATGTCAGTGTGGGATACAAAGTGTTCATGGACAGCAGCTGTGAACACACACAGAGAGAGAGAGAGAGAGACAGACTCAACTGCTAAATAAATGGTAAACTATTAATGACTGTGTTAAAGTATGACACACTGGCTGTTCATGTTTCAAACCTTTCCACAAAAAATCAAATTTTAGCACTTTCTGTGGGAAAGTCTGTGATTTCTCTTGTTTATATTACTTTTTGATCAGAGTTTCTGATCCAGTCAGTCAGTGGACGAGGGTTTCGGGTGTACCAGTAGAGGGCCTTAGTGAGTACACGCTGCTGAGAGGTGCCAATGTCTGGAGGTGAAGAATCCTGATATTCATCTGCTCATTTTTATGTTTTATTTCTCACATTTTAACATTAAAGTTTTCAAACTGTTTTTGACAATTAAAGTACCTAATTATGAATAACTTAAATTTAATGATTTATCACTAACCATAACAGTAAGAGAAATAAAAAAGGCAAAAAAAAAAAAAAAAAAAGATGGGTTGCTGGAAGTTTTCTGCAGAAGCTTATCTTCTGTAAAAAAAAAAAAAATAAATAACTGATGCATTAATGGACGGGTCAGTGGTCAGTGGGTCAGAGGTTTTGTTGGCCCAGTGTCAACAGGCTGCAGTTTGTGCCAACAGACTGTCTGGTCTACATGAAGTTGATCACAGAAGCAGCCTGTGACAGCCACTCACTCAGCCTCCAGAGAAACACATCACAAAGATACTTGTCAGCCTCCTAACCAGTTCATCAGATCTATATCAGCCTTAATCTGTCTGAATTTAGCCCAGAGACAGCGGAGCTTATCGATCTACTGCACAGTTTGTGTTTGTGTGGATTTACCTCAGTGACACAAACTTACTACAGACGGCAGCAGATGCTCCTGTGGACATTCTGTGGACTTTCAATGTGAGCTAAGATGATCATTCCTCTGAAAGACAGAGTGATGTCAGGAAGTACAGTGGGGGGTTCATCTATGTCTGTAGATTCATCAGCTTTTTTTTGTATGATCTGGGGGCAGAGGGATCTGGGGCTCAAGGGTCCACGAGCAATGGCTCTGGTCCAAAGTTTTGACCTTCATTTGATCTAATGAATGAACAGAATGTGTCTTGTTTGCCAGAACCATCGTGGTCGTAATGTTAACAGTCAGAGAGTTAACATTATGACCATGATGAGGATGAAATGCTTGTGCTACTGTTCAGGAGGTCAGGTTAATAAAAGTCTGGATTTATCAGTGATAAATGTTTGGCCAAACCCATGAAGTGTCTCATAGACATCTTGATGTCAGGACCATTCACCTCTACAACAAAATGTAGACATACCACGACAATGTCCAGAAACAAAAAGATGTTGATAAAAAAAAAAAAAATTTTAAGACCCCTGTCCAACTCTGCAAGTATTCTGTCCAAAATGTCTCTCAAAATGTCCTGATGTCAATCTTTGAAGAGCTGAAAACCATCACAACTCAACAATGTGAAAAAAAAAAACAAACATTATAAAGAACATACAATTTTTAACCCTAACCCAACTATTCAATGGTCCAACCATATGATCATTTGTCCTTTCCTTCTGTGCGTTTGTCAAACTATCTGTCCTACGAACTGTCCAACCTTTGCTCCATATCTCTAACCTTCTGTTGGAGTCATGTGACCTTCTGTATCATGTAACCTTGTTACTGCTCTTACAGGAGAACAACATGTTTGAATGATTATCTTTTCAACTTCAGCAGCAGATTTTAGTCTTTTCAGAAGAAAATTTTGAACTGATTTTAAACTGTTCTATTGCGTGTTGTTACATGTGTTTTTATTCTTCATGTGTTAAATATTGATAATGTTCTACCTTTAAAAAGAAACACAAAGAAAGAAAAACATAGACTTGCTTTGATCCTGAACAGAACAAAACATATATTAATCATATATTTATCAGAGAGAGTAAAACTCTATTTAGAGACAACTTTTTTTAAGAATCAAATTTTGGATTTAGAAAACTGTTTGAAGATGAAAATTCTTGTTCTGCTTATTTTCGGATTCTGTGCATTTTTTCCATGAATCTCTTCACACGCTCAGGGTCGACCTTGTTGGTCCAGTGACCGTCCTTCTTAAAATGAGAACCGATTATGATTCCACTGGCTTCAAGGTACTGATCCACGTTTATGAAGTCAACACCAGAACCGACCAGTACTGGGATTTTCACTGCCTGAGAAACTTCTGCAGAAAAGAGTAAAAGAAAAGTGAAATTGATGCAGTGATGTCAGTGGTGATGTCAGAGTTTAGTTCACAGTATAAAGTGACAAAAACGGTCTATTTAAAAATAAACATTCTACTGTAATGGTTCTGGAACATGAAAGTACAATCCACCAACACGGCTCTGCCTTGTTCAGCGAAACATAGTATACAAAGAAGAGAAATTATTTCCTTAAGAATACTAGAAAATAAACAAGTGTTTTGTACAATTGGGGATTATTTGGCAAAACAAATTAAATTCCTAACTACAGCCTAAGTACCACCAGTGGTACACATACCATTATATTAGAAACATTACTCTACTTTGTTGTTGTTGTTGTAGTGGCGCCCCTGCAGGTAGTAAAAGTGTGGGCCAGGGACCAACAGCTCCTGTGACCGTTGGTGCCCTGCGTGTCTGAGTGTTTGTTGTCTGATGATTCTTAAAATAACAGCCATGCTCCAGTTCAACAGAAACAGAGTCCAAAGCAGATAAACTGTGTGTGTGGTTCAAATCCCACGAGGGAAATAATCCACAACCATTTTTCTTCATCTTCATTTCTTCATAAGGAGATTAGAGATTAGCAATTCAGAGAAAACAATTGTGATTAGAGATTTAGAGGTCAGGAAGTGAAGTTAGGGTTAGAGTTAAGGAATTACAGATAAGGATAGGAAATCTAGATTATAAAATCAGGATTAGAGATGTTGATTACAGATAAGGATTTGGGATAAAGATAAGAAAATAAATGTATACATGTGTTTTGGTTTTGATGGTCATACCTCTGAGTTCACCAGGATCAGCCTCAGATCCAGTCCTCGACCCAGTGATGATGACTCCATCTGAGAGGAAGAACTCAGCAGCAAGAGCCGTTTCCACAACGTCAACATCTGAGGTCAGAGCATGGGAGCTGCACAAAAACACAGGTGAGTTCAGGCTGGAGCAACATGGAGATCAGCAGTGGCTCAAAGCCTGTGATTGGTGCCATCAGTCACCTGCAGACCTCAGTCCTACTTCCTGGTTTTTCCCTAGGCTGCACAGCTATTGGACCTGGTAGGAAAATTGACCCAAACCCTGCGCTTTGTTTGGGGTGTTCTACACGGGCTCAGGGACACTCAGAACATCATCACAGGCTCCTCTGACACATTTTTACAAATATGGAGGCTGTTTCCTCAATTAGCTTTTCTTCATTCCAGACTCATTTCATCTTATTTAATTTATTAATTTATTTTATAAATGCTGTACTCTAGACATCACAAGGATTTACACTATGTTGTAGTGGGATTGGTTGGAGATTCTTTTTGTTTTTCTTTTTGTTTTCCAGTTACAGTTTTCCATTTCTGATGACCTACATGACATTTTCTGAACAAATTTAAAAAATATTTAACACCAATTCAATCGTCATCAACATATTCAGTGTATTCACTGATCAAATGATGTTTAAAATGCTCCATATTTGGAAGATAATCCAGTTTAAAATGTTGCCGTAATTTAATGTTTAAGGTAAACCTGGAACAAGACACTGAACCTGTTTTATGTCCCAGGAAAGTAAAGTGAGTTGCAACTCACGTAATGACTGGGAATTCACAGGGAATTCTGTGTGTTCCTATGTTGTTTTGACCTCAGGTGACCTATAAGCTCACCTGTGCTTCTTCTTGATGTCAGTGAAGATCTGGATCTTCTCAGCTCCTATCTGTCTTCTGTATCGCAGGAGGTCTCCAGCACAGGCATTTAGAAAACCTTCATCAGCCACATGAGAGAAGACAAATCCCTCTGCTCGAATGAAGTCCAGGTCTGAGGGAAAAGAAAAAAATGCAAACGAGGGAAGAAAATGTCGAACTGACAAATTTAACTCCTGTATCAGACAATTTTCAATATTTTCTTCTTTGTTTTGTGTTGTTTATGTAAGATGTGTATTAACGACTTTACCTTGCTTTGTATTTATGGACTAATTATCTTAATAACCAAGTACGATTACAGATCCAGGATGATGTCATAGTGAGGTTACCATAAAGTCACCTTGAGGCCACTGTCACTAACCTGAAGCCAAAGCGACAGACAGTGCCCCCTTGTTGGCAGAGGACAGTATCTGGACACCCAGTGGTAGTAGTGGGCATGTCCGCCTTACTGCTGAGCACACAGCCGTCATGCACGTGTACACCTCAGGTCCCACTGTGAAGGAGTACGGGATGTCATGCATGTTCTCCACCATCAAACCGTCCTGAAATAAAAGGAGATCAGAGGAGGTGATGACCAACCCACACCTGACACACAAGGACAAAAATGTTGACACTTACAATGCCGGCATCACGATAAACCTCCGCCTCCTGGCACGCCTGCTCTATGATCTGTGAGATTTTCATTTGACTCAGAGGAGAACCTGCAGAGACAGAAAGTCCAAAAGTGATGAGTCATAGGTTTGAAGCAGAAATACACACGGTTAAAGTCAGTTTTTATGACTGATAAAGAGAAAAGACAGCAGAACAGGACTGACACTTTGATGACCGAACGAATGAATGAGTGAGTGAATGAGTGTACGTTACCTGGTAAAGCTTTGACGTGAATCATTCCGATCACCACAGAGTTCAGGCGACCAAAAAGTTCCATAAACTTCATGTTTGTGTGTAACCTACAGAGAATGACAGTTCTCTTCTGTGTAATCATGGAAGTCATGTGACTGGTCAAAGGTCACGGATGTGGCTCTTCTACAGCATACACAGTTCAGAACAACATGTCACACACACGTCTTTGTTTCACCAGAGACCTTTTTAAATTCTCACTGAGTTTCTTCCACAAGTCTATCAAGAATTGAGTCAATGAAAAAAAAAAAACAGGGCTCGAATAACTATTATTTTTTTGGTAAAGGTGCACTAGTGCACATAAAAAAATTACTTGCACCAAACAAAAATTGCTTGCATCAGCAAAATTACTGAGTCAGGCAAAAAACATTTTTTAACAAAATATGTTATACCTTTTATTGTGGTAAACTTGCGATGAGTTTGTGGGTCCAAATAAATTGACAAAAACAAAGACGTTCTACATGTAAAAATGTTAATGACAAATACAAATGTTGTTATAGGTATTTAAACAGCTGCAGCCGTGGGCCAAACATGACATCGCTATCGCTTTACTACAACGCGGCATACCCTACCGGATCACGTGCACGCTGTAATTGATGAAAGCAGCGTCTACATTTTCGGCCCCGCCCTCGGGCAGCGGTGGATTCTGGAACGCCTGGAATTCCAAGAAAAAGATAACACACTGGAAACTATTTTTTTCCCAATTTTATTTATTTTCAGCTCTTTATTTGATAATTCTACCGGTGGTACCAGTAGAAAAAGCTACTCGCACTGGTGCAAGTTGGGTACCAAACTAGTGCAAACTGGTGGTAATTTGAGCCCTGAAAAGTGACAATTTTAGCTAAATTTTAGACTTTTCACTTTTAATATGGAGAAAAATAAATATTTTTATATTTCATTAGATAACAAATTTAAGGCCAATTTTAGTTTTATCTTTTTTTAAAATCTTCTGGATGATAGTGGACAGAATCTAGTTCACACCTAGTACTGTTCACACCTAGTGTAGCATCCCCGGCTGAATGATGGTCATTCTCTTTAACTGATGGTTCAAACTAGTTTATTTTGTAGAACGTATCCAATCATGAACGCACCGTAAAAGCTATGAAAACATAACTTAAAGATTTACTAAATGAAATATTGTATCTTATAACTGTTCCTTTCAATCAAACGCGTAGTTTTCACCATATCAAAGTGAACATAAAACACACAAACACATTTTGCTGCCTGTAACAGTGACCAAAAAATTAACTGCCTCCGTCTGCCGTAATCTGGACCAACACGATAGCTAGACCATCGCGCTAGCTAAAACACATCATAAAAGTTTAAACTATCAACAGCATCAACATTCAAACTACACAGTCAACATCACATAAAAAAGCAATACGAACAAACCTTGTGCCTGTATCAGCCAGGTGCTAATTAAACACATTTCTCTACTGTCTGTTACGTATTTTTGACCCACTTTTTCATGCCGATAAAAAGCGGATGTTTTCCTCTTTTTTTCCTTTCAGTGGGACGCTTTCAAAATAAAAGCCCTGACTTTAACGTCTACTATAATTAAAGAAATTGCCTTGACGAAATTCATGAATACACATAAGAACAACACAATCATAAAAAATGGATCTTCATACTTACGGTCATTTACACCTAGTACTCTTCATCCTTAATGAATAGTTGATTGTGAAATAATGAGCATCATCACCGCTGTGTATTATTTGAGTTAACAATTTACTTGTTTAATTAACTTATTTTAAAGTTATGAGCGCCCCTTGCAGGGCTGTGTGAAGCCATTGTTTCCTCTCATCTCGGATTTTTGTTTTTTCTTTGTCCAGACTGTGACAAAGTATGCATCTGAAAACGTGTCTGATGATGTTTGTGTTGGTATTAACAAATATCTATTGTATTTGTTATTTACTTCAAATGTTTCAATTGATATAATATATATTATTTTCTCGATACATTTTGATTTAAATGTGAGGTTTTTTTATAATTATATTTTAATTAATTAATTAATTAGTTCATTGCTTCCTACTCACTCTATGCCTCCACACTCACTTATCACTGACTTAAAAAGTGATGATGTAAATGAATGTCCAGTGATTAATCGAGTAAAATAATTTTATTATCTAATAATGTCAGAAAACTATATATGGATCCTGTTTCCTTAGAACACATAGCAGGAAAATAGAACAGAGCAAGTGTGCCACCTACTGGATACTACGTAATAACATATTCTGATAATGTAACCAAGTCTTTGTTTTGCTCTGTTTGTATAGAACAGTGACCAATGAAGCTGGTTTCTTAAGCAAAACTCTGCTCTAAAAACACAAACACACACACAAAAACAAGTTGCTGTTATATAACTAAATGATAATTTAATCATTTGAAATTCCTCTTTGGATTTTTATTTATAAAATAAAAATAATGGTAATATTTACTTACGTACGTACTTACGTACGGCCAGATGACCCAAACCCCTTAATTAAAATCCAAGATTGTCTTAGAGACATTCTGACATGGATGACCCAGAATTTTCTAATGCTTAACACAGAAAAAACTGAGGTCATAGTTTTAGGGCCTAAACATATAAGAGCACCATTGTCAAATCTAACTATAACCATAGGTAGTTCTACCCCAGTCCCCTGTGGTAAAGCAAGGAACCTGGGTGTCCTGTTTGATCAGGATTTATCACTACAAAAACATATTAACCAAACCTGTAGAACAGCCTTCTACCACCTACGTAACATTAAATCCATTAGAAAAATGTTATCACGACCAGATTCTGAAAAACTAATCCATGCCTTTATAACCTCCAGGCTGGATTATTGCAATTCGCTACTATCAGGATGTCCCAATAAGTCCTTAAGAAGCCTTCAACTGGTCCAGAATGCGGCAGCACGCATACTGACCGGAACTAGAAGACGAGAACATATAACCCCCGTCTTGGCTTCAATACACTGGCTCCCAGTAAAAAGTAGAATAGACTTTAAAATACTTTTAATCACATACAAGGCCCTAAATAATCAAGCCCCATTATACATTTGTGATTTAATTACCCCATACAAACCAAATAGATCACTGCGCTCCCAAAATTCGAATCTATTGGTCATCCCTAAAATAAATAAAAATAGAACGGGTGGTAGAACTTTTAGTTACCAGGCTCCTCTCCTGTGGAACCAGCTCCCACTCTCAGTAAGAGAGTCAGATTCTGTCTCGTCCTTTAAAGTGAGACTCAAAACCCATTTGTATAGTATAGCCTATAGCCTAAATTAGATTAAACATGCCCCGACTAGAACAGTCTAAAAAGATGCTGCTATAGGCCTAGACTGCTGGGGGGCATTGCATTTCATTTCATTTCACTTCATCTTGCACTTATAATGAGGACACAGACTCTACGGTCTTACTTTATTCTTCTGTCCTGTCCTATATTCATACCGACCACCATGTATACACTTAGGAAACTGGTCCCACTCTTTTACAGTTCTGCTGCCACCGGTGAACAGGAGGAGCACAGGACTACTGCCACTACCACTACTGCAGCTTTTTTTTCTTCATTGGTTTTTATGTATTTGTACAATGTATGTTCTGATAACATCTATTGCACGTCTGTCCGTCCAGGGAGTGGATCCGTCACCTGTGGTTCTCCCTAAGGTTTCTACCTTTCTCTTTTCTCCCTGTTGAAAGGGTTTCTCTTTCGGTAGTTTTTCCTTACCCTGGCTGACGGTCTAAGGACAGAGGATGTTACCAACCCTGTGAAGCCCCATGTGACAAACTGTATTTTGTAAATGTGGGCTATATAAATAAAATTTGATTTGATTTGATTTACGTTACTTGCTAAATGAAACACAATAAACTGTAAAGAATTGACGCGCAAGGATGACATGCAAATGCGTGAAGCATCCCTCATTTGTGGGTCCTGTGGTGTACCGGTTAGCACGCCTCCCTCGAAAGCAGAGAGGCAGTTCAATTCCCAGAGAAAACATCCTCAGCGCTTACTATGGGCAGCCTGTTAACAGCATATTTGCTGCTAACACAATAATTCTCCAAATATGGGATCAATGTAGTATAATTTTTTTTTAAGGAATCCGTGTAGCCCTTGTTAGGAATGTTTGCTTTAAGGCTGGGGTTTAGTCAATGAGGGGCTGTCATTAAATTTAGTTGATGCTTCCAAACTGGTCCTTTTTTTAAGTCGAATTATGAGAGAAAACACGCTGCAGTTTTGCAACTTTCTGTCCCTTTAACAGTAAAGGCGGTGGCGCGGAGACTGCAGCATCATCTTCCCTCCCAACATCCTGCAGACTGACGAAGACTAACGAAATATAACGAAGACTGACGAAGACCCGAGACCACCAGGAGAACATCGGGCACTTTCACAGCCGCGATGAGAGACTTTACATCGAACTCCAGTCAGGGAAGAACCAACATGACCTGCTGCCGGTTCTGCGTCTTCTTCTTTACGGCGTTCTTCATTATCGCTGAGAGGACGGCGTGTGAGGACATACACACACACTTACACGCACACACGCACACAAACACCAGTCGGTTATAAACTCAGTTGTTGTGTTTGTGGCGCTTAATGTTTCAGCCTTGTACTGCCGCGTGCATTACCTGCGCTGTGTTATGGGCTTTGTTTTGCGCGCGCACGTGCAGAGGAAGTCCCACTGATGACTTTCAGGTGTGTTACTTTTCATTTGGAACATCGCAGAGTGTGCGGGTACGCAGTGACGTAGTGGCGCAGTCACCATGACTCTGAGTCTGCCGCAGCTCCGTGCATGTGATGAAGGGCCTGACGCAGCAGAACTGCTACTGATGCAGACATGTTTTTAAATCAGCTGCATTATTTCACCTTCCCTCAAAAACTAAGCAGAAGGGTCTGGTCTGAATCCACGGAAGGTGGACAATTGGCTGGAACCCAACCGGTCCAGACAGCTGTCAGATGGAGAAGCAGGGTATGGTTTTAGGACCGCAAAGATGAGGATCTAAGCTCTGTGGTATAAGAGTTCTTAGTACTAGTACTAGTACCAGAGAGCTGAACTCTAGTATTTGTGGTAAAACAAAAACATATATTACACTAAAACGGATGAGTGTAATATCTGTGTGCAGCAGTAAAAATAATGTCAAAGAATAAAAAGAAGAATCCAAGGTCTGAAGAATGAATTAATTTAAAGACTGGTTACAGCAAACATTTCATCTCTGAGGTGTTGTAAGATGTTGAGATGAACATTGGTTTTTGGTCCGTTGATGGAGTTGATCCGTGAAATTGTTTCTCCTTCCTCAGTGATCTACTGCTTCGTGTACTATCTTTGGGTGGGTCACAACTACTGCTACGCCTACCTGGCTGGATGTACTGCTCTGTTCCTTCTGCCTGGTGAGGCTCGAGAAAAGCTGTTTTAGAAACAAAGAAGATGTGATTGTCTTACTGTGGTTCTGTCTTTCCCAGGCTGGGCCCCCCAGTGGCTCAGCTACTTGTGGTACTTGTCAGATGGACGTATTCGGAGAAAGTCCCTCACATGGACACATATACTGCACCTGGGAATCTTTAAGAGGTTTGTTTGTGTTCTCAGTTTTCATCTACAGACACTGGAGGTCTTTAATACAGTACATACAACCTAAGGGGCGGGGTACATGATTGATTGTCTCTATATATGACTGTGATGGACCAGAGAACTGTCCAGGATCAGACCCTGTCTCACCCTGGACAGTTCTCGCTTCAGATTAGTTCATGTTAAACTGCAACAGAAGAAGACAATAACTGTCAAAGGCTCTGGTTCATGTGAAGCAGGCCTGTTTAAGTCGTTCAACTTTTCTTTCTTTTTTTTTTTTTTTTGATGGTCATTAATTTAAGTGACAGCTAATCTTATAAACTGAATTTAAATTAAGGAACTAATGGGGATTCTTCACCACTGTTCCCAGTTATTACAGTGAAGATGTTTTCTTGTCCAGCAACAACAGAAACTCATGCCGTACAAGATCATTAAATTACAAAGAAAATGTTTCTAAATATTGGTACTTCGAGTTTTGATTTCTCTGAGATTTAGTCCAAATGATGGTCAGGGTCTTGAGCTCCACCCCTTCTTCTCTCCTCCTCCTGTGTCCCAACCTGAACCTCATGGATTCCAAGACTGTGGGAGTGCATGTGTCTGCCAGAGGAGGACGTGTACGGTGAGATCATGCAGCAGGCAGATGTTTCTGCCCTCAGGTTGTTCGAAGCCTTGGTGGTCACCCTCCCTGAGACACTGCTGCAGGCCTACGTGCTCATCTGTACTGATATCGGAATCAAGTCTCCAGGTAGAAACAGATCACATGACCTGCATAACATTATTAGTGCTGAGTGTTTTGATCCTAACTACACATATACCTACAACAAATGTGTCGTCTGCATTTGCACATCTTTAAGGGCTGCTGGTTCAAATCTGAGCCCTGACACCATTAACTATTCACAATCTGCTTTCTTCTTCTTGTCCCCTGCCCTTTAGCCTCAGTGTGTTTTGTGGTCTGTCTGGTGTCTCTCTCCTGGGCCTTGGTGGTCTACGCCAGAGCCTGTTTACTCATCAGACCTGGTCACCTCCAAATGACCCCTGCTGCCCTTCTCTGTCGACTGCTATGGAGAGTGAGTTAATGAGCTAGCATTAGCATATGCTTACAGTGATGAGTGTAAAGAGGGTTGTGCTCACCAGCCTGTTGTTTCTGTCTGCAGGTCAGCATGTTGGGATCTCGCTTCGCAGTTTTAATGCTCTTTACACGAATCTTCAAACAGTGGATCCTGGGAGTGATTGGTAAAGAAGGAAACTGAAAGAAACAAATGGACAAGGTGTCAGATGATGAAGAGTTAGATAGAAAGTTAGGGTTGCTTAGATGGTTAGGATTAATAGAGGTTAATTTGAAGGTTAGAATAGTTAGAAGGGTTAGGGTTAGTAAGAGAGTTAAGTTTAGTTGTGTTAGAATGGACTAGATGGTGACTTTACGATCAGATGTTAATTATTACTGGCTCACCTTAACTACAGAAACATTTAAAAACTTACCCTAACCCAACAAAAGGTTTAGAAATTATTCATCAAATATAAATACATTTTCACCATAGAGTTTCACAGACAACGACATCAGATAAGGTTTTCTGCAACACACTCCAGTTTAGAAAAACAGGAAATGTCAGAACATTCTGGAAGGTTTCTAAATTCTTCAAAATTAACCAACTAAGTAACCTCAGCAGCTAACATCAGAGGTTACACAGAGTGAAGAAATGTACACCTCTACACCTCCCCTCTGTGTGTGTGTGTCAGGTGTACACTGGCTAGGTGCAACCTTCTGGATGGTGTCTCAACAGACTGACATTATAAAATCAACCAGTCGATGGAGAATCTTCAACCTCGTCCTCGGAGCCGTTCACATCTTTCTCTTCCTCAACGTGAAGTACGGTCCGTCTAGATATCGCATGACGGGCTTCTATCTGGTACGTTTGGGATGCTGCTGTTGTGGCTCCAGCAGCTGCCACTGCATTAACAACTATTTCACTGTGACTTGAAGTAGGCTCATGGATGGAGCATCAGGTCAGAAAGTGAACTGAGAAACAGAAAAAAACAGGACACAGACACATAAAAGAAACCAATGTCAAACATTAGAAGTGGAAACTCAAACAAATGATTTGTAACTCCAGCAAATTCTATTTACAAGACGTGTGTATAGTTCATAATACAGTGGAACCTCCTGGTTGTCCAACTCCTCCCTTTTTGAACAATTCTGTTCACAAAGAAAATTCTTAACTATAAATTGCCCCGGTTGTTGTACCATAACTTGGTTGCTGAACAAGCCAACAATACCAGAAAAAAAAGATGAGTCTTTACAGTATGGCTCAGCAAAGTGGTGGATTTGTAGCATAATTAAGAAGAAGAAGAATCAGCAAGAGAAGCTGAGGTTCAAACGAATGACTGTGATCACCAAGAAAAGATCATAGACAGTAGAAGTGAAAAAGGTGACACTGATCTTAATCAACCACTAACAGTTGGCCGACCACAGGATTTCAGAGACAATCATTAATGAGAAAGTGAAGTGAACATTGTCCAATCAGGACTCCTCAGCAGCCGTAAGGACCAATGAAATGACTTCTCCTATTTATAGCTTCATCCTTTATTCACTTGAGTTGATCATTTTTGTTAGATCTAATTATTTTCACTGGTACCATTTTACATTGATGCCTATGGAGAAGAAAATGTTTTTTGTTTTTGAACTTTTCGGTTCGGGGCGGCCTTCAGGAACGCGTGAGGTTCTAAAACCCATGTTCCACTTCCAATAACTACACAAAAAAACTAAACGGACATGAAGTGTTCTACTTTGGCAAATATCTACAGCATGTGTACGACATGAAGATTCTCAGTCATCCAGGTCATGGTCAAGGTTGAAGAGTTCTGTTAGGCAACTGGATGTGAATTTTCTAAAAGAAGATGTTTCACCTCTCATCCAAGAGGCTTCTTCAGTTCTAACTGGTGGTGGGGAGTACAGCAAATATAGTGTACTACAGTCATTTACTGCTAGGCTGTTGTTGGTAACAATAGTAACAATCTTTCTCTTGTTCTTCTCTCAGGTCATGTTCTTAGAGAATGCTTTACTTCTTCTGGCCTCATCCTGGTTATTCACCATGGTCTCCTGGGATACTGTCGGCATCCCAGCTGCTGTGTTCTGTAGTTTCCTGATTGGTTAGAAGCCTTTTATTTATACCTATTTATGTGTCAAACTCAAGGCCTGATCCAGACCGTCAGTAAATCTAAAAGTGACAGCTGTCAACTGTACCCTCAACACATCCATTCATGCAGCTATGACATGTTTTCCTCCTCTTCACAGGAGTCATCGCATTGGTTCTCTACTATCGCTTCCTTCACCCTAAGTCCTTTGAGATTTTCCAGAGTATTCGACACAAAGGGATCGGAGGAGCTTGCATGGAGCGGGGCTCCACACTGTCATTGGAGGAAAAGGTCACACCTACGTTTCATCGCCATGCAACACTGTCTGGTTAGTTTGACCGTTGACCTTCCTTTCTCCTTGACTGTCTGTTCTTCTTCTGGGTTAGGGTCGTCAGAACCTGTATAAGTGACGGGTCAGGTTACATCAGGCTTTTTTTCTCACTATGATAAATTTAATTTCCTGAGGCAATGATAATATAGTCAACTAAAATATGTTGTTGCAGTGGTTCTCAAATTGTGGTACACGTACCACTGAGCACTCTCTAGTGGTACACGGGGAAAATTCATACTTTCACATTTACATTTTCAATTGAATAAATCTGAAACATACCATGCACAATTAATACAATTAAACATTTAGAAGATAAATGTGTAGTTACTTGTGAGATTATGAAGTAGGATGTCTTTTTATTTATTTACTTGTTTTTTTGCTGCAAAGCAAGTCTGTTGCTCACGTAAGCCCAGGCAGCACGGAATCATGGGATCACTTGCAAATTGAACGTTGGAATAAGCAGGGGGATTTTAATGTTGGTCATCATGGTGGTACTCAGAGAGCTCAATGTTTTCTCAGGTGGTACAGAGTATAAAAAGTTTGAGAACCACTGTATTAGTGAATATATCTCGGCGGGGGCGGGGGTATGCTGACCTCTACCTCTCTCCTGCTGTGTCAGCAGGTTATAAATGTGTTTGACACCAGGCTGGTAGTCCTCAACTTCATTTGCTCAGACATAATGTGTTCATTTGTTGATGTAACCAGGAGGGGGCACTCTTATGGACCTTCCAGTCCAGTGGGAGGGCTGGAAACACCACCACTGGCTGTTGATCCGTTTGGCTCTGAAAACAGGGGACAAAGCAACCATCTGGTCAGCCTATGGAGAAGGTGGACTGGCAGGGCTGATGGGTCTTTCTGAAGAAGTTCACTCTCCAGATGAACCATACCTCCGTCAGGTTCGCTGGGCTTTCTCCTATGACTGTGAAATATCTTTGCTTCTGATTCTTCAGGTTCTATTAAAGTTGTTTGTCTGATGTTTGATTGGTCAGATTCTGACGACTCCACCCCTGATCACACATCCAGCTTCTCCACCGGTGGTGAGCCAGGCTCCTCAGGCAAGAATCTCTTCACAGATCTATATCTTTGTTGAATTATAGAACTGTATGATATGGATTTTTGAGCTGATGATAAACAGTCTATTTGTGTCTCGTTTCCAGGTCACAGAGCTCATACAACCACCAAAGCCGCCTCTCACCAGTGTTGTAGCTCGGCCAAAAAGAAGAGCTCCACCCTTAACAATTCAGGACATGCATAGGTTTCCAGAGATTGTTCCAGTACAAGAAGTCATTCCTGAAGAGACAGCAGAGTCTATGACACCCGCATCAGAGGAAAAGGGTAGGGGGCACAAACAACAAAAACATTAGCTTTTTACATCTAGACCAACGTACAACAGTTCAATCACAGTTCAGTCACAGTGGTTCTTCATGGTTCTTACCAAACATTGTGAACACGGCACTGGTCACCGACAAAGATTCCAGTCTCTGACCATCCAATCAGAGGACAGCAAAATGCTGATGTTATGTCACGCCGTGGGAAGCCCTTTATCTAACCTATCCTGTATTTTCAAACAAATACAAAAAATATTTAAAAACTTGTAGTGTAAAGTGTAAACAAGAATTGTAATATTTATGTGGTCAAATACTTTTAGACGTGGGTTGAAAGAAAATATTTAAAGTAAGTTCTGGGTCAGATGTCCGTCATCTCAATCGGCATCATCTCTTAAACCCAGAGTGTAGTGCCCCCTATACTGCTGCAGGCACCAGCACTGTGCAGTCGGGTTCTCATGCACTCATCTTGAAGCATTGACATGTTTCCTCTGTCCTCACAGGGGATGAAGAGTTTCAGAGCGCTGCCTGTGGCTCACCCTCGCTGTCATCAGCACGCCACCCAGGAAGTCTTCAGCGAATCAACAGCAATGCTGCAACCCTGACAGAAGCTTCTTCCTCTGTAGCATCTCTGGAGATCACTACCCCGGCCTGGTCACCTGAGCGACGCTCCCCTCTTCTGATTGGTTCCCCAGAAAAAAAACCTGGGACCCCATTGCAGTCTAATGCTACGCTCTACTTCAGTGTAGATGCACAGTCTCCCTCTAGTGGCAGCTACCTTGGTTGGGGCTCTGAGCTATCACCCATATCCAGCTACAGGAGTCCATACCGAATCAGGGAGGCTCGCTTCATCACATCCACCCCTAGGGCGGAGCCTCCGCCCACTGTTCCTGAGAGTCCAGGCCCAGCCTCTGTGGTCGTGATACCTGCCACTCCTACGCCCGGTGCCACACCTGTGGGTTCCTCTCCAAGGGGTTCAGCCTCTGCTGCATCTACACCCAGTGTTTCAACCCCCCTGGCTTCTACACCTGCAGCTTCTACACCTGCAGCTTCTACTCCTGGTGCAACTACACCTGCAGCTACCACACCCAGCACTCCAGTGGTTCCACTCACTCCAGTTATCTCCCATGCACGTAAACAGATAGCTCAGATCATAGACAGTGGAGAGAGATTGGTGTAAGTAGGGTGATGGTGGAGGTGGGAAGAGGAGGTGGGGCCATGCCTGGGTGGGGTATTAACAAGGCATCTGTTTCATTTAAATTATTTTAAGCTGTCATTACTTTGAAATGTCATTTTTAGAATTTTTTTATTTTGCATATTTTGATCAGATGTGAAAGACGTTTATTGGAGACGTGGGCCATACCACAGACAAAATGAAAATAGGAAAATATCTGGGATGTGGCCCATAGTTGGTCTTTTTCTTTCCAAGAGTTGGTCTAGAAGATGCTGTGGTCTGGATTTGGACTAAATTTCATCCAGGTCTCCAGATGACACCAGTGGAGGGAAAGGCAGAATGTGACCTAGTCTGCTCTATGTGTGCTGAGTACCGATCATGTGACCTTGAGGTCTAGGTGTTCAAGACCAGTTCAAGCATGAGGCAGTTTTCTAGGAATGAAGGAGGTTGAAGTTAATGTTAAACAATTATTTTAGCTCTTTGATTTGAAATATGAGTAGAATCCCACAAATGTGGACTTGACCACATTTTAACGTCTTCCATACATTTTTCCTGTATTTTCTAAACCAAGCAGGAGGACAAATAATGAAATAAAAAGGATTGAAACTGATGAACCTGAGCAGCAGCAGGAACTTTGAAACGAGTATAAAAATCACGTGATGAGAAAAGCAAATGTAACCTGGCGTGGTGATAAAACCACTGCATGTTCCATGTTAACACAGACGTCATTGTTAAAGCACCTACCACTAGTAGTTATTAACTCACACCTGAATGTAACTGTAAGTCAATGGGATGTTGTGATGCAGTATGTGCTTCAACTGCTTCTTTACCGTGACTCAGCGCTTTGCCTTGTAGAAGAGACACAGCTGTGTGTCAGTGTTTCGGACGTGTGAATATTTGCCTGTTTATATATATAATGACACAAAGCGTCTTTTTTTGTGTTCAATAACCCTATATATATATATATATATATATATATATATATACTGTATATATATATAAAGCAATATATATATTGCTTTTTTTTCATTTATATTTACTCCCTACACTCATTAAAAGGACTGCGGTGGTGTGTTTTCATGAATGTTGGGCAACCTTTGCCTGTTAACATGCATCAACACGTTACAGTATGTAGAGCTGTTGTGACAGAATAATAAAGTCATTCATGTCGAGCCCACGTGATCTACTGCTCACTTTGTTGCCACCGAGCTGTTTAATAGATTAAAACAGGATTATTCACGTGACTTTAGTTCTGTCAGATGGTCGAGGAAATGTGTCGGCAGTTGTATTCAAATATTCAGGTACAAAGAGCGAGTCAGCATTGGTGATGCCATTCCTTTTACTGACCTGTAAGTGGTACCAAGTACACATTTTAAAGCTTCGTTAATCGATTCACGGCAAATAGGACATTGTTTTACGTAATCATGTAAACTGGGTAGAACTTCTTTAAACATTTACAGTGGTTAGTGTGTACAGAAAATAAGAAACAATACCATTGAAGACATTTAGCACGTGATCTTAGCATTTAGCTCATTGGCGGATTTGTGTTTGGCTTTTTTAGCAGGGCACGTGTATGTACGGTTATTTTGACGTTCTTAAGCTAACTCAGATCTCAATTTTGTGTCGTTACTGCCACCTACCGCCTCACTCTTTCAATGGTAAATATTGCATCGATGTTTCCTCATGATCACTGTCAAAAGAAAAAAAAGGAGACATTTGAACTATTTTAAATACACCGTTCAGTGAACTCACTTTGTCCTGACATGGTTTCAACCCAGAGCAGCCAGTTGTGAATGACCTGCATAAACGAACGGCTTTAACTTGAGTGGGGAACAAAGGGTTGCTAATAGAATTGTTGTACGAAATATGATTCCAGTTAAATCCAGTTATTTCACAGCCTGACTGTACCTTTATCAACTGAACAAGTACAAAAAAAATTGTATTACCTAATCACACTCCCTCTTATTAGCTTGGTTTAATGCTAAACCCGAACTTAAACATGCCATGTTCGTTCATCTGGGCTGTGGGTCAAAGGACAGGGACCTGTGGTGCTAATGTTCACAATAGAAACTGTAAGCCTAAAAATTGTGTTGAAACTTTTATTTAGTTGTATGGTCTCTACACTTTTGTAATTTGGTCTAGAAGAGACATAAATAAAGAAGACGAAACAACTGTTGCAGACAATAATCCGGAAGTGGCAGTAAAGAATACAACAGGCAGTGAGGGTCAAATGGAAAAGAGGTAGAAGAACTTTTATCATCACAGTCAGATAAAAGTGGTCTTTGAATCATTATTACGCTGTAACAGACTCATGTGTCATCCCTTTGTTCATCCTGTCCAAGTGAGGGCAGTGTTCCACCCCGAACAGTTGAAAGAGCTGCAGTTTGAGCCTGGGATTGAACCTGTGACCAAAATTTAATTCACAGTTAAGACTTTTCACATACTTGTGCAAAACAAAATTAGAAAAGGATTCCGAGATTAGCTGTGCCGCTGTGACATCACTGAGGCTGACAGAGTTCAGATACAACTGGAACTGGTTTGTGGATTAAGGTCAATTCAATGACAAGTTCTGTGATGTAGTACCTGAGGTGAAATCTAGTTTCTGTTAAAGAGATCCTTTGAATCTTTGTCAAGACATCTACTACTTTCCTTACTAATGATTGAAATTTTAAAAGCCATTGAAACCTGATGTTTTTTGTCCACTACAGAAACTGATTTAAACAGACGAAGAACTGGTCTAGGACCAGAGGTCAGATCTGGACAGAAACCAGCTGTGAGCCAAACAAACATCTTTGTCTCGAGAATACAACATCAAGTTCTGCAGGTCCTCTGAGGAATATAAGAACATATGTGATGAGCAGCAGTGTCTGGGTTCATAAAAAACTGATCAGAAGGTTAAAGGTTCACCGCATAGTAGTAATACAAGATCAATTATAATGTCATTTTTACATTGGCAGAATAAAAAAAAAAACTTCCTTTTATCTAAAGAACTAACACCAGGAACAGCCCTGTTTTATTTCACAGATGTGATCATGTGACCAGAGTGTTTATATTCAAATTGTGTTCACAGTGAAACACCTTTTAGTGTGGTGTAAAAGAGTGTGACCCACTTAAACAAACAACTGGCAGATGGTGTATTGATGGGACAATGTTTACAAAAATAAAATGGACAGATTAAGTACAATCAGAAGAAACAAGAAAAGAAAGAAGTGTCACCATGACAATGGAGGAGAAATGTTTGGTCCAATTCAAACAAACCACAACCTTAAACACACCATGGTAGCCCATGACCTCTTACATGTGGATGCACAGCACATTTGGGTCTAGATCTGCAGCACCAGCCCAGCAGCTGAGATGTTGTCTCCCCCACCTGCAGTTTGATACACCTCAGTGCACACCAGCACCGGCGCCACACAGATCTCATAATCCTCCTCATCCCAGCAGCTGACGGGTCGGCTCTCCTGCAAAGGGATCCTCTGGCTGCCTTCCCTTCGGCTGATGGAGAAGGAGTCGTCCATGATGAGGCGGGCTTTGTTGGGGTCGATGTCATCAGAGCCACACACGTGGCGGTTGGCCGTCAGTGAGGCCTTGGCCGTGGCCGACATGGTGTTCTTCCACCGGGAGCCGCGAGTCACGATAATGGCCTGAAAGGCCAGAGTGTGAACGTGGAGCCGGGTCAGAGCCACGGCTGCGATCTGCATCTCACTGCTGCGCTGGTTGAGGAGTCGATAAACCTCCCGCATCTGGTCCAACACGGTGGCCACACGGGGGTTTGGGTCAGACAGCACGGTGATATTAGAACCTTTCAGCAAACTCAGCAGGTTGGGTAACTCCTGTTCGTTCATTCCCAGGGAGTGGGCCTGAGAAGAGGAGACCATGACATCAGCAGATCAGATTCATTGGTGGTTCTACACAGTCGTCCATTTTGTGAGCAGAGTCTCCACACCCTCTGACCTTACCCTCCTGCTGCAGCACAGCCATTAGATTACAAGTTCTAAACAACTGATCTAAATGTTTCACAGGCCCAGACATCATCAGAACTAAAAATGTAAACCAGTATCAGTCAAGAAGTGGAACGTTTCAGTCAAACTCACATGAGGAATAATGTAATGCAGCAGGTCCTCCATTATACCCTCATCTACAAAACTGGCCATCTCAAAATGGACACTCATCTGTGGAGACGAGTTGGAAAGAAGGTCGGACAGACGGGAGAGGAGAGCAGATCGCTCACCTGAAACAAACAAACAAACAAACCAAGACAGACAAATGACATTATTAATGAAGCCAAGAAGAGGGATATTTCCATTTCTGCATGGTGTGTGTTTGTGTGAGTGAGTGAATGTGTTTACCTGGCTGGAAGGGGAAGTTGTCCATCATCTGAAGCCCCCCCACCACCATCAGATCTGGTTTAAAGTCTTCAAGATTCTTTCCAAATTCCTCCATGGAGGCCAGATATGGGTTGTGGTCATCACTGTGAATAATGTATCTGCACACACACACATTTTTTCACAAAGACACATCTACACACACACGTTACACGTTACACATACTGTGCTGTTGTTAAGGCAACAACAATTTGGATTTCCCACCCTCACACAGGCTCCCCCCACCTCCATGGTGCAAAGTCACAACAATGATTAACTCACACTCACACACACACACACAGCCAGGTGTGTGTGTGTGTGTGTGTGTGATAAACATTGGAGTGGAAGAACAAAAACAGGCTCTTCATCCCTCTAGTAAAACTGTAGAATATTTGACAAACCTGTTAGCTCGTCGTGCTGTATATTGCCCCCAACTGGCTCCTGATGGGTATTCTAGGATCAGATGAATGTCAGGCTCTTCTACGGTGTTACCAGTCACTGTGAACAAACAGCATGTTGTCAAAGTATCAGTAACAGCACAGTCAGAACAGTCAGACTGGCTGTCAGGTCCGGATGAGAATCCAGAACCGTTTCCCAATGGTCCCATTCTAATTCCACGACCAGATGTTTAACAACAACAAAAATCTGGGAAATACCTACAGAGTACAAAAAGACACTATTTAATACATCTGGAATGTTCCAGCCCTACATTAAACTCAACATGCCTTCAGTGTAGAACTTTGTCACTCTGATCCACTTCAGTTGTTACACAGCAGGACATGTTACGCTACAGCATATATGACAATAAACACCTTGAAACTCCTGAATCCAAAAAAATACCAGCCAGTGAAGCTCACTGCTTCCCTCTGGAGATCCTGCACCGTTATTTCATGGTGATGAATCACAGCCACTGACCTGTGATGTGCTGGGACAGAACATCAGTGAAGTCTGGGCTGAAGCTTCCTCCTAACAACACCTCACATCCTTCTGCTGCCATACGAGCAGCCATGACTGGAGCGTTACCCCCTACTGACCATCTGTTGCCAGGCAGGTCACGTGATGACTCCACTAGTTCACTGAAGAGAGTTTCATTCAACATGAAGCGCCTGCAGCACAAAGAGCCAATATATGGATGTTAAAGGTAAAAACCATGATGCTGGTGCCAAACAGTTGTTTACTGGTAATGGTACTGGATCACCAGTACTCTGTTAATTCTCTAAACCACAGTATATATATTTATATTTATGGAAAAAAGTTGTGACTGAAAATGTATTTGTTACTTACTCTGCAGCGGCTCCAGGTGCAAAGAAGAAGGCAAAGCTCTGGGTCAACTGTTCAGCATTTTCTATGTAGTCGTGATGCAGCGGCTGCTCTGTAGGAGGAAGTCCAATCTTCTTTAGCAGAGAAACTGCATCCACGATCAGATCAACACAACCTCCAAAACCTAAAGGTAAGGAAGGAAGGAGACACCTTAGGAATTAGGAAAATTCATAATGAAACTGCACAAAAACAACATGTGACCATCTGTGATACAGTGGTGATACAGAGGCAGTATCTACAGACACAACTATGAAGTACTGTAGCATACAAATCGTTCAGTTCACCTTGATTCAAAGTCCTTTAACTGTCCAGAAACAAAGAATTGTTCTTCACAGTCAACACTGTCAAACCCGAAGTACTCTAACAACTATGTACTGCCAGGCGAGTCCAATGGTTTGTTTCTAGTCGTTCTTGAACATTTTCACTGGCTGTTAATATGTAAATAGGCAGGTATATTTAAAGAAAAAAAAAAGATGTCTTTCTCATTTTGCCGTGGGCGTCGGATGTTTGTCTATATATATACTACTAAATAAATAGCTGTTTCTTAGATGTTTATTGAGTGATGGTTTGATGTTGTTTTGGTGGAGTTTGTATTACTAGATTGCGCTTGTTCCCTTTAATGCTACCACCCACAGTCACAGTCCCAGTCCCCCTTGCTCATCTTATCATGCCAGGCTAAGCTAAGCTAACAGTTTGCAACCACTCACCGACCGCCACTCTCGGTCTGGCCACGTCGTCGACCATAACTTTGCGTTCAGCCCGAAGCAGAGAGGACAATACCGTGTCCAGTCGCTCGTCCAGCACTTCATCATTAGGCGGTCGGAACCACAGGGCCAATAGAACCACGAACAAAGACATAAGGGGCCCGAATTTGGTCCACGTAGTCCTGCCGCCTGCCTCCATTGCTGATCGTACACAGTGCTGCTCACCGAGTCAAGAGTCTTTCACCGAACCTGATGTTGTTCTTCTCGATATGACATGTCTTAGTTACCGAACGTAGTGTGGCGGTCCGTTGTCGGTTTTTAAGTAGAGTTCATCACAAAGTTAAATAGCGTATAATTTCCTCCACCTCGTTTCACCTGCAGACGTGTAAAGCTCGTCTTTGCTGACGAGGCGGAAGTTTCCATAAACTAAAAGCAGGTTTGTCCGCTTATTTTACGCGACGTGGACTCGTTTTCCGTAAATTCTCTTGTATATGTCGATACCAGCTGTGGCCGGTTTAAAAGGGTCTGGCTGTTTTTTGCACACTTGTTTTAATGGCTCTAAACATTGTTCAGATGCGCCCCCGTCAATAAAAGCAGAATAGCAAAGGCCACTAGCCTGCATCTGATTGGCCAAACCTGGTCATCTGGGTAACATACTGTGTTAGGTGATTTGTTGGAAATTAAGGGATTAAGCTGATGCGACAGAAACAAGTACTTTAAGTGAGAAAAACACGTGCGTCGTGCAGAGCCGTTGCTCTGTTTTTCGTCAAAAGTATTACCTAAAACGATATGTACATGAAAAGCTGGAATAATGCAATAACTGGTATCAATTAAATACCTAATAAGAAGTCGCTTCTTTTGGGTTTATTTATGACATTGCTTGTTTCTTCTGAAAAATAACCCTAAATTGTTTTTCGTTTTCGCATCGACCCAAAGTGACTTTATTCAATAGTGATGTTCTGGTGTGCACAGGCATACAAACACATGATTTAACACTTCCTAAAGCAAAGGAACAAAATTATTTAATACATAATTAGGCACTTACGCTGTGTTTGTCCACTAATAATCGTGGTGGAAATAAAAAAAACAACTGAATGAAGCCAGGAATAAAACAAGCAAACAGGATCTGGTTGCATTTACGTATTAAAAATGGGTTTAAAACCAAATACAACAATTTATGTAACTGTGTTGTTCTGATTACTATGAACTGAAATTAAAACCAACTCGAAAATAATCAATGATCTACTGATACATTTGTATAGAAATTCGTTTTCCAGTTTCCCTCTTTAGAATTAACCTTTCAGCACATGGGCAAAGTTCTCTCAGATGAAATCCTTAATGTGAATATGGCTCCCTCTGCTGACTGAAATACCACTGTAATGAAAAACCTGCAAACAACAACAACAAAACAAACAAACAAACAAAAACACGTCAGCATTTATTCATTTCTACCAATAAAGCTCTTTCTGGCTGGATTAAACCCTGGACCAGGCTACAGTCAGTACCAGGATGAGATGAATGTTGCTTGGTGACAGAATCATGGACCATATATCACGTTGGTCAGGTCTACTGGATTATATCAAAGGAGGTAGATTGGTTTTGTTTCTTCATTGATTTACTCCTCTTACCTTTTACATTTTTAAGGGCCTTTTGGAATGCCCGCCACAATCTCAGACTCAATCCCACAGTGATCTGATCCACGCAGGATTTTAAAGAATCCTACAGAAATGGTCTCAAATTAACTCAGTGAAATAAACTGTTTACAAAGTTCAAACAAACGCTGTTGATTCTGTGTCTGCTCACCATTGTCGCCCCAGTCAGTGTTCCAGGAGTTAGCACAGAGCCAGTAGGGGGTGCCGTTCTCCTCTCCCCATCCCAGTACTTTGATGGCATGCCCCCCCACGGCAGATCCGGTCACATGCTGATAAACACCTACAGACACCAGAGGTCACTAAAGTTCTAGGCAGTAGAAATGTTTCCTTTAAAACTGCTGTGAATGGTGTGGTACCTGTCTTATACAGCAGGAAATCTTCATAGACAGTAAAGGCTCCCTCTACTGGGCCGTTTTTATAAATCTCCAGCTGGATTTCCTTCTCACTGTCGTCCACGCTGTAGGACAGTTTACCTGCAACATACTCTGAGTGAGGTTCCTGTTTGTGTCTTAAATATTATGTCCAAATTCACAATTAAATGTAACCCAGTGTGTGGAGCCCTCCAGAGTTCTAAATGTTCTGGTCTCTGAATAGTTCATAGAAATGAAGCATGTGGAGAGTTCACAGTGACTCCATCTTTGTCAGAAATCTGGAAACTGCACTAAAACACAAAATGGTTTTATTTTATTGGAATGAATTAGAAATAACAATGGTTAGCCGCTAACCACTGTTATTATAGAGGAGCTGATCCTTACACCCTGTCTAAAAACACTCTATTTAGACACCTTTAGATAATGACTTTGATGTGAGGCTCCTATCGGGGGCGCAGCCTTTTGAGTGGTACCAGGAGTTTGTTTTTGTCTCAATTCTTACCATAATGTTTATCCTGGGTGTATCCGGGTGTGTATCCAGCCTCACACTTTTTCGTACACTGAGGTGTGTCACCCCCCTCTCCAGTGCAGGGAGGTCTGCTGCCGTTCACATGGTGCTCACAGGGGGCAATAGAGTAAGGGCGGCAGCCTGTGGACACAGAGTCACACATGTGCAGTGAAGGACAAAATGTCAGCTTTTTGTGTTTTAGGGAACAAAACACAGTGGAACCTGGGTTTTATAACCTAATTTGTCCCTGAAGGCCATTCAAAAACTGGAACCATTTTCTTCTCCACAGGAATCAGTGTCAAATGGATAAATCGGTTCCTGGTTCCTGGATGATTGCTGATTCAAACTTGTTGAACTATTTTGTGAACAGGTTCAAACAGGAAACCAATGAAAATAATTAGATCTAACAAAAAAAGGTCAACAAAAGTGAATAAAGAATGAATCTATAAATATGAGAAGTCATTTCATTGGTCCTTAGGGCTGCTCTGGAGTCCTGATTGGACAATGTTCACTTCACTTTCTCATTAATGATTGTCTCTGAAATCCTGTGGTCATGCAACTGTTAGTGGTTGATTCAGATCAGTGTCAACTTTTCCACTTCTTCTACTGTCTCTGATCTTTTCTTGGTGATCACAGTCATTCCTCTGAACCTCAATTTCTTTTATTGATTCTTCTTCGCTCAGCCAAACTGCAAAGACTCATCTGAAACTCCGGCTCCACTCTCATCTTTCCTACAATCTTTCTTTACTTCTACTGTTCTTCTCACTCTTTTTCTTTCTCATGGTGATTGTGTATATCCTGAGGTCACAGTCACCACTTGCTGTTTACTTGGTGTTGTCTCTTATTTGGCAACCAAGTTATAGTACGACAACCGGGGCAATTTTTGGAAAACAATTTAGTTTGTGAACTGAATTGTTTCAAAAGGTTCAAAGAGTTCAACAACCAGGAGGTTCGACTGTAGTTTCTTTCTTCAGTTTAAGGTTTAGACAAAGTAATAATTCAAAATCATCTGCCCACACAGCACCACTGGACTTGACATGAGTCTTTGTGTTCATGCCACGTTGGTGTCACAGGGGAACTTACCGATGTGGGAGTCATAGAGACCTCCAGAGACCAGACCGTCTGTGGTCCAGAACTCCCACGCAGCAGAAGGATAACCTCCATTGCACCTGAACAGAGTCAAGATGTTAGAACCTGGAACTACTGGAGCCCACACCAGTACCAGGCCATTTGATCATACATTCACTTTAATATACTATAAGTATTTTATCAGTGTGAGAGATGTTTTATTTAGATTATTGATATTTATATTAATAAGGATATTAATTATTATTTTCTATGATAATCTATCCAGACTGTTTCTTACCCCATACCACAGGAGTCACAGCAGGACAGAAGGTCCTCAGCAGAAATCTCAACATTCATCAGGCCGTTGCTATGGATACAAAGCCGATCAGAGATGGCCTCTGCAGCACCGAACGCCTGAGGGCAGACAAAAAGAGTGAGGGTCACAAACACACACACACACACGTTTGTCAGCATTTAGCATGTACTCCTGGCCTGTAGGTGGTGCTAACAACATAACTAAAAGAGTGATTCCTCACCCAACAGGATCCACAGGAGCCCTGGTCTCTGACTTCCTTCAGTGTGGGACACTGAGGCCACTGGACCCTGGCATCAAAGTCTACAGGCAGCTGGACATCTGCAGTGAACTGGAGCCTGCAGTGGAGCACAGTTCTACTGATTACTGTGGTGCTCCTGTCTGAGTCGGTTTTTAATACAGGTCTCCTTCCATCCATGCAGCCATCTGTCTATCCCTTTCTGTACAGCTAACTGAAGTGAGTGATAAAATATTTATCACCTCCGTGGCCCCCAGTGGTGTGAAATAAGGTAAAAACACCACATGTCAACTAGGAAACAGACTCACTTTACTGGTAGTTTGGGGCCTTTCAGCATGGTACCACACAGTCTCCTCAGGTAACTGTAGTCAACATTCTGGAAGTTGAGACCAGCCTGTGGGAGAGGGAGAGAGTGAGGTTGGGGTGAGTCATTGACATGTACACTAAGTGTATTGAACCACACCACTTTCTTGGTCTACTGCCCCCTCACTCAGGTCAACATGCGTCATTACACCTGGTAGTCCTTGGCTGTCTCTGGATGACTGGTCAGCTCCACCACTTGAACTCCTCCACCTTTACCTCCAGGCCTACACCCTGCAGCTTCATCTTTTGTCTCATCTCACTATGGTTTCAACACATGTATCCATGTATTTCTGCCCACCAAAGTCATCCTCCACCTCTCCAGGGTCTAAACCACCCACGCCCCCTACTTTCACCACAGATTACAATGTCATCTAAAAACGTTATGGTCCATGAAGCCCTCTGAGCTGAGACCTCATCTGTCACCAACGGTCTACAGTAGCCCCACTTTACATTTAGCTCATCTAACTAATGTTCCGCTTCACATACTTCTCTGCCACTCCTGGCAGAACTGTCTCATGAAGTTCCACAGTTTTGGAGAAGAACTACAAACCACAGTTAGTCTCTGCAACAGTCCACCTCTTTTAGTCTCCACCTTGTCTGTTTTTACTCCCTTCCTCTTCATGTTAACTTTTCATAATCATATTGAAACATGTGCAGCAATGCACATGATTTGCTCATAGGTTTAGGGCAGTGGTGGCTTAGTGATTAAGCGGATAATGACTTAGCGGACTTGGGTCCAGAAGGCTTCAGGTTCGAATCCAACAGCTGCCAAGTTACCACTGAGGTGCTCTGATCATGGCACTGTCCCCACACACTGCTCCCCGGGCACTTAAAGCTGCCCACTGTTCAGTGCGGTTAAAAGCAGAGTCTCAATTTCGTTGTAGCCCTGTGTTACAATAAAGACTATAATTTGTTTTATTTATTTATAGTCCATCTGTTCTACAGAACACACACAGAACTTCTACCCATTGTCTCTACATATGATGGTTAGATGTTAATCCAGACTACGACAATTAGATGTTAATCCAGACTACGACAATTAGATGTTAATACAGACTACGACGGTTAGATGTTAATCCAGACTGTGATGGTTTGATGTTACTCGAGACTACGACGGTTAGATGTTAATCCAGACTACAATGGTTAGATGTAAATCATGGCTACGATGGTTAGATGTTAATCCAGACTACGATGGTTAAATGTTAATCCAGACTATGCTGGTTAAATGTTAATCCAGACTATGACTAATCCAGACACCTCAGTCCTTTTGACATTTCTACTGGGTGAGGAACAAGAGAAACAGACTTTACCTTCCATGTGGAGTTGACTTTATTGATGTGGTTCACCATCTCATTGGAAAGTGTTTTAAGGGGGGGTCTGGCCAGACCGACTGACAGGATGGCAGCCAGAAACGGGATGACTGCACGCCACATGGTGTCTACAAAAACAGATGGATCATTCAATTATAAATTCAGTCACTTGGTTCATCATAGGACACAACCTGGGAGCCAAAAGGCAGATGGGTCTGGAGACCCCCACCCCACCCTTTGAGCAGATAAGAAATTGAGTTTATGTTTTAGATATTTCAACCTTTTTTATTTTAATAGAGATGTTTTTTAGACTCTATTTTGTCAGTAGCATTTTGTAGTGTTGGAAGGAGTCATGTGATCAGTCGTATAGATTCTGTTTCACAAAGACAAATTGTCAGCAAATATGTATGAATGGTTCTGCTTTCTGATGTTGAGAAAGAGGAACCCCCCCATACACAGGCCCCCACCCTCACCACTGAAACGCACAGTGATAACTTGATAACTGAGATTGATCTGAAACAACTGAAAGTCTTCTCCAGTGTCACTAACTGAACAAAAAGATCAAAATAAAATCAGTGAAGCATCAACAACAATAAGGAAAAATAAAAACGGATGTAATTTGAAAAAAAAAAAATTTAATAAAGTCATATTTAAATTAAAATATTAAATATAAATAATACCATCAGAGGCAATCTAAAAATGTCTGTGAGAGTTAGACGTTTTTAACAGGGCAATAGTGTCTTAGTAGTTAAATCCATAAGGTCCCACTGAGGTGCTCTGAGCATGGCACGGTCTCCATACACTGCTCCCCGGGCACTTCAGTTGTCCCCCACCCACACGTGTTGAGCTGCCACATTTGGTTGTGTGCAGTGGTGCGCTGTGAAACACTGACAAATAATTTGCTTTCTTCTTAAAATTGCTTGTACCTGAAACTGACGGAGAAAACACTCCCCCTGCTGGAGAATCACAGGGACTCTCACATCAAGTGACTAGCTTTGATAATCTGCTGAGCCATCACACCGTGATGTCAGAGCATTGATGAAGGTGGTGATGAGAGAAATGAAACTGATTCCACTGTTAGAGAGAAGGAAGTGTAAAAACCCCTGTTTTCAGGACAAGTCAGAACTGGATGAGGGATTAGCAGAGTCTACAGGTGTAAACCCCTGAGGCAGACCAACGATCTTAACATGTCTGCTTCACCCTTCTCTTTACCCTTTCCTCAGTTTAAAGAAGCCCAACAAAGACTTCTATTTTGACAGGACTCTTTACATGTGTTCACGGCTGTTTGTGAAAAAGAAATCAGCTTTAACTATTGCTGTCTGGTACCAAATGATCCACGGCCCGGCACCAGCTGTTTGGGTGACCTGAGGTCCAAGCTCCTCAGACTTCCTTGTAGAAGGGCTCCTGTTTGTCTGACGGGCAAAAACAGACGTAGCTAAATGTGAATAAAAACTAACAACTTCCTGTTTCTCTACTGTTAACTGTTAGCCCATTAATAATCAACTGTTCCCTCGTTTTACTTTTTACTCCTTTTTATTCATTTCCTCGTCTCTGAACCACAGCATGAACTCAGTACGCGGATTTTAAGCGGACATGAACCGACACTAACCTCTCATTGTGGCGCCGACCAGCGGTTTGTACTCGGTTTAAGAGAAGGCTGATTGAAAGAAAAACAATACACAACATACATGCCCTCACCTGCAGACTGGTGGTCGATCAACTGAGCGGACGAAGTTCCCTGAGTCACTGAACACGGCCGGTGCTTGAACGTTCTCCTGCACTCGGCGGAAATCACGTGACAGGGTCACATGAACACAGCTCGTGACTTACTATGGAACAATATAACACAAGGGTTATATTTGTTTTCTGTTCTTATTAAATCTCATATACAATCGATAAAAAATTAAGAAAGACAATTATGTTCTTTTAATGAGACAGTTTGAAATGCAGTACACCACACTGGCCGTTAGATCACGTTGAACTGACCGTCACTGAACCAGTTCTCCGTCTACCCTCACCCCCTCCACTCCACGTCTCTAAAATAAATACATTTTTAAACGCAGCTCTGTTTATTAGCAGCTGGTTTCGCTATGACCTCTGACCTCTGATCAGTCAGAGTTTATAGGAGTGACATGTACTGGCTGTACATGTATATAAAAATATATAATGTTTCCAGAGAAGTACTGTCTCAATAAAAACTACATGGACATATTTCAAACAAGTGTTAATAAAAATAGTCATCTGCAGTACAAACATTGGACATTAGTTGTAGAAAAAACTAGGATTTCCTTGATTTCCAATCTTTCACAGCAGCTGTTGTTGTTTACACCAAGTCCTGGTTGAGCAGCTGCTGAGAATACAGCACATCTTCAAAGTGATATTTCTCTGCTATGGTTCTGATGGACTCATAACAGCGGATTCTGCTCAGAACCTGCAGCAATTCAACCACAGCAGACCTGCAGAAGAACAAAAACAAAGAGTTAACAAACTGAAATTGTGATGTCAATTTATCTGCTGTGTGAAGCTTAGAATGGGTGAGCTGTCAGAGGGATGCGTGTCCTCCTGTACAGCAGGTGTCAGTATCATAGGTTACAACAGCCGGTAAAGGAGATGCAGCAAAGTTTCACGTAGAAACAACTGTTGGCCCTGATGAAACATTAGTCAGGAGTGGGAGCCACCTGACTGAGGTGGTTCTACCTGCTCTGTGGATCTTCAGGAGTCGGCTGCTGACATGTCTCATTAACACACTGAACCAAGTAGTTCTTAAAGTTCTGGAGTTCAGGCAAACAAGTGGTGACTCCTGTGAACCAGGAGACTGGAAGACTGTCTGCTATCTGCAGTGGGGGGAGGCAGTATGGGGGGGCACAGAGGAGGGGAGGGCTTATTAGAACAATGTAAACACAGAGGATACTGAATGATGGCACATTTCCTCAAAATTTCAGAACCTTTTTGCAGGCCAGGAAAGGACTGGTCAGCGTGCCAGTCGTCAGAGCGATGACCAGGTATTGGTTCAGCACTTTGTCCAATATCAGTTCTTTCAGGGATGTTACAGGAAGAAGAGTGTCCCATTTCCCCATGTTAGCTAGAAGCTGACGTAAAAACAGAGTATCTGTTAACAGACACTGTTAACACAAGAATTAGCATTAGCAAACAGCAGTACCTTTATAGCCGTCCATGTCTGTTTCTGTCTGAATTGCTGCTGACGACATGTTGAGTCTTTCTGTTCCCTGAGACGAACGGATGATGTATTTGAGCACTGCCACCAATACAATCAATGTATTGGTGACAGGTTATGTTCTGGTTCACATTCTTAAAAGAAATGGTTAGAAATTATTTTTAAAGAGAAATTGGAGAAAAACTAGAAACATACTTTTGTGGAAACAGAGGGAAGAAAAGTTCTTCATCAACGCAGCTCTTCAGTCTCTGGATCACAGCCTCTGTGAGGGCCTGTGTGAAATGATTAAAAAAAATTTTATTTTTTATCACATGTCTAAGTTAGATCACTCCCTGTTGTGTTTTTTAAAGTCTAATTCTTATTATTTCTACAGTGACAGTAAGTTTGAAGTCCAGGTTCTTGGTTCCTGTTCAAACTGTCCTTCTGAAGAATTTAACTTACAAATCAGTGCATTTCCTTCACTGTGAGATAAAACAGGTTCATGTGTCTTCATAAAAATTATGGTAGAGACCTTCAGCTGTGATACTGACAGAAAGACCAACTGACCTGGCCTTGTTTACTCAGCTCTCCTTCAAAGATGTGATAATCTTCCTTTAGTCTGTGACACAGGTCAGACAGACAGGTGGACTGTTGTTGGGACAATGGATCCCACACCAACTCCACAAAGACTACAACAGATAACAGAGACACAGAGTCTGTCATGACAACCAGTCATCCATACTAAGTGTGAAGCAATGTCTATCTGGGACCAATGAAGACCTGATGATTCAGAAGAGAGAGAGAGAGGGAGGGAGAGAGAGAGGGAGGTTACCTGTCATTTTGGGTAGAACTGTGTTCTCTATGATGTTCGACAGAGTCTTTCTGTCTATGTTCTCCAGTTGTTCATGGCCGTGTCCATAACAGAACGTCTCCACTGCTGTGAACCACTGCAGGTTTTCCAGCTCACTGCTAGAATTCTGATACACACACACATGCACACACACACATCATGACTCTGTCAAACATTCAACACCTAACCCTAATCCTCTGGACCGTTCTATTCACCTGTAGTGGGTTCCAGCCCAGCAGCTGGGGTCTAATAATGGGGCTTGGGTAGACACTGAGGGATGTAGGCTGTGTTGTAGGACTCAGTGTAGGATCCTCTCCACACTTCAAAGCGACTCAGGATCCGTCGCACATCACTAAAGTCCTCATGAACATCAGAGAAGACCACCTGTGACCTCAGCATGACGTCCGCTGGACAATGACAGATGTGAGTGTGAGTGAGTCAGTGTAAGTCAGTATGAGTGAGTCAGTGTAAGTGAGTCAGTGTAAGTCAGTGTAAGTGAGTCATTGTAAGTCAGTGTAAGTCAGTGTGAGTGAGTCAGAGTCAGGGAGAAATAACAATGAGTCACATGTTACAGCACTTCACTAATACTGAGAACACTCACAGCAGCAACAAAGGTCAAGTTTAGGCATTGTTGACAGATGAGTGCTGAGATCAGTTCATACCTATAGTCTTCTGCAGATCTGCTGCCTCTTCAGCTGAAGGTGTTGAGTGATGAGGGAGCTGTTCATCCTCCTCCTCTGATTGGACAGTGACCTCAACCAAACTGATGAACATAAATATGAGGCTCAGAGCTCATCCTGTGTGTGTGTAGCTACAGAACTGTCCTCTTAACTCAGTGACTCTCAGGTTCAGAGCTGAACTTTTACAGAAACATCAAATCTGTAATGATTGATTTCAGACCATGGAGCTGAGTACTACTATACATACTTATACATACATATTAATGAAACTACAGAAATACTCGCTCCTTTAGCTTAAACACTGGCTCCAGGTGAATGTCAGGCACCAGGCCGTTTGATTGGTCTGTTGTGCTGTGATGTAGTCACTTCATGGGTCAGCCCTGCTCTCACTTCTTCCTTCTTAGCTGAATGACATTATTTATTATACTGATTCCATCTTCATGCCTTCAGCCTATAATGATCATGACCTGTGGCACACACCAGGCCAGACAACCACTTTACTGAGGCCATCTTTGGATAACCATGTTCACATTACTCCCACAACTCACCACTGAGGTTCTGTTTCACTGCTCTGTTCCTTAGGATCATCTAGAAAAGATAGAATTCAAATTCACCACATGTCAACACTGTGTTTCTTCACAGTTAAAACCTTTAGTCCTGCAGGTTCAAACAAACCAATGAAAAAGCTGGACTACAGGGCAACTGAAGGGTTAACAGTGAGTAAACAGTAACAAAGTAGATACACTAGTATTGCTGGTGTAGGTTCTCAGTCATCCAGGTCAATTAATTTAAAAATAGTTACATCTAAGACAACTGGACGGAGTAGGTTTTGTACGCTCACTTGGGTGACCAGACAGTCTTTTCCCAGTGTCTGGCCAAGATTCTAGAATTGTCCAGGAATTTGAGCTGTCTAAGGTCTCATCATGGTTCACCATAAACTAGTTAGGATGGATCAAAGGAAAGGAAAGGAAAGTTCACATTTGTTCACACTGATATAGTAGTCATTGACTGGTCTTGATCCAGTGGTACTGTATGTGGTACTGTATGTTTTGTGCTTATGGTCTTTTTAATAGACATCAAGGTACTTTGACTTTTAATACTTAAGTATATATGAAGTACTTTTATACAACTAGTCGAGTGTGAATTTAAAGTGAATACTTCAACTTTTAGTGGAATAATATTTTACATAAGGCATCTACACTTTCACTCAAGTAAGTAGTTAGTGTACTTCATCCACCACTGGACAACAGTGTGTAGACAACAGTGTGTAAACACTGTGTGTAGGCTGTGGTTCCTGCAGTCTAGCTAGTATGACCAGGACTTTATGCTGCTATATATGTTCAAGTTTTAATTGCTAACGTCAAACCCAGAATTAAGCTAATGCACTGTTTAATACCCGCCACTAGATGTCAGTGTTGCTAAGGACAAAATAAAAACGGATACACAGACAGAGACACATACTCTAGAGAGTGACTTGGTAAGTTTCTATGACCACACTTCTTCTTACATTTCATTAATTATACAACCTAACCATAACCACTTGTAGTAGAATATTTTCAGCTTTTTTAACAAAGTTGCTCAGTACATGTTGTGGAGTTTCTGTATGTGAAGAGGTTGAAAACCTGCAACTGTGTACAGGAACACAAACTCACAGTTGAGCCTCTGCAGATGCTCCAGCTGCTCCTTCATGTTCTGTCTTCTCTGGGTCAACAGCGCCTCCATCTGATCAGACAGCAGAACGTGAAGCTCCAGTTCCAGAGAGTTCACCTGAACCACCTATAGTCAGCAGACAGTCAGCAGAGGTCAGCAGAGGTCAGTAGAGGTCCACAGCAGGCTGCTTGTTTGGAGTCAATACATTCATTAAAAGACTATTTGCTTATTTCTCACCTTTTCTCTCAAACACTCCACCAGATTGTGGATATACAGCGCCGTTTCTCTGTAGAACGTCAGCTGACTCTCTGAAGAACATTCACTCAGACACTCTACAGAGGTTCTGGCTGTCTCCAGATCAGCATCCATGTTTACAAGTTCTACCTGCAGACGCCGGTGCAGCTCCTTCATTAAGTCTAGTCTGCAGTGAAAAAACATTCACAAGTGATGAGACTTTTTTTCATGTTTAATTGCAACAAAGTACTGGTACTGTTAGGTACCATTTAGGAACCTAATCCCAAATGAAAGCACACCTGCCTAAAGGTCCAAAGCCACCTACACCAGGTACATGACTTCAGGGAATTAGGACTACACGTCAGTTTACATCATTTAAAGTATTTAAGTAGGTAGAGTAGTAACACTGGTAGTTGTAGTACTACTTAAGGTAGTACAAATAAAGAGGTAAGACTTAAGCAAAAAAAGTTACTTTGAAACAATTTTCTTCTTGACCATTGAGACCGTGACAAGAGGAACAGTCTTGGGGACTCTGGGTGCTGCTGCCCTCTTTGGTCTGCTGCTGCAACTGCTCCACTCACTGCCAAAGAGACCCTGACAACAAGGTGGAGAGGAAAACATACAACATTTATGTTCTTTAAAGTACAAACTTCTGTGAACAAATCAAATAAAAAAAACCTTGTCGATGTTTTTAAAAAGGTCAATGATGATCACAGTGGAAACAAATGTAAATGTAAGACATATATAAAATGTATTTGAATTTTTCTGGGAGACCTTCATTCATCTACACCATTAATCTAAAAGTAAGAAATTCACTTTTCATCTGACATCACACTAAACCACACCTACCAGAACAACAATCTTTTATTTTAAAGTAATACATGCTGTGAGGACAACTGAGGGAGTGTGATATCTAGGGTGGGGTAAATCACAAGTTTCATAATATGAACAAACAAGAAGGAAAACAGATTTTAGAGCTTTTTTATTTTATAAACTGAAAAAGAAAAGGATGAACAACAGGAATGTTTTACCTGTTTCCCTAGCTGTCTTTTCATTCCCTTGCCAATCTGTGTCTCCTCCCAAAGTTCTTGCTCCTTCTCCTCCTCCTCATCAGTGGCAGACTGGCTGTCATCACTTCCTCCTACACAATGGACATAGAGATCAGCTTTTCTGCTAACTGCTGTAGTCTGTTGAACAATAACAATAATACTAATAGTAATAATTTTATTATTTTTCCTTTCATACCCATACTCTCAGCCATCCTCTCTTGAATGGTCTTTGGCCGAGGTGCAAACTCAATTCTTCTCTCATGATCATCTAGATCATCATCATCATCATCATCATCGTCATTATCATTAAATCCATGTTCTTCATTCTCCCCACTGTAGAGTTTCCGGCTCCTGCCAGTAGAGGTCACCCCATCACAGTCCAGAGAAATATAGTCCTTCTGGGTTCGGTTGGTTCTGCGCTGAATCTTAGCTGCCTGTATCTCCTTACTCTTCGGGATTTCGACTAGAAAAATGAATAATCATTTGTGCATTAAATCACACAATCATTTAGGTCAGTCATCAAACTGTCACATTTTCTAAACATCTGCGATGCTATAGTCTTCATCATGATGTTTGAGACTTTTCAAATCAGCGGGGAATGTTATCAGAACTACCTTACACATATTGATTCTTAAGTTGGTTCTGTTGCTAAATTTAAGTCTACAAGGAAACATTGACATTGAGAAGTTTTCTGTCAGTCTGAGCCATAAAAAAAAAAAATCATTCAACAAGACACACAAACCTGGTCTGTCAGTGGAACGATCTGAGTCAGAGTGACGTGATGGTGACTTGACACCACTCTCATCACTGTCACAATCATCTTCGGCATCGTCATCATCACCTTTACATTTCCCACCAAGTGGTAAAGAGTGACGATCTGAGGTGTGCTGAGGAGACGACGACCGCTGCAGGTGTCCAACAGCTGACAAACCACACACACCTAAACAAATACAGCATACAAATGTTTTTAATCAGATATTGAAACAAGTGTTCCGCAACACTGTGTTCTCTATATGTAAACACAACTGTTAAACATTATTATTGTAGTGACTAGATCAGGGGTGTCAAACATATGGCCCGGGGGCCAAAACCGGCCCACTGGGGTGTTTGATCCGGCCCACGTGATGAATTTTAAAAATAAAGAAAAAAATTAAAAACACTTCATGTATTATAGGATATTTTTCGCAAAACTTATATTTCATTAAATATGAATAAATAATAATAAATAGCTAATATACTTGTACTTGTTTGCATAAAAACAAAGGGGAAAAACATGGACTCTTCGTTATTTATAATTAATTATGTTATGGTCCGGCCCACTTGACATCTAATTAGGTTGTATGCGGCCGCTGAATCAAAATTAGTTTGACACCCCTGGTTTAGACTCTAACCCCTGACTCCTACCTCAATAACTGACTGAGTGAACCTACCTCAGTGACTCTGACTGAGTGGGCCTCCCTCAGTGACTCTCACGGAGTGGGCCTACCTCAGTGACTCTCACTGAGTGGACCTACCTCAGTGACTCTCACTGAGTGGTCCTACCTCAGTGACTCTCACTGAGTGGGCCTCCCTCAGTGACTCTCACGGAGTGGGCCTATCTCAGTAACTCTCACTGAGTGAACCTACCTCAGTGACTCTGACTGAGTGAACCTACCTCAGTGACTCTGACTGAGTGGGCCTCCCTCAGTGACTCTCACTGAGTGGGCCTCCCTCAGTGACTCTCACTGAGTGGACCTACCTCAGTGACTCTCACTGAGTGGTCCTACCTCAGTGACTCTCACTGAGTGGACCTACCTCAGTGACTCTCACTGAGTGGTCCTACCTCAGTGACTCTCACTGAGTGGGCCTACCTCAGTGACTCTCACTGAGTGGGCCTCCCTCAGTGACTCTCACGGAGTGGGCCTATCTCAGTAACTCTCACTGAGTGAACCTACCTCAGTGACTCTGACTGAGTGAACCTACCTCAGTGACTCTCACTGAGTGGGCCTCCCTCAGTGACTCTCACTGAGTGGGCCTACCTCAGTGACTCTCATTGAGTGGGCCTGTCTGCAATCATTCTTGTTAAAAAACGAAAAAAAAAAAAAAACACTCAGTAGTAGGTATGTAAGCACCTCTACTCCATATTCCTGGGCATTAGTTAATAACATGTGAGCATGTTTACAGACGGATAGCGTGGATCAGTTCAAAGACGTACCTGTGTTGTTTGTAGTCTCAGTAGAATCTTTTTTCTTTGGAACTTGAAACATCACAGGTCTATCAGTAGACTTTTTTACTTCAAATGTTTCGTCATCTAAAATAATCAGACCAAAACAGAGATCCATAAACAACACTTTAAACTTTTCAGAAATGCAAAAATAGAAGTTAATTATGTCGTGTGGCTTGTTAAATATTTATTTGAATATCTGTGTTTTTTAGATCCTCATTGTGGAATTATTGATGTTATATCTCGTGAATTTAACCTAAATAAAGATTTTCACGTATTCCGTAATTTACCTTCTTTATACTCGGAAAAACTAAGAGCACTGCTGGATTTCTTATTCCTTGTCTCAGTTCTTTCCTTCTTCGTTTGTTCTTTCTCTACAACTGTCAGACTTTTGGCTTCCTCTTCATCGCTGTTGCTCAGTTTCTCCTCCACCGGCTTGGAGTTGGGGCTGCCTTCTTCATATTTAAGCTTTTCACTGATCAAAATCGCTGCATTTTCACCCCCTCTTCTGTCATTTCTCTGCTGCTGCTCTTCTTCGTCACTCGAGCTCTGCTTCCTCTGTCGAAAAATCCTCCTGGACTTCTTGTTGAACATCTCTATCTCTCGCCTCAACGTTACCAAAAGAATTAAAGGTAGAACGGTTTACGGCCAGTCGAAAAACATGCAAAAGTGTTGCAAATTAACGTAATAGGACTGCCCACTTTTAAAGCGGCAGTAACTTTAGGTGAAATTTTTTTTTTTTTCTTGTTGAAGTTTCATTGGAGATCAAAAAACATTTTCAAAATAAGAATGAATAAAATATAAAACATTTAGAAGACACTAGCAATGCTGTGTGGCGTTGCAGTATTCTGGGTGGTAGAGTCGCAGGGATCACGGCGTCATTTGACGCTATTTCCGGTCGAGCCGTGTCGGGAAAATACTTCTGAAAATAGAATAGTTTATAATAAAAGGTTAAAAAATACAAATATATGTGTATTTGTTTAAAAAACAACCAGTGAGAAATGCTGCTAGAGCACTGTTGACAACACACGTTTATGTTCTGAACAGTTAGGGTGAGGTTTACTGTTGCATAAATGCAGTTTATTAAGAAATAAAAGCCGTTTATTGAGGTGAGACGCTGTATTACAGTACACATATTTAGGTACTGTAATAATTATATTATAATTATTCTTTTGTTTCTGAACCTTTGAGGTGTCAGGTGACACCAAACAAACTAATCTTTGTATTAATATTGGTTTAAATTCATAATGTAATTGTGCAATATCAATTAACAACAATAATGATGATCAAACCTGATAAATAAAATAGTTGTTTAACATATTTGTTGATGTTTAGAAACTATTGTAATACTCCACTCCCTAATGATTGGACTTCACTAATTGACTAGTTAATAACTTGATTCTTGTGGAATAATCAATAACAAATGATTTTCCTCTGCCCAAATATCAACAGTTTCCTTCCCTTTATCTTTTAACAATTATCTTTATTGAGAACATTGTAAAAAGAATATACACAGATTCAGCTCCAGTGGTGGGGGCGGCATCATTTTTCTAAAACAGAAAAACAGCTGACCCCAAGATTCATAAAAAGGTACAGCCTGTGTTTTTATTCATACTGTTCCCTTCAGACTGGGGAACAAGCACAGCTGATGGGAGGTTCTGACAGAACCTTCGGACCCATCAATTCTGGTAGCTTCCTCATAGTTTTCTTCTCCGTGTGACCGGTTTGGTATAAACCTTGTCCATGACACGTTTGCGCAGGTTCATGCTGGAGGCTGAGACCTGGGCTGCCTTAGTTGTCCTCTGAGGCTCACCCGGACTGGGCAGAGGGGAGATCAGGTCCACCTGAACTTCAAGAGGCATCTCTGGAACCGATTTGGATCTGGAGGCAGCAGAACCAGGAATGAACAATGATTTTATTTAAAAACGGTGACAAAGACCAAAGAGCAGCCTGCACAGGTGACCAGAGTTTGGACCTGGTCTCACCTTGATGTTTGTCTGCGGGTTCTTCTGGTTGTAGAAACACCATCTGTTTCTTTGTTTGAGGAAACCCCACCCTGAAACACAGAATGTACCATAATGACTGGATCATGTGATCCTGCCTCAGACCAGGTACTGAGATAACACCCCACCCTCAATCACTTATGCCCCCTGCTGGCTGAATGTGAAGTCAATAAGATTAATGAACTCATAACTGGGACCGAAGAAGCAGAAAAACAGAAATGACTCCAGAAAGTAGGAGGGAGAGGATGAGAAGTACTAACTACTAACCTGAGAGGGAACATCTTGCAGATTTCTACTGCTGGGGGTGACAGTCACTGCGGCCTCCTCCCTCTGACCAGGAGACGCTCCTCTGTGGTTGGCTGATACATGACAGAGACCTGAAGTCATCAAACTCTTCCCACTGCAGTACATGTCTACAGACTGCGTTAGTCTGTCTTACCTCGGGTTCTTCTTCGTGAAGGTGTGTAGATAATGGACTGTTGGGCTGGACCTGAAGCACTGTCCTGCTTCTCCTCCTCATCCTGTAGCCTCCTGATGAGGGCGTCAGCCACTGGAGTTTGGTGGTCCACCTCCAGAGGAGTCTTCAGTAGAGCCAGATCTTCCTCAGGATGATGCCAGAGTTTGTTCCTCGTCAGTGGGCCGGAGTGGCTGTTCTTCTCATCTTCGCTCTCCTTGGTGTTTGCACTGATGCTCCTTTGCCTCAACTTTTCCACAGCAGAGAGAAAACACAAGGAAATGTGATAGTAGCCATGGAGTCATGGTTGATGCTGGACAGGAACACAAACACCACAAAGACAACAAAGACCTAGACCAGGCATGGTCTAACTACGGCCCAGGGGCCGGATGCGACCCGTTTGGCGTTTTAATACAGCCCGTCAAACTTGTCTAAATTATGTTATTGATTTCTATCATTATACTTCTGCCTTTTACCTGCAGTGCCTGCATTTCCCCAATTGATGGTGAAGAAACGGCTAAAAGCATTTTAGCATTTATTCATGACTTTTACATGTCTTTTGTCTTCGTTTATACGAACGCTTCATCTATCTGCTCCTGACCCCCTCGTCCCCATCTAATTTTAGGACCGTTTGTGGCCCACGGGTCAAAAAGTTTTCCCACACCTGACCTAGACCAAGAATCTGCAGCCTTCACATCATTTTCACCAGGAACCACACAAACAGTGCTTTTAATTTTTTAATCCAGGATTTACGCTGGAGTTTTCTGTAAAGAGAAGCTTGTCCTCACCTGTGAATGAACATTCTGGGAGATACGGCGGGACTTCCTGGTTGTCCTGCCAAGCTCCTGGTCTTTCTTGCCTTCGTCCTCCTCATCTTGCAGGAGCAATTCAGACTGGTCAAACTTGATCTTTCTGGAGCTGCGTTGGTGGAGAGGTGCAAAAACTTCATCTAGAATTTCTTGCTCTTCCACACTCTTCAGTGGCGTGGACTCAACCTTGCTGCTGCCTTGAGTCCTCCTGCTGGACTTTCTTGGAATTGTTGCCCGGGCCAGGTGTTGTTTGGGTGATTTATCGGTCTTGGAGTCTTCGTCCTCTCCTTTTGTTTGACCTCCTGTGTTGATCTTCATGCTGCTCTCTCGGCTCCTTTTTGAGAGCCGTCGTACCACTGAAGAAGACACCTCAGCGGCTGAAGTCTCTGTGGGAGGCTGCTCTGTGTCTGAGGCCTGTGTGTCCTCCTCCACCACCTCTGTAGGCAGCTCTGGCAAAACTTTGAGGGTAGACCTTGCAGGTGTACCAGTGCGAGGGTGACTTTTTCGGGGTGTGCGTCGAGGAGAGGCAGAGATCTTATGTGGCTCTACTCTCACCTCCTGGTCTTGCTCCTCTGGGAGAAAGGAGACAAACTGAACAGACTTTCTTGTGCTCCTCCTGGTCGGTGTTGAAGGAGGCTTCTTTCTTTGAGAAGAAGTAGTTTCTAGGAGTAGTTGCTCCTGCGGCAGAGTAATCACAGAGTCATCATCTTTTCTCTGCCGTCCTCTTGTAACTCTTTTTGTCACAGTTACTTCTGCACTCTCTTTTCTTTCAGCTGAAGCTCTGTGACCGTCTTCCTTCTTCTCCACCTGCTGCTCTTCCTCTTCCTCCACCTGCTGCTCTTCCTCCTGCTGCTCTTCCTCCTCCTCCACCTGCTGCTCTTCCTCCTCCTGCTGCTCCTCCTCCACCTGCTGCTCTTCCTCCACCTGCTGCTCTTCCAAAACCTGCTGCTCTTCCACAGCACTGTCACCAACCTCTTCCTCCACAGAAGTGATATGATTGTCTTCAGGTGGGTTTTGCTCCTCAGCAGGTGTGTTGATGCCTGTAGGACACTCTGAGTCTCTGAGTTCAGTAGTATCTGCATGTGCCTCACCCAGCTCTGTGTTCAGATCAACCTCAACTATTACAGATTCTGATTTACCTTGATCTCCCTTCTTTATCTGAAGGCTCTCCACACCTGGATTAGACTGACCATCAGGTGTTAGATCTCCATGGACAGGTGTCTCCTGCTCATCTGTGTCCAGCTGAATGGCTTTGTCTTCTCCTGGTAGACAAGAAGATTGCAAATCGTTCTCCAGAGTGATTTTGAGCAGCTCTTCATTCTCATCATCTTCCATGTCAATCATCAGAGAGAAGCTGCAGTGAGACTCTGTGCTTCTGTGTTCAGCCGGCGAGTCCTCCACGATGTCAGGTAGTTCCAGGTGAGTGCTGTCCACCAGGCCAGGCTGTCCGTCTACCAGCTCCAACGGGACCAGGAATGTGGTGGAGGGTTTAAGCTCCATGTACGAGGAGCTTTCCTGCTCCTCATCCTCCATACTTCCTTCACCAGTACTGACTCGGACCATCACCACCTCATCCTCCATGTCCACTTCTACAGCCTGTGAAAGACAGAGCCAAATTGTAAGGACTAGCTGCAGACTCCAATCTGCATCCTACATGTTGGTTAAGAAACAGTGGAGGTTCTTGAAAAGTCTGGTAAATTTTTATATTGTACTTGATTTTCCATGCTCGGTGTTCGTACCTTCATCTCTACAGTAGCCGGAAACAGGGAGAATTGAGCAGCTTCCTGTTCTGATACACTTGGAGGGGGGGGTGTCGACACCGGGGGAGGCTGACTCCCACTGCCTTGCACTTCTTGAATGATCTCCACCTCACTCCCAGAGTCTATCTCCTCCTGATTTTCTTCCTTTTCCTCCTCAGTATGATCAGATTCCTCCTCTTCACCCTCAGACTCGGGGCTGGAGGGATCTTCACTGTCGTATACAGTCACAACAGCTGATGGATTTAAAGAAAAGTGTTAGCTTTACCTCAGGATAATGTGATGTCTGTCATCAAAGTCACTAACGTGCTCATATCTACAGTCGTACTCACAGTGAGAGTCTGTGGCCGTCGGTTCAGATGATGTCACTGAGACGTTTGACTTCTGACTGGTAGAAGCGACTGTCCTCTCCACTGCCATCTGTTCCACCATCTCCATCTCACCCAGAAACTCACTGAGGAGGTTCAAACCATTTAGTCTTTAAAATAAATGATGTTTCAAATATAAGGTTCAAAGGCCGAATCTCACACACACCACCTGCAGGGCTGTGAGCAGAAATTGGGTGGAGTGAAACTCCACATATAATCACATGATTTAGTGGTGGCACAGCAATAAAACAATGACAATGTGCTGGATGCTGGTGCACTAGTGACAACATACCAGTCTATTCACCTTCCTGTTATGTTTCAGTTTTTGTGTTGACCAAAGTATGGCCATCCTTTCGTTTTCTTCATAAAAGTCTGTGACTTTTCCTCATCTAGGGTCATGAACTGGAGTGTAACATTGGGAGTGTTATGTCCAGTCCATCACATTAAAAATCTGAATAACAGGTGGAAATTACTATAAATACATATAATTTATGTAATTTATACATATAAACAGTTTATTTTTATAAATAATTATAAAAATAAACTGTTTGTGAAAAGGAATAAACTAATAATTTCTAAATATAGTATGTAAATATAGTGTTGGAATTTAAAAATGTATTGAATGTCTCTTTTCTAAATGTTAATAATAAAATTGTTATTAGTTTTTATAATACGAGGGTTAGGGTCAGGTCTCGTGTTCAGTCAAAAACCAGCACCTGGACCAGGTGTCGTCAGTGTTGGTGAAAAGTCCTGACCCATTGAGAGGACCGGATTTATATAAAACAACATACCAGCAAATTAGTCATTGGACAAGGCTTAAAAATTTGTTTTTAGCCCAACCTACAGGCTAGAAAAGGGAAGTCACATGGGGATCTAGACAAACTACCAGAGTCACTGACCAAACGGAACCGATTCCATGGATTTATTTATGTGTAAAATAATTAAACAGACTACTGATATAAAGTTTTTAAATTTAAATTGTTTAACATTGTTCTCTCTGTAAGCCTCCTCCCACCCCTCTCTGAGCCAGGCCACTCCCCCCAGCCCTCTTCCTCCTCCCATGATGAAGAGAGAAAGACCTTGATGTCTGACCCATTAGGACAGGACTTCCTTTTCTAGGGGCCACTCTGAAGAGTTTTCTTTGTCTTTATTTGAATGAAAATGTAGCTGTAACATACTCTATAGCGTAGTAAACAGTACATGTATAGTACAAATGCTATAAAGGTTACTGTACCTGTTAAGGGACTGGTGTTTGTGTGACGTGTCATGGATTCCAGCACGGGTAAGTGAAGAAGACAGATCATCTCCAAATAGATGGTGCTGCACGAACTCTGTCAGGTCTGAACCAGAGAAGAGGACATGTCATCAGTCTACGTCAGTCTATGTCAGTCTACGTCTGTCTATGTCAGTCTACATGGGACAAACCTGTGGATTCTTCTGGATCTTCCTCTGCTTCCCTTTCTTCTTCTGTGGCTCCACAGGGGGTTTTGGCCTCACATTGAAATTCTGGTTCAGTGTCCGTGGTTTCTTTTTCCTGAGATTCAGGACCAGGACCAGAATCAGTGTTCTCTTCTGCACAATTAAAGCAAAAAACAAGCAAATGGTTTAAACCACCATTCTGGAAGGTTGAAGTAAAAGAACTGAATATTAGAAGTTTGAACCTTGAAGTATTTCATAAATCCCCTCCAAAATCAGGAGACGGTTACCTAGACTGGGCATGTCTATATAGTCATAGTTCTTATTTTCACGGTCCATCTCAGACTGATCATCCATCTGGTTTGTAGCCTTCTTCTCCAGAATGTTCTCAATGACATCTTCTTCTGCTGTCTCTTCCTCCACAGCAGGTTGTGAAGACCAGGTATTTCCTGTCGCCTTGGACAGTGTGCAGCCTTTGGTCAGTAGTCCAATATCACTGCCTGCTGCCATCTAGAGGGGGAAACACAAGAAGATGACTAAAGGACATATTCAGCACAGTATGTGTGAACGACCACAAAGTTAATGCTGTCAGGTATTGATGTACAGAAAAATGATGCAACAATGAAGTGGGTTTTCTAAATATATTGATCACTTTAACATGTTATCTTGTTTTCCTGAAAAGCCTTCTGAGATTCAGGAGGTGGCTAACTGTAAATAAGCAGATGAATGGCAAAGACACCAACAGCAGTTGAGACTTTTATCTCTGAATAAATTATCTTACTCCACTGGACCACTGGATGTCCTTCGCTGAAACAGGAGACTCTGCCTCTTCGATGAAAGTGATGCGGTTCTCTTTGCTGCGAAGTGGAGGAGTGATGGAGCGCCCTGGTGAGGCAGAAGGTGTAGCCACAGGTGTGGGCCTCAGGCTGCTGCGGAGGATGGACTGTGGAGTGAAGGCCGAAAAGACCGGGACAGAGGCAGCCAAGGCCCGAGCTCTCTGAGTGGTAACCACAGCAACAAGACGAAGTGAGCCATCAACAACATGTGCATACTGTACATGGCGACCAGTGTTAATGTCACTGAAACGTAACATCACATTGAATGTGAACCATGAGAAAAAAGATGGGTTTTATTCTCATAATTCTGGACTTTCATTATGTCATAATAATAGACCAGTGGTCCCCAATCCCTGGGCAGACCAGTGCAGGTCCGTGTTCAATTGGTACAGCATGTTTTATTTTGAAAAATGACCGGATTCTCTCCACCAGATCTGTCTATGACTCACACTTGATCACTCACCTTGACAACCTGGGGTGTTTGCAGCAGACTCAGTTCTGGAGCTTTGCCAACACCTTTCACAGAGACCCAGGACCTGGGAGTTCGAGGAGGACTGAGGAGAGACTGCTGGTTCTGACAGGAGGGCTGGACCAACAAATCCATCAACCTGCACCATCATCAACAGAGATGGAACCTTACTGCTAAGTTGTTTATTTTTAAAATAATAAAGACTAGTATATGTACTAGTACATGTACCTGGACTTCCGTTTATTGGTCATAGTGAAGGGAGTTCCCAGGAAATCACCAGGGGGTGCTGAAGGGGATGATGTCCTGGTACCTGGGCTTTGATAGTCAGCTGTTTTAGGGCTAAAAGCAAAAGAAGGAATAATTAGAAACCATTTAAAGGAACAGGAAGTGGTTTTCTATCATCTTTAATTCTTACGTCCTGGCTGGGGACAACTCCTGCGTGGAATCTTTGTTAGCCCACACTTCCAGGATCTTGGTCAGGACATCGTTGATAAATCCTGCCCTGGACATGACTTTCCCACTGGTGGAGGGTTTGGAGACTGTGGACAGAGGCTGTGGCCGAGACACTGCAACAGCATGACCATTTAAAACGGTCAAAGAATGAGTGTGATGTAAAAAGTCAATCATTACAGAAAAGGAGGGGGATGAGCAGATGAATGCTGCTTCCTAACACTAGGTGAAAATGAACGAGGACTGAGGACATGGTCCAGTTCATTTTGTCTGTTCGATCACTCCTGCTCACCCTGTCTGTGAATTGTGCAGTGTGGCTCGTACGGCTTGGCTTGATCCATGGCCAGTTTTCTTTGAACCTTGGGTAGAACTTTTCCGTACTGTTCCAGGATGGAGTTCCTGCTGTTGGATCGTTCTTTTAGCTTTGGATCTCGCTCGTTCTACAAACACAGACATTTAAAAGACTTTTGTATGAATTTATACCACAGCACCATCAACCTTTGACCATCATGGTGCAGCTCAATCCTACCACCAGGTTGAGTTTGAGTCTGTGGTTGAGCTGCAGAGCAGGGATGTAGTTGGCCTGCTGGAGATAATAAACCATCAACAGTTCCCTGTTTTGGAGGCCTCCTGTTCCCTGGAGGAACTTCTCCAGACATTCCTGAAACACACAGGTCAGGAGCATCAAAATGTTTTTCTAAACAAACATAAAAAAGCTGAAGAACAAGAGTACAAAGAAAACTTTTTTTAATGTAGAGGAAATGTCTGCAGGTTTCTTCAGCTTCTCCTGGCATTTTGTTTGTCAGGGTAGAACACGTAGCTCCCCGTCCTGGTCTGTAGGCATTGCTAAGCACACATTGAGAGCGTTGTTCTCTGATTTTAAATCTAATCCTGTAAACTGGGTCAGAACTTTTGTTTAAACATTCAGACTTGTGACTGACTGTCCAGTGATTCAAGACATGGAGCACACTCATGTCACATGTCACCACTCTAGCATTTAGCATGTTAGCTGTGCTGTAAATATGAAGTGATAAGTTTGGCACAAAAAAAAAAAAAAAAGAATGCTGGTTCAGATCCCATGACCAGCTGGGCTGCAAACACTACATAAACATCCTGTTTTAGGAATTAGTTAGTTACAAAGGACTCATTGGGTAAGTGTGTGTGTGTTGTTTCTTCCAATCTCCTATTAAGCTCAGTCTGAGAGAGAAAATATGAAAATAATCTCCCACCTGTTCCCTCTGGCGCAGCGGCAGTTTGAACAGCTCTTTGATTAGATCCAGTTCCTGGCACTTTTCAAAAAGGACCTCAAGCAGCTCACTCATGTTTAATCGATTTGAGTGCTGTCGTACTAAAGACCAGGCCTCACTGAGGCACCTGCCACAAAACAGAAAGACATTCACTGAAGTGGTGCAACAAAACCCTGGCTAGGACCAGGTTATTGAGTCAATTATTTGAAAAAAAAAAAGGTTAGGGTATAGAGCATAGTCCAGCATAGTAAAGAGAGAATATATAATATATATATATATATATATATATATATATATATATTCAGTATATATATATGAAAGTGAACTACTTGTCATTGTGACACAGCACAACACTGCACACAGTGAAATGTGACCTCTGTTTTTAAGGACATGCTCAGAGTGGACTAGAACCCGAAGCCTTCCAGACCCAACTCCGCTTCCTTAACCACTGCCCTATACGTATATACAGTATATACATATACACGCATACATATATATACACATATATATATATATATACATACACATACATATATATAGATATATACATACATACATACATATATATATACATACATATATATAGATATATACACAGTATACATACATATATACATACATATATATATATATATATACATACATATATATATACACATACATATATATACATACATATAAAGTTGGAAGATGTCAACAGACACCTGCCCACTCTCACTCTTACCTGTTGTGTAGCAGCACAGACAGACACAGTTTGGCCTGAGAGGTGGAGTTGATCAGTGGCTTGGTCAGCTGCAGGTATCGCAGTGCGATGGAGTGTTTTCCCTGACACATGAGAGTATTCAGAACACGCTCATGCTGCCATTTGAAGTGGTACACAGAGGCAGCAGGGTGGAGGAGCAGCTCAAAGGAACTCTGAACACAAGAGATTTAAAATGAGCTGAGTGACACTAGGACGCCCGTCACTGGTGGTTCACAACAGGTGCCACTATTCGTGGTACTAAGACCATAGGTCACAGGTCACCACCCAGCAGTCAGATGGGAGTCTAATGACAATAATGAATCAATCTAACATAACGTGTGCCAACCCAGCCGTGATGATCCAGCAGCCAGAAGCCCTGCACCAGCTTCACTAGCCCCACTGGGATGGCAAAGGCGGAGGGGAAGGAATGAACTGATGCTCCGTCCTTATTGGGAAATGAGTGCATGACATCCAGTAGCAGGTAAATCACCTGGAACAGCAAGTTAAGGTAGACAACAACATTTGTTTAAAATTGAAAAAAACAAACAAAAACAAACAAACTATGTAAATTAAAGCTAGAAACAAAACAAAAAACCCTACATAACCACTTACAAAACTCAAAATTCACTTTAAAGCTCCATTAGCAGATCCAGAAGAAATAGCAATTAAAATGTTTCCATACATACATATACATACTGTATATATGTATATATAGAGAGATAACTGAAGGATACAATAGCATGCTTGGTGGTTTCATCAATGTTGTGCAGCAGATAAATGTCCAACAAGGCCTGTGGACAAAGACACACAGTCAGTCTACAGACTGCTCTTCATAAACACAGCTGAAGGAAGTTTGGTTGGTCAGGCTTCAAACAGACTTTCACTTACATGCAGAGTAGGGGGAGGATACTGGCCTGTCCCCCCTTCATCTCTTTTCCAAAGACTGGTTAGATGTTCACCACACTGAGCCACCATACCATCAATCATCAGGCAGTCTGCAGACCACTGACCCCTGAGATAACAGTCAGATAATCAAAGACTTACTTAGACGGTTCAGTATCTGTTAGTGCCACAGTTTGCTACTGAAAACTTCTCAAGGAGAATATTACAACTGAAAAAACAGTCTGGTTGAAATGTCAAACACTTCAAATGTAGAAAAAGATTGAATTGAGTGAATGAATGAAACATTTTTAAGTGAAGTAGTGAAATCACTACACACTTGGCCAGGCTGGACAGCTCCTCCCTGCGAATGGTGTAGTAGTTGCTTATGACAGAGTGGGTGAAGAACGGCCTGGAGATCTGCAGCAGATCTTCCTCTGAGTGAGAAGAACCCACACACAGAAATGACAAAAAACTTATGTCAACCAAGTAACATAAGTATCATACTACACTTATAACTTTCTGAAAAAATAAAAAGAACTTCCCAAAAATGAATAAAAATGAATTGTGCTTTTTTATCTTTAAAATTCTTATTTTTAATGTTTGTTTGTTAGTTATTGTGCATTCCTGATTCATACATTATATATTTCTATACACAAAACTTTTTCTCATCGACTTATCTGACAAACGTTAGGTTTTTAAACTGATGACACCATCACCAATAATCAATGCATGTTGTCTTTTTAATAATATTGTACTTGTGTTGTGATGGATGTAGTCCTGTAACAACTGTTGTTCTGGCTACAAGAGTTACCACCGATGTAACAACTCTTCATAATACTGAAGGTTCCTGTGGACATGATGATGTCATCAAGGCGTGGATTCACACTGTTGATGAGCACTGCTATATTTAAAGTGCTTACATTGAGAGGTTTGAGACTGGTCACCTTTCATGGTGTTCCTACCTGATCCCTCTGGGAGGAGGCCAGTGCGACAGAACCACACCACCACCTGAGCGTACTGGGAGATGAGACGAGACACCAAGTTCTTGTTGATCAGACCCACCAGACCTGCAGAACAGAACAACCTTCAGACAAAGACAGACCGAGGGAATCATCTTCTTTGTGAGCGAGCCTCAAACCAGGAGGTGGCGCTGCACCTTTCTGTGTCAGATCCTGGGCTTCAGTCAGCAGACAGTGAAAGATGGTGCTGAGATTTCCCAGCATCCTCTGGTTGTGCTGAAGCAATTGCAAAGTCTGAGGGTCTATGAAGTTTGAAGAGCTGTCGAACAGTGGAGCACCTTCAAAATAAGCGCAGAACTATGATCAGTGCATAGAAAAGTACCTCAGTGTCTGATATAGAATTTAGACTTAAAATGTCAACTGGAGGTTGAACATACAGATTCCATTCAGTTCCTCTTTGGTCTGGACCACTTTGTTCCAGGCCCAGTCCAGAATGTAGCGCAGGTTGAGGGCAGAGCCTGGTTGTTCTGTGGAGGTGGAGAGAGAGAGAGAGAGAGAAAAGAGAGAGGTAAATGTAGAAATCTTTTACTATTGTTCTATATCTACTACTTCCAAAGGAAGTGTGTGCAGATTGTGAGGTCACAAATCTGTGTCTTACACCTGAGGCTTGTGGATCTAAAGGTCATGGAGGTCAAAGTGACCCCAACAAGAAGGCTGCTCTCCTGTCTGCTTTGCAACTTCTTTTTTTCTATTTTGGAAAGGTTACACTTTTTTTTTTAAATAAAGCACATCTTCATTAAATATGAACATAAAAATACAAATCATGTCAGTCTTTATTTCTTTCTAACCAGGTGCCAGGTCTGGATCCGGGGAGCTCTGCTTTTCCACAAACACTTCTCTAGTCTAAAGATGTTTATGGTTTTTTTTATTTTTTTGTCTTTTATTTTCATGACAGCAGCATCAAACTAACTGCCAGGACAGAAGATGTTTAAGGTGAAGTGAGGAATAAAAAAAACAACCTAAAAGTCTTCCTGTGAAGATGGACATTGAAAGTCAAGTCAAAGGAACATTTCAGTGTGTGTTGATGTAACAATGACAGCCATCAGGATCATGAACACCTGACAGACCTTAACTTCTCACCTTCTGCAGTCCACTGCTTTATACAGCCTGTGATGAGTCCCAGGGAGCTGGCCTCCACTGCTGTAGACAAGATGGCGTCCAGCTGCTCCTCCTAAGGTTCAACATCCAGTTGAATGTGAAACAACTTCAGACAAAGACTCAGAGGTCAACTGTGTCGAGCACTGATAAAGTACGGTACCTGTGAGAGGCTGCTGGCCTGAGTGTCAGCCTGTCGAGATGAGAGGAGGCCGGACGAGAGGCAGCGAGAGTAGATGGTGGATATAACATCAGCAGAACAAGGAGCCGCTTTTCTTAGAAAGTTCAGGGTCTGTTTCAATGACAGCAAGTACAGGTGTGAGGACCTTACTGTAGTCACGTGGCTTCACATAACAGACATGAGAGACTTGCCTCCTTCTGATACCCAGAACAGGTAAGGTGCACCAACCCTGAGGCCAGCAGACAGGTGGCATCTGAAAAATGAAAAAACAACAAACAACAACTGTTAGTCCAGTCAGAGAAAAGAGAAGGCAGCAGGGAAGACATGACTGATACAGAGACAAGAACTTTCAAGAGCTCAGTATTCACCAAAATTGTAGGTGGTGGGATTGAAGTACTGTTCTGGTGGGGGGCGAGTGAAAGGCAGTCCACGGCTCAGGCTCCGCTCATGAACCACCACATCCAGGAGAACATGTGTGGACACCATGTGCATCACATGGTCAAGAGACCAAACTGCCAAGTAAGGACAATTCTGCAGAGACTCCCCCATCCTGACAACCAAACCAAACAGGTCTCATGTTCCTGCACATTCTCAGTAGAACCAATTCTGCTCACAACAGCTGAAATGTACCTTAAGGAGTCTGGCATCTGTGCGTGGTACCAACGGTTGATGTCAAACACCCCGATGTAGGTGGACGGGCTTCCCTGACCGTAGGCTTTGACCTGCCAGCTGAAGAGGGCGACGCTGGTGTCCGGAGAGGCAACTGAAAAAACACAACAAGGTCACAGGCTGTTTGACTTAGAGAGAAACAGGGGGGCAGGTGTCATTGAGTGTCATTGAGTGTGTGTGTGTGGGGGGGGGGGGGGGGGGGGGTTGTTGGGGGGGGGGGGGGGGGGGGGGGTTGTTGGGGGGGGGGGGGGGGGGGGGGGGTTGTTGGGGGGGGGGGGGGGGGGGGGGGGGGTTGTTGGGGGGGGGGGGGGGGGGGGGGAGGGGGGTCTTCATCCTTCAGACGAAGAACTGTGTTCTGTGGAAATTATCTTTATGAAAGAACCTGAAGGATCAGGTACAGTACCAGAACCAACAACAACAGAGATGTGGAGTCTTGACTTGACAGAGAAGTGAATTTAGTGGAAACGCTGGTCCTGAACAAGTATTCACACATTATCATTGCTCCTATCACACAGCAGGCTGACCTTCGTTCATGCTGTCATCTCTGTCAGGGTGGGGTCTGTATTTCTCAATGGTCTGGCAGTGGAGTAGGCGGGTGTTTGTCGTGGGGGCCCTGAGTGGGAACCCTGTGTATCCCAGCAGCTGACTGTAGCGTTCCTCACAGTACTCCAGACCCTGGTGATAACGGACAGAGGAGACAGATCAAATCCAGAACTCCTGACATTTAGAGAAACAGACAGAAAAGTCCAAACCTCGTAGAGGATCTTTCCAGAAGACAAACACTTCCTCTCACTGAAGGCCAGCTGGAGCAGACGCAGACTGACCCCATCGCCCTCACTGCAGGATACAGACAACGTGAAGAAGAAACACATGAGAATATAGTGGTGGGGGTGTGGTTTAAATTCTTCTGTTCAGTTAGTTCTTCACTGCTCTTTAACACTGGATAATGCTGAGCTGAAACGGCTCTTTTGATGGATTCACAGTAGAAGTTCACATTTGCTTTTTGACCATGGGTGGCAGTACGGGTCAGCAGCCTGGATGCTGGTGAGTTGTGGTCATGCAGTTCCACAGATGGTATGTTCTCGTTTGAAAAAAAAAATCTCTGTGGATATACACTACTACACACTGCCTACAACATTAGTGCAGTTCTGTGTACTGTAGATTAACGTGGTTTTTTTTTATGTTAGCCAATACCTCATGTATTGGCTAACATAAAAAAGCACTGCGTTATGAAGAAATGATATTGGACTCACAGGTCCTGAGAAGACTGGACCGCCCAAAGGTAGCAGCAGTTCCTGGGATCATTCTCTGGTTCCTGGAATGTGAAGGTGTACACAGGGACCCCTCCACCCTCCAACTGGGAGTGGTACCTACACAAATACAGATATGGAGACATACATTTGATAATACCTTGTATGAGCAGTACAGATGGTCATAGTGCAGGTCATGTGTCATGGTATCCTGTTAGTATTTGAAGTGATGTGAAGACATCTTCTGGTTCTCCTTCTTCTGGTTTGACCACTGCATGGTGTCATCAACTGAACTTCAGAGCATTCTGACTTTGGGGCACTTCATCACAGCCTGTAAGAGGAAACACTCACTCTCTTTTGAGGGTCTTGAGGTTCCACAACTGTAAGTATCCATTGGAGAAGCCCACAGCCAGCTGGTTAGTTCTGGAGATGTACTGCAGCGCCGTGACTCCAGGACCACTGGGCCCATTCAGTTGAAAACAGATATGTCGACCCTCCCTGGTGCACACCTCCCTGAGCCTGGGGATGTCTGCTGGAGACTTGGTCACTACCTGCAGGGCTGTGGACAGGAAGTAAGGGTTCAAATATATTTGGTGCTACATATATAAGACATTTCCATCCAAGAATCAGTTTGTAACACAGCTGCTCACTTGAAGCCTCCACTTCACTCTGGCTTCCTGACAGATCGTCCAGACACAGGTCCACCAGCAGAACATGACCAAGATCTGTGACCACCGCAGCAATGCCAAAAAACCACCGCAGGCTCTGGTGGAGGTGCTGCGTGGAAGTGCTTGCTCCGCCGTAGCTCACCAACGGCTCAATGGCTGTGATCTAGAGCAGAGAAAAGAATAAAACACGAGAATATTATTCTTTAATTTTGTTTCCATCTTTAAAATCACTCAACAATTAACGTTTTAAAAGCCAACATCTCATTTCTACATCTGTGACTGGATGGAGACATTTGAGGCCCAGAACTCACCCTGCCGGGTATTACCACAGCTTTGACCACCCTTGACAGTCCCAGGTCATAGAGGCATAACATGTTGCCTTCATCTTTCTCCAGCCCCACCAGCAGTCCAGACCTGCTTCAGTCAACAAAGACACAGTTGACAGTCTGCAGAATAGATAAATCTTTAGGTGAGAAAAGACAAAAGAGTCAACAGAAGCCAGCCCCCACCGTTTCAGCCAGCTGAAGTCTCTCACAGCCAGGACAGTGGGGGGGCTTTCTCCTCCATCACTGAAACGATATGCAGATAGACGATCTCCTGTGACCACATTAATGACCTCCAGGTGGGGGCCACATGTCAGCCAGGCCAGGCCACTCCGACCTATGAGTAAAGAGATGAAATCTGAATGAGTGTATTTGAAACAGGACTGGTCGCTGTCCTTGGTGAGGACCAACAGTTACATACAGCCGAGTACACAAAAACCTAACGTGAGCACAGTGGCTCAGACAGACACACACAGCTGTAGCAGTAAGTTAGGCTTAAACGTCTTTAAATATATATATACATACACACACACATATATATACATATATGTATATATATGTGTGTGTGTGTGTGTATATATATATATATATATATATATATATACTATATATATATATATATATAGTATATATATATATATATATATATACTGTATATATATATATATATAGGCTGCATAAAATGTTTGTTCTGTTTCAGAAAAAGACATCAACTGAACAACTCACTTTCTAGGCTGAAATGACTGCTTGTTACAAATGAGCATGACATCAGATCAGAGCAGACAGAAACAGAAACCCTTACCAACAGTAAACCTTCCCTGGAAATCAGAGTCCAGAGTCACCTCATTCTCCCTCAGGGCTTCCACTGTCACTGCTGAGAAGGGCAGGAGGCTGCTGGTGGCCTGGCCACTCAGACGATGCATCATTCACTGTCCAAGTAACACAAAAGTGTATGATATGTTAGGAAGCATTTACTAACATGGCCATTTGCCAAAGTCTCACACAGCTGAAGTTATTTCCCAGAGGTCATTGTGTTTGTCTTCTAATACCAAGAGGCAGATGCAGAGCTGATTGGACTGTACTGGTTGTGGCCAGTTGTCAGTGTTGTGTGTTGTCAGACTGACAACAGCTGCAGCAGAGAGCTCATAGTGACAAAACCTCCCATCAGTTGTGTCTTAATGGAGGTTTATCTGAAACACATCATCTACTGACTGGAAGTTGTCAGGTGCTGGTTGGTAAACAACGATATAGAGTTCTGACCCAGACCGTGGTCCTACTGGCTGTCAAGTAAGAACTCGAACAGACCTTCGTGAGCGTGTGTTCCAGCTTAGCCTCAGATCAGTTACTCTGACGGAGAAGGACTAAAAAGGCTGAGTCCGAAAAGTTAACCTGCATTGATTCAACGTTGGTGCCTTCATGGCCAGTTCACCCTCATCTAAAAAAAGAAACAACACTGCCCTCTGTGTTCACCATGAAAACACAGTGAATTCAAAGCGAACACCCGCGCAACCAGACCGCTACACTCCTCGGCCACATGTCACAACTGAACAGACCAAAAGACCTCAGTATCAAAACAAATAAAAACACAAACCAGCATTTAGCTGAGCACCTAAACGCACCACAACCCTGTCACACTGGACAGGGCACACATGCTATAGCGGAAGATCACGTTTCACAATAAATCATGCTAACATTGCCATATACAACATGCTAAACACACGAAGCTGTTTTTTTAACACACAAGTTTTGTGCAATACTTAATGGCACACATCTAAACAATACGTCAGCCAGTGGACGTAACGCAGCTAGCTATAATAAGTACAGTTGCTGGGAGGCTAGCATGGTAAAACAATTATTCGTCATTTCTGTGCTGAACATGTGTTGTTTTTTTTACATCCAGGTACGCCTGAGATTAACCGGGAGTACATATTTACACGGAATATGTTCGTAGCTACCATACGTTCCAATAACAGGCACATTGGAGAGCTAACTAGTTGGCCCGCAAGGTCAAACAAGTTTTCGAACTGAGCTCCCGAACAAAGTTTAGTGACGTTTAAGTATGGCGAAAGTAAGGCTTCCATAACATTTGGTAATTGTTTATTTAGGTAAAATCGTGGAGCCTATCAAATGTCAGAATGTCAACACCACAACACAATGACATCCAGCCAAAGAGATCGTTTTAAAACTATGTTGGCAGTTAATACTAGGATAGCTAGCTAAACTAGCCTCAGCTGAATTCCCCCTCCTGTACATTAGGTATATGTAAATACTAACAAGCAAGGAATTCATAGTAGAAGAACAAACAAGCGGGAACACACTCCTTTCTTTAGGTGACTGTGAATTTAAGAATACTTTTTTTCAATCGCCGTTAAACCATACAATTGCATCAGTACTATATGCAGAAAACATCCAGATCGTGTCTAACCCCAATTCCAACCCTCACCGGCGAACAGAAGATGAATCAAAACCTCCCATAGACCTTGTGCAACTTAGGAAGAGCCTGTCGATGTTAGCTACCTGTGGGCTATCTGCAGAGAACGGTAGAAAAACGCGGTGCTATGGAGCACAAGTTCCTGTCTCCATGAACGGACAGGGCTCAGTGACCTGTCCGATGGCGCTGCAGCTTCTACGGTAGCCTCAAGCGCTCGCTGATTCGCCAACAGTCTCTGGTTCTCCTTGTGTCTGTATCATAATCCGTTATGTTTTAAAATACACATTGAACTGATCCTTCACGAAACAGCGTCCCTGAATTTTATACAAACACCTCGAAGCCGTACTTCTTCCTCTTCTTCGTCGTTTTGTTTTAAAACAGCTCCCTCTTCCGTTGTGGAAGTCTTACTGCATATCGTTTTCATAGAACAAAGCCATATATAAATAATATATACGACTAGACTAGAAGAGTAGAATACATTGAATTCAATTAACATGCGTAAATATGACAAACAGACAAGGATACATTTTCTTTTTGGCAGTTGTTTATCTCAACTGTTGTCATTTTATGTGTTATTGTTCATGTGCCATTTTTCTTATTTTCAGTTAAATTTATTACAATAGGTACTGTTTTTGAAACAAAATGTTTAGGAGTCATTTTTTGACAACTGGAAATTACATGAATATTGACATTTATACAGTATTGATATGTATTTGGACATTTTAGTTTTAACATGGTTTAAATTCTGTTAAAATCCTTGTAGATATTAGGCACTGTGTTGAGATGTGGGAGAACACATGGGACCAGGGAAACAGCCCAAATTATCTTCCTCCTCTGCTTTTGCTACAACATCTCAAACCTCCTCAGAGGTCACCTCCTCCTCCTTTACCTCCAACATCCTTTGTCTAATATCTTCAGCGTGTCCTCTTAGCACATCTAAACCATCTCCACCTCACGTCTCTACCTTCACCTTTAATCCTGAACTGTCCCTCTGATCCCATCATTTCTAAGTAGAACCATTATCACCTCTTTTTCCTTATTGCAAAAAATAAAAAATAAAAATAGAAACCAAAAAAATACAAAACAACCAAGAGCCAAGAAACGTATTAACTATTTTTTAGAGAACAATACAGCACAAACTTTATGTAATGCAAAAAATGGACAATTACCTCAAAGTATTCAGATATTAGTTATCCAGTTATTAAAAACGAGAGGGTGCCAATTTAAACTGAGATTAGCAATATTTGAAAACCTTAAGGCAACAAATGTCAGAAACAGCTGTCTCTGATCAGTGAGGGCCAACCTTGTGGGAAAACTGTTGTGATATTAAAACCTGTAGCACACTGGGAATGTGTTCAAAAGTATGTAGGTCAACAACTAGATGTTTATGTATTTATGGATGGATGGATAGATGCTTTATTGATCCCAAAGGGAAATTAAAGCATCCAATAGCTTACACAAAACACAGTACAACAAAAAAGAATACAATCACAACAGAAGGGGACTTAGTAAAGGTAAGGTGAGTATGGGATGGGTACAAGGTCCAGCTATAAAAATGTATAAAAACAAAAAGCTATATAGTACAAAAACTGGGCAATATTTACAAAGGTAAAAACAGGGCAATCATTTCAAAGTACACAGGGCAATAATTCCAAGAAAACAGGACAATAATTACAAGGACAGTACAACTGTCAGGAATATGATTGGCTGTGAGGACAAGACCACAGCAGCTTTTCTCCTCTGCTGTACAATGGTTCTTTTATTTTTTATTTTATCACCTTACTGTGAATGTAAAACAACAGAATGTCACAAAAATGTAGATTCCTTGATCTGTTTATTTAATACTTTAACTGAAAATAAAAATGTACTTCTTACAAAAACAAACAAAAATATACAAATATATACTCGAGGAAAGACATCGACCAGAGCCTCATGTTATTGAACATGAAAAGTGTGGCCATCACAAAGTAGTGAAATGACATCTGATCGGCGCCTTTGTACTACAATATTAATACTTAATACTACAGTGCTAACGTTTCGCACGAGTGCCTCCATTTATGCAACTTCTCAGTCAAAACAACGTCCTCAGCTTGGCTTCCTGCCCCAGAGTTGGAGCAGATGAACTAGTGTCCTGTCAGACCATACTGGTAAACACCAGTCAGAATGGAAAGGTGAGAAACAGAAGCCTCTGCTCAGATTTCGCAAGTTTAGAAATGTAAAGATCATGTAATAGTTATCTGAATGGAAATCAAATTGATAACACAGACCTCAGCACCTTCAGGTCTGGGATCTTGACCTGACCTTACCAAAGACCTCTGATCTAAGGCACCTTTCATCTGCAGTATGGATGACAATAGGAACTGACTCAAAACCAGGTGGAATTTGAGGAGTGGGCTGAGGCCTCCAGCTGGGTCGGAGGTCGTCAAAGGTTCTGATCACATTCACGCCTGTTGGTTCACATTATTAAGTACAGTCACACGGTGGCAGCAGTGAGAGAGAAGAGTTCTGATCATCTGACCTCTGCTGCACTAACTGCTCAATCATTATGTCAAACTCCTGTCTTTCCCTGGAAATACAAATAAAAAAGAGTCACAGGTCATCTTCTGCACTTGTACCACTGGTACTACCACTGGTACCACAGCTGAGTCCAGCTCTCACCTGTGGCTCAGACTCCGTCCTTTCAGGTACTTTTCCTCTGCTGTTTGTACAGAGACCTTCTCCACTCCGGCTATGGCATAGATGATAGCCTGCACACACACAGAGTTTAGTTTATTTCCTGATGTTTACAGGTGGCTACAGGGACCAGTGGATTTTTCCAGTTGTGTAAACCAATCTACTGTGTTAAGGAGTTGACAACAAACACCTCAGGAAGAAGGACATCCAGAACAAAGGGGACACGCTCCATGGACGACACCTGAGTCAGACAAGCAGCTGTGGACATCTCCGCAGCATACAGCTGGTTCAAGTAGCAGTACACTTGGTCTAACTGATGGTCATCTTCCAGGTAGTAGTTCACGACCCTCCTGTTTTTATTGGTACTAAGAAAAGCCTGGAGCCACCTGGACTGCTGCTGTCCACGTAGGACAGCCTGTGAGAAAAGAGACACCAGAGGTCTGAGACAAGGTGAAAACATTTGTGTTTCTTCCTTTAGTACTCGTTTAACATAGGATTTCACCTGGAAATACCTGTCGAGGACACAGACTACCACAAAATCACAGTACAATTACAGCCGTTATATTCAACATTTAAAGACTTTTTGGATTCTGAATTCTGACATCTGCTCTACTGTGGACTGGATAAAACCTGTACCAGGACTGTTGTAGCTGACGTTAGCTCTGGTGTCTGTACCAGGACTGTTGTAGCTGACGTTAGCTCTGGTGTCTGTACTAACAGTATTACAGTGTACGTCGACATACGAGCCCCTGACCTACAATTTTTCCAACTTACGAGTAAGCAACTTTTCAAAATTTTGTTCGAGATACGAGGAAACACCGAGTTACGAGTGCTCATCCGAACTCCATGCTTCTCCGCCTGGTCCCAGGTCAGCCACCAGCCGCCACCATGATGATTTGCACTTAGTTATTGCAAATCATCATGAGTCCTGGAACAATGGCAGCACACAACAAATTTTGTAGTGAGGAAACCTCAGACAATCTCTGTGGGTGGCGCTGTCTCCCTGTTTAACGATACATGTTTTCTACTTCAGGAACATTTTCCCAAGCAGAAAAAAACAAACAACACTGGATGCACCTGTCTCCGGTGGAGGGAGATGAGGGCAGTAAGGTGGGGGAGAAAAGCAAGGACGGGGGCGAAGAAGAAGTTACCCCCATTAAGAAAAAGAAAGTGGGTGACTCAGATCAGGCTGTTGTGATGCTGACGATGATGATGGTAGTGATGATGATGTAGCACTGATGAGTGATGTAGATTAAGCTGTTTAATAAAATAATTAAAAAAAATAATCACTGTCTCTCGCGTGGTCATTTTACCCATCTGTCGCTTTCTTTCTCTCCGTCTCTCTCTAACATCTAAATCCAGTCCTCACTCCCAGTCCTTCTCCTACGTTAGTGGCCCAACACTCGCTGGTGCGCTTACTTATTTTACCCATTCTTATAACAATTATATCAAATAAACACTTGATATTATTGTTATAAATTAAATTTGTTCTTAATTTTTATTATATTATCAATATATAGTTGTTTAAATCTATGTTTTGATGGGGGATTATAATTTAATTCATTAATAGTTTCTTGGGGAGCTGGAACAAATTAATTGGTTTTAGTTGATTTTAATGGGGAACATTTGATCGAGATACGAGTGAATCGACTAACGACGGCCGCTGTGGAATGGATTTAACTTGTATCTCAAAGCCACAGCGTACTGTTAAAAGTTGAAAATATAGTTTAAAAAGAGGACCTAATCAACGTGGTCTACTCTGGACCGGGTGAAGACTGTTATTATAAATCCAAATTAACATGTTAAAGTCACATCTTTATAGTACATAAACTATAAAGTACTTTGTATTTCTGACTTTTCCATTGTTGGACCTTTTGATGTTGTATTTTATTCCTGTCAAATACAGTATTTTGTATCGTTATGTTTGTATGAAGGAAGTCCAGTCCACAGCACCATAAAGAGCTGATTCCTGTCAGCACAGACAGTTAGCTTAACTGCTCCTGACTTTCACACTAACCACTGACTGTGGTCTTAGACCAAACCAGATCCTACCAGCAGCCGGTCTTCCACCAGACGCTGGTCCACGATGTAATATACGAGTCTTCCAGTGGCACGGTTATGAGCGGCAGAGGTTCGATCTGGAAGCGTTCTCCGTGAACGTGCGACCACAGTCCCGTTCTCTTCACTGAGGCTTTCATCCAGTGCAACACAGAATTCCTCTAGGGCGGCGTCACTGGGAATGGTGAACCTCTCTGAGGCTTCCTGAGGATACTTCCTCCTCACAGGGTAGCCTGGTGTTCAACAGTGGGGGCAAAGCAGTTGTCGGTCAGTCCCAGTAAGTCGTACACTGACGTAGTTTCTAACAAAGTGTCACTAATTTACTGTGACATTAAAAATTTACATCTTTTAATCCAACCTACTCATGTCATGAGCAAAGTAATCGACGAAGGAGCCAGAGAAGGAGCCGCAGGCTGAAACAAAGAGAACCACAATGTTGTGTTAATAACAACAGCACAGTTATGTGGATACAGTACATTTATATCTGGACAGAACAGATGGTACCGATACGTATCCTGTAGTCAGCGATGAGATCCGTGGACCACTTCAGTACGGCCTCAGACTTCTCTTTGGCCTCAGACTGACAGAGTCAGAGAATGGAGCACAGAGTTAATGAGTGTTAATGAACAGCTGTGACTGACAGACAGACAGGCAGACAGGCAGACAGGCAGACAGGCAAGCAGGCAGACAAGCAAGCAGGCAGGCAGGCAGGCAGGCAGACAGGCAGACATGTTCACCATCAGCTCCTCAGCCTCGTCACAGTCGAAGGGCTTCAGAAGTTTTAGGGCCACAGAAAATCTGAAAATAACAATATGAAGATAACAGTCAGATGTTTGTCCCTTTTTAAATCAAAGCCTCAAAAACAAATCCACTATGTTTACAAAGGGTTGGTAAATCTATGCACACGACAAAGGTGTGAAGTCACAACATCAGGAAACAGAAAATGACTTCATTTCTCACCCTTTCTTTTTGTGGATTCTCAGATCATCAATGAAGATGATGCTGGCCTTCCTCAGCCTTCGATTCACACTCTTCACCTGCAGAAACACACAGAACCAAGTCAGTGATGGAGAAGGTCATTGAAGCAGAGGGCGATGACATCACTGACGTCAGTGTGTGTCTGATACACACACTCACACATAGGGGGCGATATTATCAGGATGTTCCGACTGTTCCACAGTTCTACTCACCAGTGCAGGCCAGAAAGGATATTTTCTGAATTTGTGCCACACAAACGTTCCTTCAGTCACAGACACGGGCTCTGAAAGAACAGAGTCACAGTTCCTGACAGTAATCCTGACTGGTCAACCTTTAGATTGGTCAAGAATATAAACTAAATCAGCTTCAGCTTCTCTCCTCCAGATAACTCCTGAAGAGAATCTTAGCATCTTTAACTCTGCCACCTCCAAAGTTAAAGATGGTAAGATTCTCTCTAGAAGTGACAAGGATGGACAGGATCAGGAATGAGGTCATTAGAGGGACAACACAGACAGGAAGGTTTGGAGAAAAAGACAGAGAAGCCAGATTGAGATGGTTTGGACATGTGCAGAGGAGGGATAGTGGATACATTTGTAGAAGACTGTTAGAGATGGAGCTACCAGGTAGGAGAAAGAGAGGAAGGTCAAAGAGGAGATATGTGGATGCAGTGAGGGAGTACATACAGATAGTTGGAGTCAGAGTAGGAGATGCAGAGAACAGGGAGAAGGAAAAGAAGGAGCTTCAGCTTCTTCAACTTCTCTCCTCCAGATCTGTGATGGATGTCTGCGTTCTCAACTTCCTGCTTATTTATTCAATGATGGAATTGGGAACTCCTGAAGAACTCTTTCAAAATAGACAACATTTATAGTTTCTATTAAACTATAGAGTAAAAAAGAACTAAATATACAAACATGTTTTTTTTTTCTTTTTACATTCAGTGTGTTTGTATTGGAGCCAAACCAGCCACTAGAGTACACAAACCAGTGTTTTATAATGCCGGTCCCAAGCCCGGATAAATGGTGAGGGTTGCGTCAAGAGGGGCATCCAGTGTAAAACTTTTATCCAAATCAAATACTGCAAATTAAAACTATTTCCATACCGGATGGGACGGGGCCCGGGTCAAAAACAACTGCCAACAGTGCTGTTGACCTACAGGGTACTGCTGGTGTCACGTCTGAACATGTTTCTACTTCATATCAATACTACTTTCTATGTAGTGGTACTTGCATCAATTACTGCGGGTGTGGCACTCACTTTTATCCATCTGCATCAGGAAACTGGGGAGGTCTTCATCTTGGTCTTCCTCACTCTCAGACTCTGGCTGGAAGGACAGAGATGGACGGTGCTTCTCATCAGGACTCAGCTCCATGGACAGATCAGAAGAGTCCAACGACCCGTCTGAAACAGAACACAAGGACCGGTTCACCACCAGCACACAGTTCAGTCCAGCTGCAGCAGGGACCATGTGAACAACCAGCACAGGGTTCAGACTAACAGTTCAGTTCTACAGTATGTCAACAAATATTCATAACCAACAAATCCGTTCTCTGGTCAACTGCACATTATCATCCACAGACAGACTTTTCCCATGGTCCAACTTCAACCCTCACAGACCTCAGGTCAGTACGTCATTGCAGATACAATCGGAGTCTCCAGGCTTTTACTTCCTATTGAGTTCCTACAGTATGGACCGAACTTCAGTCTGTCCATCCCTGTGTGTCCATCTGTCCTTCTCTCATTGACACAACCTGTGTAAGTAAAGGCCAAAGAAACACATTGAACCAACAGAACCAACTGGACCAACTGAAATAACTGTTCCAACTGGACCAACTGAAACAACTGTTCCAACTAAAGCAACTGGACCAACTAAAGAAACTGGACCAACTAAACCAACTGAACCAACTGGACCAAATGAACCAACTGGACCAACATAGTCCAGTTTACAACATTTTAAGCAGTACAGTGGACTACCTTGATATACTATTAACCCCCCCACATCAAAACCAACGATATAAACAAATATATTGATAATATAAAGTCTTCTTCTTTTTCTTTCGACTTTGTCCCTTTTTTTTTTTCAGGGGTTGCCCCAGCCGATCATTGATTTCCATCTCTCCCTGTTCTCTGTATCTTCTACTCTGACTCCAACTATCTGCATGTCCTCCCTCACTGCATCCATATATCTCCTCTTTGGCCTTCCTCTCTTTCTCCTACCTGGTAGCTCCATCTCTAACATTCTTCTACCAATGTATCCACTGTCCCTCCTCTGCACATGTCCAAACCATCTCAATCTGGCTTCTCTAGCTTTTTCTCCAAACCTTCCTGTCTGTGTTGTCCCTCTAATGACCTCATTCCTGATCCTGTCCATTCTTGTCACTCCTAGAGAGAATCTTAGCATCTTTAACTTTGCCACCTCCAGCTCCACCTCCTGTCTTCTGCCTATTGCTACTGTCTCTAAACCATACATCATGGCTGGGCTCACCACCGTCCTTTAACCCTTTCCCCTCACCTTAGCTGACACTCTTCTATTACAAAAGAAACACATCTGATACTTGTATTTGGAGTACCTACTATAGTCCTGCTGTCCAGCTGTGTTGCTGTCAACTCACTGTCAGGTCAGTGGACCTGGATATGTGACATTCCACATGTTCCACTGACACAGCAGGGAATAGTACTACCTTGTTCTTCTGCATCAGACAGCTTCAGTTCAAATCTGGGCCTGGAGCGCTGAGGTGCGTCCACATCCATGGTCTGTCCCACGCTCTGTTGGTTCTTGATGTTCACACATTCAGTTTTGTTGCAGCTCTGGCCTCGGCACAGAGATATGGATTTGGAGCACTGTGAGTCCACAGAGTCTGCATCTGATTTCTTCAACAAGAAAAAAAAAGTGTCCATTTAAACGATGCACACAGCCAATCAGGGTCAGATACAGAGGTGTCATTGGTCCACACCACAAGACATTGACAAAAACTGGAGTAAAGCATTAAGACAAGCCTTGATTTAAACACAGCTTTACAGACTGGCTGCTGATTGGACAGTTGTAGAATAAGTCAACATTGCTACGTTGGAGAAGGAAGGCTAACTAATCTACTCCTCATGACGAAGAGTTAAATCTGGCTGGTTCATTTGTTCAACAAAAAAAAAATACTGCAGAGAAATATGGCAACAGTCCTTTAATTACCACCACGGGGTATTTAAAGGAAGAAATGGGGACGTAACGATGAGCCCTGAATTGCTTAAAAATCCTTCCAACTCACATCGGTTGACAATAAAAATGAAACCTGCATCAAGGTGTAATGAGTAGACTCACTGGTCAGACCATAACACTACACCGTCTAGTCCAGTAGGTGGACCATGCTCCTAAAAACATTGGTTGTGACCCACTCTTAAACCCAGATGTCAGGTCCCTACGTAGGCTAAGAGACATTCAGCTGTTGAAACAGAACATGGAAAGAACTTGTTCCACAGACACCAACAGTGTTCTCGAGTGTTCCTGTAAAGAAAATAACTCTTTCAAGTTCCTGTTTTTGATCTTCTGTTGTTTCATATATTGACAGTTACAGTTTGGTTTAGTGGAGATCGTTTGGTTTATAAAAGAAACGGTGATAAAATGGTATGGTGAGTTGAGTGTGTTGTCACATCCCTACTCCTGATTGTATCTTGGCCAGTGGTCAGTACCTTTGTCCGGCTGAGGCATCTCTGCCTTTGTTTGGCTCCTGGAGGAGACGCTGACAGACTGGATGGGTTTCCAGTGGGGGAGCTGTGAGTTGTTGTCGTTGTCATTGAGGAGGTCAGGCACACATCACTTTTCGTTTTTTTTCTTTTCCTTGTTTTACCTGAATGATAACATCTGTACTGTTATCTGATTCATTAGCAGTGATTAATTAGCAGTGATGGATGAAGAGTCTGACTCACCGCTCATCGTTCATGTTAGTCTGCTCTGAAGGGAAACGTCCCCTGAAGATGGAATCTGTTCAGAAATGAAGAGCAGACATAAGATGCCTGTCCCCTGAACTGATGACACACAGGTATGTGTCTACAGTACAGCAGGAAGTACAGGAAAGCAATCATGAAAAATACCATTTCTTTCTCCTCCTAATGTTAGCTTTAGAAGTCTCCATCAAATACTCCCAATGTTTGAACCAGATCAAAGGCTGATGTCAAGTCAACTACTGAGCCTGTCTTTGATCTACAGTTCACACTAACTATACTGTGGAGTTACACTATCTTACAGACACACAAGTCAGTCAGTCATCTGTGTTAACCCTTTTTCTATTACTGTATTCTGTTGATTATCACCGGGAGATGGCGCTGTTGTTGGGCAGAATTTTGTTTACAGCTGCAGAGCAGCATGTCAACATTAAAAGTCACTAAACATTAAAAGTCAAAGTCAATTTTATTGTCAAATATGATAAGACTTTATTTATCCCACACCGGGGAAATTCAGTTGTTACAGCAGCAGTATAGACACGTAGTGCTAAAAGTAAAGTAACAGCAGGGTAGGCATAGTATTTACAAGGTGATTATAAAGTACAGCAGTGTAGACAGTATTTACAAGGTGATACAAATATCAAAATTCAAATTTATATGCCATATATACAGGACATATGGCACAATGAAATTGTAGTCCTATCGGACCCACGGTGCAAAATGGCAAGAATATAATAAGTAAAGGAGATATTTACAAGAGAAAGGAATATAAACTGGTGGTGAATCAATAAAGACAGTAATGACTCAGCTTATTCGGTCGAGGGTGAGGTAGTACTTGGAGATTACCAAGTAATAGAGATGCACCGAATTTTGGGCCATCGAAAATTTTCGACCGACAGACGCCGAAACAACACGGCCGAAACAACAGAAGAAAGTGATGATGACTCAAGCAAAAACCAGCGGCCAGTGCGGTTTGTCTGAGAGTGGCAATATAGCTGAGAAAGACCCACAGATAGCGATTTGCAAAACGGGTAATGCAAGAGGGGATACATCTGCAAATAATGTCTCCGCGTCGGGTTTAATTAATCACCTGGAATCCAAACATCCCAATCGCTATGCTGAATATGAGAGACAGGACGCAAACGTGAGTCTTGTCTGCATACACCGCTCCCACGACATTTGCTTCACAACACTTCCTGCGTGTGGTGAGTCCACTGGAAGGTACCAACCGCCCTAACCGGTATATGATCTTGCCCAGGAGGTGAACCCTGGGGTTCCACACCAAGGCGCCACGCAACACTAATGTATCAAAAGTATTTGATTTTCATTGTTGGTTCATGGTTTCAAACCTTTGTCTCCCTGAGCTGATTGTTTTTACGATTTAATATGTAAATATTAGAAGTTAGCACTAAGTGCTAACATGCTGCAGTGTCTCGGTGAAACCAGACAAAAACGAGATTTCTACAGAATTAAAGCCCTCTCAATGACCCCCAAATATGTTAAACAAAACACCAAGTGCAGTTCGAGCCCAGGGATACAGTGCTTCCTGTCGGGAGAAGTGAAAAATAAGAATTAAACACATACCGTTGGCTAATTCGTGGGTGAAATCGAACCGATCCCAGAGTCCACAGAGAAACGTTTTCAGTGTTCACAGTGCTGCCTCGCGGTTGACTTACCGTTAGCGTTAACGGCTATCTGCACAAGCACCGACTGGAATGCCCCCCCCCCCGACCCCCAACAATCCTGAACTTAGCTTTAAATAAACAACTTGTTATTTCCCTTCGTGTCTTGTTCGTGTTGTTATAGTTCTTGTGCTTCTTCTTCTTCCTCCTCCTTCTTCTCCTCCTCCTCCTCCTCCTCCGGTAAACTAAACATTAAGCATTAGAGCCACCTGCAGCCAATTCTACACTCTTATCAACCGCTTCCACTAAAATCCCTTCTTTCTGTCCCAACACCCCTCTGTCTTTCACAGAATGGTACAACCTGCTGTTGTCTCGCATGTGATTGGTCGCTGACGTTCTGAGTGAGCGGTGGCTAATCCTCTTGACCAAATACCATATTCACTGTTGTGAACGGAGCGGAGATGCGCCCTCTTTTGTTTCCTGAGGTGTATTACTCTTCACTGCTAACACTGACAGCCTGGATAACTGCACGCACCACCGATCACTGGATTTTAAAGCTGCTGTCGGTTTAATGTAATGGTCCATGACTGAAGACATTTATTAGTTTTATTTCACTTGCATGCTTTAGCTGACTGCGTGCCTTTGACGCCCTTTAGCGTTTGGTTCGCAGTCCTCTACGCGAGTGTACTTCTGTGTTTCGCCTCTGTCGACGGGTCTTGGCCCTTCATTACATTGAATCCATGTTTTGTTTTTGTTGGTGTTCTTATTTTAACTTATGTAAAAGTAGAGGCGGAAAAGTAGGAGGACAGACTCATGAAGGGAACGGCCAGAGGCGGAAAAGTAGGAGGACAGACTCGTGAAGGGAACGGCCAGAAGAAGAAGAAGAATGTTGGGTATGGCGTGCCTGATCCAGCACATAATTAAACAAAACCAGCAGAGGGCGCCACGTTAACACATGTTTCGATAGATAAGATTCGATAGATTCGATGACAACAGCAGAAAAAGATCACGTCTTTATTATACATAAAATGAGTCCAAACTAAAACCACTTTGTGTTTGAAAAGTTCTGCTGAGTCTCAGGACTGAAATCCACTTCCTGTCAGCCTCAGGACAAGAAAACACATGAAGTCCAGATAAATTACGGCTGTGGGGAAGTGAGGAAGAAAGTCCCGTCCAAATCACACAACACCACTGATGGCCTGGTTCTGTCTGTGAGAAACCACTGTTCTCAAGGAATGGACTGAAGGTTCAAAGACAACGTTCACCCAGTCCAAAGTAGTCCAGATATGAAGAACAACAATAAATAGAACTCTTCTCCTCCTCCTCTTCCACCTTCTTCTACTCCTCCTCCTCTCCCTTCGTCTTCCTCCTCCTCCTTCTCAAGTATTCAACCCTGCTGTTGTTTTTTCTAAACTCCTCTCCCACTGTTTGATGTTTTTTCCTAGCTGTCCAAGCTGCTGGTAGGTTGGAGTATTGCGTGTCATCTCACAAACAAGCCCTTCTGTCTAGTCCATTTGTCCAGGGTCCAGACCAGATGCAGCAGGGACCATGTGAACAACCAGCACAGGGTCCAGACCAGCTGCAGCAAAGACCATGATGAGATAAATTGTGCCCTTTAGCTGGTACATCGTTTCTATTCACGTAGAAGCCTAACTCCCCTCGACCTTCGCACGTGTTGTCAGCTAGACTGATGCAGATGTTCACTGTTGCAGAACAAACTTCCCTCCACTTTACAGCCCTTCCTCCAGTTTGTCCAAGAGAAATCACATTTAAAATGTAACCCCACCTGAAACCTTGCATGGACCAATCGGGTGTGGATATGTCAGAGCATGCTCCTCTCCCTGCTTTGTTCAAAACCAATCAGAGTGGAAGTGTGGCATTTTCCCTGAGGGGAAAACTTACCCCATGGATGTGTTAATTACGCATCACTTAGCTGTTGCAAATGTGTTCACAACGGTGGACCCTAGTTTGGGCATTTTACAACGGCTCCTTTCATTTTACGACTCAGTCTATTATGGAAAGAAGGCAACAATGGCTTAGCAGGCTAAAGAATGAGCTTAGCAACAGTCCTCTGGTGTCAAATGTGGCATTTGGCTTCATACTCATGGGACTAGAGAAGCTGGTGGAGATGGACTTTGAATGTCCTTGCAACCCTACATGGAATGGTTTTCATCAGCCTGCATCATCATGCCTGCTGTCATGGCCCTCACCCTGATGCTGATCATTCAAGGATGCAGAAACGATGCCCGGTGCAGATATGTAGCCTGGTGCAGAAAACCTGTTTCCTTGTCCTTTTTTGTCCCTGCGGTCGTCTGGGTGCTTCTGATGTTCCTTGATGGCCAGTACTATACTTGTGGTATGACTGATTGGAAGGGAAGATTTGTACTGGTTGAGAAAGCAGCTCCGCTGAAGTGGTGTGAGCCAGTTAGTGAGAGCAACGCCACCCCACAAGAACTAATGCTGCGCTCACAGAAGCTCTTTTTTACCTCTCAGGTGAGTTGACTTTATTAAAGTTTACTCAAGATAATGTGGTTAAAATACAGTTCCACTGATTGACTTTGCTCAACAACAATGCACATTCCTCAGTTACTCTCTGCTAAACAAAGTGTTACCTGACTCTTTTGTGCCCTAGGGTATAGGCATTGTCATCCTCCTTGGTCTCTGTGTGGGTCTGATAGTATATCTAATCAGAGAAGGCTGCCACCAAGAGCTGCAAATGCAGAATGCGGGTGGGTCTAATGTAACTCAGCAAAGAATGCAATCCATACAGAGCAGTGAGAGCGCACCCTGACTTCCTCACTGGCCCATGTGGCATGGACCCTTTGTAAATACAATACTATCAAAACTGGCTGTAAAATGTCTCATTTTATAAGATGCCTCCTCAACCCCCTCCCTGACCTCCCCAAACAGGCACTTTTCCTCCTCTTTATGAGTAAATGACTTAAACTGGGTTAATTGGCTGCTTAATTAAGTCGTGTAAAGAAGGCAGACATGTTCGTAGCCTCATATCTCCTGTTTTATTTCATCATAAATACAATGGTTACATGTTTAATTTTTATGATATTGTAAATCATAAATGTGATGACAGTTATTTTTACTTCAGCTATTGTATGAAATATACTTGCAAAAATAAAACGTTTCAACAAATTGACTGGAGGCTTATTCAGAACTTCTTTTTAGAAATGTTTCTTCCAATCAAATCACACAGTTAAAATAAATCCCACATTTATTTTTTATATTGAATTATATACAATGCAGTAAAGTTAATATTATTCAATTCATTTGCTTTTATGAATACTTTTGAAAACTTTTTTATTCACTTTTAATTTTTTTTCGGAGACAAACTTTAAAGCAAAACAACCTAATGAAGGCAACAAATGTGCCAAGAATCAGCAGCACAGCTGCAGCTAGGAACAGCATCACATCTACAGAGTGGTAAGAATACCAGGGGAGTCTGTAGGACTCTGTCCTCAGGTGAGCTGCACCTTTGTGTCTCATGACAAACTCTATCCAGTAGAGGGCAGTGTCCAGTGGTTTCATCGGCTTATCCCTGTGCAGCCTGGAGAGTCTCTCCATGTTGAGTCTGTAGGACGGCTCCGTCAGGACTTCCTGCACAGCAGTCCCAAATGTTTCTTCATCCAGATTTGACATATCTATAACTGTTGCAGCTCCTCTGGCTCTCAGTCTGGACAGGTTATCAGCCTGATCAAACACAACAGGGATGCCCACTATTGGAACTCCATGATATATAGCTTCATATATTCCGTTTGTACCTCCGTGGCTGACAAATAGTTTAATTTTTGGATGTCCCAGGAGGTCATTCTGTGGTATCCAGTCAATTAGTAGAGTGTTATTACCCAGAGTCTCTGGTCTGACGCCTTTGTACCTCCAGATGACCTTTTGAGGTAATTTGGCAAACACTGTAGCAATCTCATTGGCTAAGTCAGGAGGAAGCTCTCCAATGAGAGTCCCCAGAGACATAATGATGAATCCATGTTCTCCTGAACTCTGCACAAAGTCCTCAAGGTGTTGAAGCAATGGTTTGGCAGCTTTGCATTGGAATCCTCCCATGTACACAATGTTAGGCATGGTGGGGCGAGGAAACTCAAACACAAAGTCCACTCTCATCAGCCACAGGTCCGCAGCTTGAAACAGGGAGAAGTAGTCTGTGTTTGGGCCGAAGTAGCGCTCCGTCACTGCAGAATAATGTTGTTGAGATATTTGCTTGTACAGGTACATCCTGCTGATGTAAAATACTACATTTCTGACTCTCTCGAAGAATGTCATTTGATCTGTTAATTCAGAAGGTGGGAGTGGGACGTAGGAGAGCGGAGAAGGCGCTACAGCGAAGTGGGCCTCACCATGAATGGTCCATCGAACGTTGAAAACTAAAGGCAGCCCCAGGTAATGAGCCAACATCACTCCTCCTGCGTTGGCAGGGTCTGTTAGAACCAGATCGTATTTGGACTCCTGAATGGACTTCATCAACTCTTTGTTTTCAAACATGTACACAATCACTTCACATATTTTCTTGTGAAATTCAAAGAACCTCTCTTTCAGATCCATGTTCAGAGCTAACTGAGCCCACATTGACCCCTGGCTTCGTTTTATTTTGATGACCTCTGACACAAAATGCCGAAAGAAGTCCTCACTTATACCAGCATCAACATCCAGGGTGATGGCCTCATAATACGCAGAAGTCTCACTGATGTACCAGGCATCTGCCACCCGGATGACAGTTACACTGTGTCCCTTTGAGTGCAGCTCCTCAACAAGAACTTTCATGTTCACCCAGTGGCTGCCGTCATGTGGAAACACCAGAACCTTGCCACCGCTGACGGCAGATATAGCTACCACTGCAGAAAATATAGAAACTGCTGATAAAATCATCATCGGACTCCCTTCAACAATCAGGTCTGAAATGAGAACAACAGTCTAAAGGTTAAACCTGTTCCACCAAATATAAACAGAGCAATCACGTGTGTTTTTTCTAGCATTTTATTCACAGACAGCAGATAACAGAAGAAACACATCTCACCAAAGAGTCGTCCCGTTCTCCTCTGAGTCCACTGTAGTTAAATGCAAATGACGGCAGGGGGAAATTTGTGGCCACTTTGTTCATTTCACTTCACCCAAACAAACGAGGACCAGGAAGACCTGCACAGCAAATGGTGGCACAGAAAACCACTTCCTGATCTCTACAGCTCCGCCTTGGTGGTAGTTACACAACATTCCTGTCCAATTGCTCAACAGCTTAAGGCAGAGCTGCAGTGTTAGACACCCAGTATTTATGTAGATAATATATAGACATATATTCAGGCATGGAAAGTTAGTAAATATATATAATATATATATATATATATTAAAGAAAAAACAAGATACCAGTTATATTTGGTTCTGTTAACTCATTGGTTCCCAACCTTTTTTCACATTTGATCATGTTTTAGTTTTTGATCATGTTTGTTAAACTGTGTTGCAGACATAGAGTCAGAGCCAGGTTAGTGATAAAGTTACTTTCCTTTTCCAGCTCGGATATTTTTTAATGTTTATTTTATTTATAATTTAAATTCAATACTTTAGTATTCTTTAACTTTTGTATATTTGTTTAAGATTGTGTGGTGTTTCATCAAAATCACAATTTAAAATAGTGATTTAAAATATTAATTATTTAAAAAAAAAAGTATTAGTAATTTGTTCTTAATCAATACTAGATTCCAGGTGATCCTGTGTGGGGTCGTGACCCCAATCTTGAAAAAACTTTATACTAAGTGCTTGGAGCAGAGGTATAATCAATACAATCTATGAGTTATCAGGATAGTGCAGATAAATCATGATAATTTAAACAGATAGTAGTACTTATAGTAGTAGCCAAACTTATAATGTTGGTATAAAGTACTTTCAGGTTACAGTAACTCTGGTCTAAACCTGGTTTAACCCTGGTCTAAACCTGGTTTAACCCTGGTCTAAACCTGGTTTAACCCTGGTCTAAACCTGGTTTAACTCTGGTCAGTCTAAAGTACTAAGATTTAAAGGGGAAGAAAATCAGGAATTGAATGAAATTTTCAGCACAAGCGTGTTGTTGATTTTCTCATTCTATACAACATCTCTGGGTAACACAATGGGCTGTTGCCATAGCAGCGGCAGCAGCAGCAGCAGCAGCAGCAGCAGCAGCAGTATCTCATGAGACTGTGGACATCAGCTGGATAAACATGAGAGAAAAAGTAAAGCCTAATCAGAGAGGCAGAGGTTGAGGTGGCAGGGCGGGCTCTCTAAAGGAAGAGGAGGAGGACCAGAAGGATGTGCTTGTCTGTGCACAACTGGAGCAGCAGCAGCAGCAGCAGCATCTGGACTAGAGGAGAGATAGAGACGCTCCGTTGCTGTGTTTAGAAAAAGCCCTGCGCCTCAAGGTTGCTGATGCCGATGCTGATGCCGATGCTGATGCTCTGGACTGTGTCTTGATGGAACAGACTCACAGCAGGTGAGTATTGGCTTGTTACCAGTAACCTCCCAGATTACTAAGTGTTTGCAGGATAATGTTGCACAGATTAGATTAGTACCATTTAGGCAGTGTGTTCTATAGGTTTGTTTTTATTATCTACCTGTTCCATGAACTGAAATCCATACCTGGGATTATATGAATAGATTACATGAATGGATTATGTGGATGGATTATATAAACACCACAGAAAGGTAGGAGCGCTGGATCTTTCCTATTTAAACTACATTCAACACCAAACTGTTTTGTTTCCTGTTTCCAGTGCTGTGATGTCAGACGCAGCAGCTGTCTCACCTCTGACATGATGCAGGGAACTGGAGGAGCAGCAGCATTCCTTACACTGCTGCTGCTGCTGCCGCTGCTGTGCTGCTGCCACCTGTGCCACTCACTGCGTAAGTTTTAGTTGAACTGGGAATTGTTGTGGTGGGTCAGACTGACAGAGGGCATAGGGACTGATGCGTCATGGGATTCACAGTGAAGACACAGTCTTGTCAGGTTAGGCTTAGGGTCAAGTTCCACTTCCTGTAAACATGTCTCACAGTTTCTAATACATCGATTTTAACTGTAATTAGGATTATGGCCATAAGGGGCAGTGATGATTAGGTGGTTAAAGAAGCAAACTGTCCATAAGGTGGCAGGTTAGAATCCACCAACCCCCAAGATACCACTACAGTTCCCAGAGCTGTTACAGATTAATCAGCTATAACACAGACTATATTATAATTATTATAATAAGTATTATTATATTTAATATAAGTTCACCTTACTTTGTTACAAACATTTTGGGGGCAGTGGGCCACTAGCTGCCAAGTTACCACTGAGGTAATTCTGAGCATGGCACCATCCCCACAGTTTCTCCCCGGCAGTGTCTTTAACTTTCCTTTTGGGATAAAGGATTTTTCATTTTATATTGTTGGGAAATTATTGACTTATTTTTTTATAAAATGATGAAATGTAAACTGATTCATGTAGTCAAAAATAATAGTTTCAAAATAAGGCTTCACTGGGGGTCAAAGGCCATGGAAAAATCCCACAATTGGACATGATGTTTAAAGACAGAAACTAAATAACTTAAGTCAATATTAACTAAACACATCTTATTAAAAATATTTATTTTCTGCCTCTTGTGGTTTTTGGCGTTGTCTTTCCCACCATTAAATAATAATAAAAAAAATGTAAAGTTCCAGGTTTAATTAACATCTTATTTTAATACAAACTCTGGGAGGCAGGGGGAGTGTGGGTGTGGGGGGAGGAGCATATATACAAGGGGGAAATGCATTATTGAATTCTCTCTATTTCTAGTAGGAAAATCTCTGAGAAGGAAACCAAACCAGGGAATTTACCTTATACATGTACTGATGAAGTACTTTAAATATTTACATTTTAAAATGCCCTAATATTTACTAAATATCAGGGTCTAAAACACAGTCATCTCTGATTAGACTCTGCAGGATGCTGCTTCTGGTCTGGAGCAGTGAGCGTGCTGATTACAGGGTCATCGATTGAATTCCTGGTCTTTATTGATTCACACACACATATACAGATGGGGGGTGGGCTGAGACTGTTGTAGTACATTCCCAGCCACATTCTCCATCTGTGAGATGTGTTCACTTTGAGTTTCTAACCATGTTGTTGGTGAGTGATTTGGAGAAGAGGGGAGAGAAAGTGGGGGAAAAACCAATCAATACTTTCTGCTCTGTGGATAAAAGTCCTGACGCAGCAAAACAATTCAGACTTTACCTGCGTTTTAGGCAGTCGCCAAAACTGATCTTTGATCGGTTTGATCTACCTATAAAAGTGAAACGACGTGTTTAAGGTCTGATCTGAGTGAATGACAACACTGTCAACGACGCCCTCTGCTGGGCTACATTTGCACAAGTCACATCCTTATAAAGACCACCAGCATAAGAAAGAAATAAATAAATAAAAACACAGGGTACCAGGTGAGACGAGTGAGACTAGTTACAAGAAAATCACAGTTCACGCTGGTAATTACCCTGGAGAGACAGACAGAAGGAAGAGTGGCAGACAGACATCACATTTATTAGATTGCTTTGAGGGACATCGTCTTCCCTGAATATAATTTGGAGTAATTCATCAGTTTGTATCAGTTTTTAATGTTACTGCAGTAAGTGTGAAATATTACAATTGCTTCAATCTCAGAAAAAACAACGTCTTGCTGCATTATTTATTTCCCCTCTAGCCTATGACTGACCATGTGGTTCTGAGTCTATCATTTCTGCCCTAGCTCTGTGCATAAACACTCACCTCTAGCTGGTTTATTTACGGTCGTCTCCTTTGAAACCACAGTCCCACGCCACAACAAACGATGATTCTGAGAAATCCATTCCAATTCACACGTTACTATAACAGTACACTGTTGCCATCCGATCTGACTCTTCATATTGCGTCCCCTAGGGGTTCCAAAGCTCTCCTCGTATGCAAAAGCTGAAGACAAGCTGTTCAAATACCTCTTTGGAAGTTACCAGAAATGGGTGCGTCCAGTGGCGTTCCTTAACCAGAGCATCTGTGTGAGGTTTGGACTGGCCATCTCGCAGCTCGTGGATGTGGTGAGAATAAAAATGCTCCGTTTCACAATGTAGGGTTCAAATCAGCTGTAGTGATTTTTCTTTTTCTTTTTTGTGTTGTTATGTTGCTCCAGGATGAAAAAAACCAGCTGATGACAACCAATGTGTGGATGAAACAGGTAGGCTTCAACATTTCATTGTTGAAAAAGGTCAAGGTCAAGTCTGAGACCTCACTTTAACCTTTATATAATTCAGCTTCTTCTTCTTCTTTTATTTCGGGTCTGGAGCCATTTTACTGACATACATCATCAATATGAGTGTGCCCACGCAGCAGCCTCTGTCGGCCACTCTCTCTCCTCTCCCTGTTATTCATCGTCTCCAGCGCTCTGTCTGTCATGGCTTTTATGAATTATCCAGGCTCTGTTGTTCAGGTCTCTTTCACAGTGATGGATTACATCATGAATAAAGGTGATGGAAGGGCAGCGGCCACACACTCTTGTATTCCTCCAAGATGCGTTTGGAAAAAAAGTTTGATTTATAATTACGTCTAATTTATTTTATTGTCCTTTTATTTTCATATTGACAAACCAGTACTAGACTGGTAAGTGTTTTTGTAAACTTGCTTATCGTGCATTTTTCCATCACTGTGTCATCAAATAGACGAGTCAATACAACCCAGGATTACATCACGATACGTTATCCTTATCCTCCACCAAGTGTGAATTTTTATTTGCCAATCTGTTTTTCTGTTTAAAGGAATGGACTGACATGAAACTCAGATGGAACCCTGACGACTACCTGGGCATCAGGACCATCAGAGTCCCGTCTGACAGGCTGTGGCGTCCTGACGTTGTTCTTTATGATAAGTATGTCTTTTTAATTTAAAGAAACAACTTATATATCTCTGTGTAAGAAATGTGTCCTAACAACAAAATATAACCTGACCAAAATATATTTTAATCAGCCCCAAACTGGGGAGTTTCTGTGATAATAAATCTATTTTTAAGTTTTATGTTTTCAAAATGTCTTTAAACACATTCAGGTGATTCTTTCAAGGCTAGAAATGGAAACTTTATGTAGGATTATAACTTAACAAACCAAACTTTTATATTACCCATAAGATAAAAAAAAGTAAATATAAATCTTTGGTATTTATTACTTTTCCACAAGGTGACGCTATGTTTTCATAACAAATGGTTTCTCCGGTTTCTCCAGCTCAGACGGACGTTTCGAGGGAACTGTCACCAAAGCCGTAGTGAAGTACGATGGAACTATAACCTGGACACCACCGGCCAATTACAAATCCGCCTGCACCATCGATGTCACCTTCTTCCCATTTGACCTTCAGAACTGTTCTATGAAGTTTGGCTCCTGGACCTATGATGGCTCCCAGGTGGGTCCGCACTCCACAGTTTGTGTGTGGTTCAGAGGCTTCATTAGAGACAAATATTTTTCTGGGTTTTTTACCAGGTGGACATCATTCTTGAGGACTTCCACGTTGACAAGCAGGACTATTTTGACAATGGTGAATGGGAGATAGTGAAGGCCACGGGCAGCCGTGGCGTGAGGACCGACGGCAGCTCCTCCTACCCCACCATCACCTATTTCTTCATCATCCGCAGGTTGCCTCTTTTCTACACCCTCTTCCTCATTATTCCCTGCATTGGCCTTTCCTTTCTCACTATCCTTGTCTTCTACCTGCCCTCCAACTGTGGTGAGAAGATCTCTCTGTGCACCTCAGTGCTGGTATCACTCACTGTCTTCCTGCTGGTCATTGAGGAGATCATCCCTTCCTCCTCCAAGGCTATTCCTCTTATTGGGGAGTACCTGGTGTTCACCATGATCTTTGTCACGCTCTCCATCATCATCACTGTGTTCGCCATCAACATCCATCACCGTTCCTCCTCCACTCATCACAGCATGGCACCCTGGGTTAGGAAGATATTCCTGCATCGCCTCCCCAAGCTGTTGTGCATGCGCAGCCACGTGGATCGCTACGCCACAGCAGGAGTTGTAGGAGCACTGGGATTGAGTGTGATGAAGGAGTCAGCTCCTAAACTGTTGCCTCCACCCTACACAAAAGATCACTTTCAAGCCGCCTTGGATTCTATTCGCTACATCTCCAGACATGTGGTGAAAGAAAATGAGGTCAGAGAGGTGAGGATATTATATCTCTGCAGTCTTTGGTCGTCCATGGAAACATGAAAAAATAGACACGAATGAGTGAAGTGAACGGTGAAGGGAATCAAAAGTCAGTAGTGACAGCAATGGAAGTTTGAGACTCTCTCTGCTCCAGAGGAGACATACAGTAGGGAATATTGATTCACTGCCTCAGAGGTATTTTTTTACATTTGTTTTATTCACCAAATACTTATATATAAAATATTAATACGTTAACAACACAGAAAACTTCTGTTTAGTTCAACATAGTATTAATATCCGACAGAACTTCATATTTTTGTTTTAAAACCAAGCAGCTGTCGTTCAGTGTTGAACACAGATGTTTTTATCTCTTTGACATTTGACTCTAGTCATTTCTACAGGACTTTAGTGAAGAGTTGATGGATGAGCTGAAGTGTTCAATACCTTTTTTTCAGATCTGTTTTTAGTTTTAGTTTTAGTTCTAGTTTTTCCTTAGCTTTTATTCAAAGAAGTTACTTCATGTACTACTAGTAATACTTTTTGGAAACATCTAAGTTAATCTGATTCTTCATTGAGTTTCTTTGGTCAAAGGATGTCTGAAATGATTATTTAATATTTGGTTTCTCATGAATGTGTTTGTCGTCATGTTAGAAAACACGAGGTTTTATGAAGTCACAGGTGTAACAGCAATGTTTTACAAAGAAAAGAGACAAAGAGAAGGGACGGAGACAAAACTGTTTTTCAATGTTTTTATTCTGGCCCAGGTGGTTCAGGACTGGAAGTTTGTAGCCCAGGTTTTGGATCGGATGTTTCTGTGGGCCTTCCTCCTGGTGTCCATTCTGGGATCTGCACTTCTCTTCATCCCAGTTATTTACAAGTGGGCCAGCATCATCGTACCTGATCATGCTGGAAGTTTCCTCTGAGAATCACAGATGGAAGAGGAATAACCCTGGAATTTCCTTCAAAGCACATCAGCAGTGAGTCTCCAGTCAGAGAATGGCAGTGAGAACCAGTGAAAACCAGTGAGAACTGAGATTTATTGTCAAGTCCAATGAAAAACAATACTCAGTTTATCTCATCAATTATCTAAGAAATATAAAGAATTTACATTTTCAGTATATTTTTTTTACAGGCTGGTATCACATGAGTACGGTATCCCTATGTCTGGAACAGATTTGTAAATACCAAATTATATAATTTACTCACAGTATTTAGTTTTCGTTTGTTGTGTCACCAACAGTCCTGGTTTAAAAGTATAAACATTTGTTTTCATTTGTAGTAAAGTTACATTGTCCTGTATTTTATCCCTTGGATTTTATTCACAGTATTTCCAGCTGTAAATAATATGAACACTTGGTTTGAGCTCCATTATTTGTTGTTTATTAATTCTTATTCTCACAGAACTCAAAACAAACTGATTTTTTATGACAAATGTTAAGCTGCAGAGGTCAAGGCCCCCGACCCCCTCTGTAAATGTTGAGTCTTTTCAGTTGTCATTCTCCTTAATCAAAACTTTTATGTGATGTCCAAAATAATTAATACATTAAAATGAAGAAATGTAAAATGCACTGTGTAGACACTGTAGTCCAGTATAATCACCCTGCTCTAATACACAGACATGTTGGTATTTACACACACAAGTCTTCATTTCACCAAAAAACCACAAGCCTGAAAGTACCATCTTTACAGCCAGCATGTGTGTGTGTGTGTGTGTGTGGAGACTCCAGGTTCAGGTCAGACGTCAGTGTCAGTGTCAGTGATCTGATGTCTGACACACAGGTACGAAGAAACTCTTGAATCATCGTCAGGACTAAAAGCCACCAGTAAAAGACATTTGTGCGTTTATTCCAGGAGTTAAAAAAAAAAAGATTTTCTGTCATATTCACGAATGTGGATTTATCTAGATTAATTTGTTGTTAACAGATTGAAGTTAACAACCAAATCACACATTTCACTTCAACATTTGTGTTCTGTTTTCTTTTATATTCTTCTTTTTTTCCCCTGGTTTGTTTGTTTGGACAGAAAAATGTTGGCGTTTGAATTTTCATTAATCAATCCAACAGCTCAGATGTGGTCGGAATAATTCTAGTTTTTAATTTGCACATGTCATATTCTGGACAGCGATGGACTTTATTTGTGTTTGTAATAAAAGTTGAGCCACAGACGTGGAGCAGGACAGGGAGGAACATTCTAGATGTTGTGAGAATAAAGTAGAGGGAAAGATTTTGACGTTGCATGTAGAAGACAACAACAATGTGATTTATAAAGTGTGAAACTTTTTCACAGCTGCCACTGGTCGTCACGTTCTCAAGTGTTTCAGCTGCAACACAGTTTTACTGAAAGAAGAAATAACGAAAACCTACGGAAGAGGTGACGAGTGAAAAGATGTGTGTGGTGATCGAGTTCCTGAGGAAACGGTTCTAAAAGGAGAAGTAGAAACACACACTGCATCGAGTGTGAGAAACATGAGAGTTGATGTTTGGTTTCTTTAAAAACGTTTGTTTGTTCTATATTTGATCTTTTCCCAGGATACTTGTTGTTGTTGTTGTTGTTGTTGTTGTTTCCTGCTCATTGAATATAATCCATCCTCCTCAGCTTTTGTTTTATTGTAGTTTCCTTATATGCATGGCACTGAGAATTATAAAAACCCTCTGTTGTTTAGAGCCCAATCCAAATTGCACACATAGAAATAAATAATTGAATCTCACTTCTGTGTTGCTGGATTTAATTATTGAAATGATTTCTGCTGCAGTCGTTGCTCTTTTGCCAAAAGTTTCTATGAAACATTTTTATTTAATATTTCTGGTGAAAACAGATGAGTTTGAGGTTGACTGCGTTAGTCTGTCTGTGGATCATGTTGACATGTGTTGCTTAGTACTGTGATGTACTGTAGTATTCTTCAATAAAATAAAACAAACAAACAAAAAAAAAACGGAATCACAATGAATGAAATCCTTCCTTTGGAATTCTTCTTTTTTTGAGCTGTGTTTTTAATATGATTAAAGTCTACGGTACCAGTAAAGTAGACACAAAAACATGAATATATCATTACATCAATATTAATAAAAAAAGAAAAGTCCAGATAAGGAAGAACATACAGCCAGTAACGTCATTACATTGCCCTCTACTGGAGAAATCTCATCTTGACACCTTAAATTACAAACTGCTTTTCTTTCCATTCTGCTTCGTAATATTTTGAGATCCTTTTACTACATTTTAAATAAGACATGATAAAATATGTTTTTTTTATTTTGTATTCTTTTTGAGATGCTTCCAATCCTTTAAGGTCATAAAGTTTGTCATGAGACTAAAACTTCCCTTTGCAAACGTCAGTGACCCCAACCACATCATCACGAACATTACATTCTTCAGCACAATTATACACAGTCACCATCAAAGTCAGCCAATCACGTGGTTTATTTTAACAGCAGCTCCTAGTCTGACCTGTGGTCTGGGGCTCTTTTCTGAAGTTGGCTGTAGAAATGTTCAGGGTCTGGACTGGTTTCATCATCTGTGGTTGGAAAGTGAAAAACAGTTTCTCAGGGTCTCGGCTCCGACTCAAGAACACAGACTACAAACTGATGCTATAAATGAAGCTGTGTTTTTCCTGTGCTGTGTGTCACACAGTGAAGCAACAGACTCACGTAAACAACCAAAAATAAAACCGTTGTAATTAATATTAAAAATGTAAGGTGAAATAGCTACCTGTTTTATATTGTAAAGGTTTATAGTCAAATCACACGTTGGTAGAGACCCTCGTCCTCAAGGTCATTTGACATTTGAAAAGCCAGATTATCGTCACGTCTGAAAGGATTCAAGGTGTCATTGTCACTGTGAAGCCGAACTGCATAAGTGTAAAAAAATGGAACTTCAAGTGACAGTAATTCATGGAAATAAGATATGAGTGGGATCACTGTTGCCGTACATTTTATAATAAAGGGGAACTTTCTTTCTTTTCTTTCTTTTCATGAATTACTGTCATCTTTTTTTACAGCCTAAATGTTCTTACCCCTCGTCTTCGACTGTGCTAAAAGAGTTTCCTGATAATACAAAAAACAAAACAACAGTAAATAAAGATATCTAACTAATAACTAATATCTTATATTTCTCTTTGATGTTGTGTGTTTTATCATTGTTTTAACAGTTGTTTTTATCAGGTCTGACGATAACTTCCCATATTTCCTGCATATTTTTCTCTTTTTTTTTTTTTCTCTTTTTTTTTCTCTTTTTTTCTCTTTTCTCTAAAACAAATATTTTTAACCTACTGTCTTGATCTTCTGGCTCGGCCTGCTCCTGCTCCTGCTCCCGCTCCTGCTCCCAGTCCTGCTCCTGCTCCCGCTCCGGCTCCCGCTCCTGCTCCCAGTCCTGCTCCTGCTCCCACTCCTGCTCCCGCTCCTGCTCCTGCTCCTGCTCCCGCTCCGGCTCCCGCTCCTGCTCCCAGTCCTGCTCCTGCTCTGGGTCTACAAAGTCTGTTGAGAAAAGAAAGAAAAAATTAGAAGTATACGTAAATAAATTGCATGTTGTAATTTATATATTATATATTTACAGTGTAGACAATGGAACAACCTTGTGTTAATGTTACAAACCTCACACTAATCTAATCGAATCGAATCGAATCGAATCTAATCTAATCTAATCTAATCTGATTTTATCTGATCTGATCTGATCTAATCTAATCTAATCTGATTTTATCTGATCTGATCTGATCTGATCTGATCTAATCTAATCTAATCTGATTTTATCTGATCTGATCTGATCTGATCTGATCTAATCTAATCTAATCTATTCTAATCTAATCTAATCTAATCTAATCGAATCTAATCTAATCTAATCTAATCTAATCTGATTTTATCTGATCTGATCTGATCTAATCTAATCTAATCTGATTTTATCTGATCTGATCTGATCTGATCTGATCTAATCTAATCTAATCTATTCTAATCTAATCTAATCTAATCTAATCTAATCTAATCTAATCTAATCTAATCTAATCTAATCCAATCTAATCTGGTAACTATACATTTTGCATTTTAAACATTTATAATCATTTCAGGAACTGAGGTCTGTACATTCAAATACTTTATTAAATGTTTGCACCATTCTCATATTAAACACGTTTTTCCTTTACTTTATTTACCAATATTTAGCCACTGCTTGTGAGCCATAAACCACAGACAGAGACTCAGTAACAGAAACTTGGTTGCCAATCCACAGAAGACACGAATTAGAAGACATCTACTCTCTGCAAAGCAAAATAAATACAAATCGAAATAAATAAATAAAATTGATTTTTAAGAAGAGTTTTAAAAGTATTTCCCCAAAATAGATGTAAAAAACTTACCTTTAACCTCAAGTGATACAGCTTCCTTTCCAACAATGATCTGTTCATGCTTCTCCAGGCAAACTGAAGGCAGCAGCAGACAGCTGTAGTTACCTGAATCTGTCAGCAGGGCACCTTCAAGTACAAACGTCACCATCTTAGCAGTGACATTAAAAGCTTGGACCTGAAGAATGATCTTGTTCTTCTCCAGGTAAGACTGGATGAACTGACAGTCGCCGATTGTTTGCAGAACTTTTGAAACAGTGCAGGTGAATTCAACACGATCTCCTTCAGTGACAGTCGACGGTCCGACCACTGAAATATCTGCTGGCAAGAAATGGGCTGCAGAGGGAGTAGAAATTAGTACAGAAACACACTTTGATGGTGTGTTGCACATAAAAAAGGACCTACGTATGACCATGATCTGGATGAAGTTGTGTCCTGTGACTGTGACCTGAAAAGGCTGGTACTCTGTCTCGGAGTAAACACAGCTGTAATTCCCACTGTCTTTCAACCCAATGTTGTTAACAATGAAGGTGGTGTCAAACTCATTCTGTTTCTGCCTCAGTTTTCTCACTCCACTGCCGTCTTTGCACAAATAGATATAAACACTGGAGCCTTTCTTGGAGCCGAAGGTGCTGCAGGTCATGTGAAGGTCACTGTTCTCACCTATGATTTTCTGCTGGGACAGAACTTTTGCAGAAAAAAACTCTGCAAAATGATACAGTTTGTACCATGACATTATAGAAAATTGAGCGTCTTGTTAATACACCTGACACGGTTACTCACCTTTACTTTGACCAAGTACCTGCTGTGATACGAGAGCACCTGGGAATACACACACACACACACACACATAGAGGAGATAAAAAATAAATCCAGAGTCATTATGGAGTTCAGTCAAATGATTAAATACTTACAGAAAAGAAAGATAACCGCGATCATGATGGACATCAACAACTGTGTAACCAGAAATGAAACTGATCGCACGCCCCCCAGCTTCTTTTCTAAATCCACAGAAACCCGGAAAATAAATGTACTGAAAAAAAAAAAACAACCTTCCTGTACATTCTAATTAAAACCAGCCCCAAGTAGTACTTTTTTTCTTTTTAATGTTCAGTGTGCTGTGGCTAACGTGGACTTCCTTCATCTTGTTTCAGTTATCGTTTCAATTTTGCCTCGTTACTTCTGGCTGGATCTGAAAGTTGGAGAAAATATCTGTATGTGTTTATTAATTAACAGTGTTGTTATCTGTAAAAGATGTGCTCAAAGATTAGGGTTGATTTAATTAAATACATTAATTCAATTTTCAGGCAGAGATTTGGTAACAGCTTTGTGCTCTGTGTCAGCATTCATGTGAATAGTTTAATTTAAAAAAACAGGCAGTGACATGATGACGCTGATTAGATTCTACATGCTACTAATGCTAATTTCGTGTCAGCCAGTCACATGTGTACACAAACACATCAATGCATTTTGGCAGGTAGACATTGTCAAGAAAAACTGTCCAGTTAAGCACTTATGATACAATAGTCTGTTTTTAAAGTGCATTTCTGGATAATGACCTTTTAAAACAGATGGTTTAAAAAAAAAACTCTTGACTTTGCTCCTGCACATATTTTGAATATTTTTTAAAAAAGTTACAAAATAAAATGAAAAAAGACGATTGGACAAATACATGTTTGTAATGATGATGGTAAAACTCTTTTGGACCTGTTGGCCTTAAAAACGCCAATATTTACTTCTTAAATACAAGAATCACACGGGACAACAGTGAGAGCATAGAATATTTGACAGTTATTCTGAATACTTATATTTATATCTTGGTCACCACAGCCTGTGAGTCTCCCTATGTCATGAGTGTAACAAGGGGAACCATTGTCATGCAGAGTCCGAGTTCCGGTTACTTCCAACAATTATAGACGTTATATAGACGTTATTTAGCAGTTAACACAAACGAGTGTCGCATGGTGAGTGGAAGATAGACCGGGTGAGTCTTCACGCAGTCTATGCGCTTGTTTTACGCGCAAATGAGGAACTAAAAACAAAAACAGTGACTGAAACTGTGGCGGAGCTATAGCATCATTAGGACCAGGTTCGATAACTCGTGTCCGTGTGTGTATTTCCTGGAGATTTTTTTAAACATTATGCTCAATGTTCTGGAGTTGGTTTACTGACGTATGACTGACGCATGACTGACGGGATGATTGACTGAAAACAGCATTTTTTCCAGAGAACATTTACAGTAAATGATGATGGAAGAAATTGAACAGTGTTTTGTAATCCAAAAAGTAGTGTCCACACCAAGGAGGAGTATGTTTTAACACCTTTGGTTTTTAATAACATCTTGTCATGTTTAAAAAAACCCACAATATTTACAGAAATAGAAAAAATGATTTAATTATGTACATGTTCCTGAAATTATTTAAAATTTCATATAAGAGAGAATATATACACATATATTGACAAAAAGTGACGTACACGCGTCTGTTTATTACACGAAGATTTTTGGCCACGTGGGGTCAGTGTTTGACCACTTTTTTTTCTCACAGAACGACGTAGAAATCATTTAATTCTTATGTTACGGACGTCTTATGTCCGAAATTATATTTGGTGATTGAAATTATTAAAAATATAAAATGACTGAAAGAAAAATGACTGAATATTTTGTAGTTTTACAGTTTTATGACAACCATAATGAGATCAAGGTAATCCTCAGCTTTAACTCCTATATTTAATACATTTAATCTAGCACCGTGACCGTATTCTATTCTATATTAGATTAAGATTTTAACTAGTTTACAACACAATTTAGGTTTTAGGGACAACATGTTTGATTTCACTGTGTTTTGTTCAAAGAAACATTCTATGAGTTGTATGATTTGTATAATTTAAATAACACATTTTGTGCATTGTTACAGTTTCATGTTTTCAGTTTTGTCACCAACTCAAATGTCTTCACCAACAAGCAGTGGTTGGAGGAAGAGTCCGGCTGTTCCGAGGATACACACTAGGACAAAAACCCAGAGGAAAATCCTGTCGATTACCATGGCAACATACTTCCAGTCATCCTGAACCTGCCAGGGTGATTTGGTGAAAACATTTTCAGTGTTATTATTAAAAGGTCATATCCGATAAAAGCATTTGTTTGAGGTGTTTATCACACACACTCACCTCCTTTGCTTCGTTTTGGAGCCTCATGTTCTCGGCTATGTATTTGACGCTCTCAACAGCTTCTCTGACCTCAGGGGACAAAGGCAACAGAGACAATATTCCTGCGTCCAGAGACTCAGAGCTGGAGCGTTGACTCTCCACTCCCAACCCGACGGTGCTGCTTCCACCCATCATCCCTAGACACTCAAGTCCTCCACTGCCTCCACCTGAGTCTGCGGGCAGTTTGCTGGACCTCTGTTGCCAGCTGCAGTTGCAGTGACCCTCGCCAGTCAGCAACCCAAGATTTGCATCTTTGATTGACTCTGAACTGTTGAGGTTGTTGAGGTTGGAGAGCTGTGTGTTGTTAAAAAGCCGCTGACGGTTGGTAATGCTGGACACCACGCTGGAGGCCAGCACGTGAGGTTTGAACTGTTTCTGCAGAGCATTTGCAGAATGAGCTGCATGGTGTCTGGACGTCATCATCTGAATGTTGTTTGACACGGTCACCTTCTCTGGGTCCCTCTCCGGTCTGGTCATGAACATCACCCGAGGCAGGAGCCCCAGGAACACGCTACGAACCCAGCAGGGCATGGTGTGTGTCTTTGGAGTGCGGTAGTGTACGTTCAACACAAAAACAGTGATGACAATGGACAAGGTGACAAAGATCATGGTGAACAGCAGGTACTCTCCAATCAGGGGGATCACCAGTGAGGTGGAAGGAATGGTTTCAGTGATAACAAGCAGGAAGACGGTCAAAGACAGGAGGACAGAGATGCACAGAGTGACCTTCTCACCACAGTCAGATGGCAGGTAGAAGACCAGCACTGTGAGGAAGGAGATGAGCAGACAGGGGATGATCATGTTGATGGTGTAGAAAAGCGGCAGACGGCGGATGTACAAAGAATAAGTGATATCCGTGTAGATTTCCTCACAGCAGTTGTACTTAATGTCGTGTTTGTAACCAGGAGCGTCAATAATCGTCCACTCCCCGCTTTCCCAGAAGTCCTTGAGGTTGATCGTAGATCCAATCAGCACCAGATCGATCTTTGCCTTGTCGTAAGTCCAGGAGCCGAACTTCATGGTGCAGTTTTGGTAATCGAAGGGGAAGTATGTCACGTCAATCTTGCAAGAACTCTTGAAAATGGCTGGTGGAATCCAAGTAACGTCTCCATTGTAACGTAGCAGGGCCTTAGTTTTGTCATCAACCTGAAAATCTCCAACTGCACTGAAGCACACCGAGGAAAAAAGTCAGCCATCCTTAGGTGACAGGAAATCTCCTGACTCATTTTCTATTTTTACTCTACTTACTTGTTATAAAGCACGATGTCTGGCTTCCAAATCCTGCTGGACGGCACTCGGATGAATTCAACTCCTCCAAACTCTTTTGGATTCCATCTCAGTTTATAATCATTCCAAACCTAAAAAGAAATAAAACAGTTTGATAAATAAATAAATAAATATGAATATATGTGTATATGTATGTAAATGTTATGAAAAAGAGAGTGGGTGGCCTTAAAGCAGTGTTTTTTTTTGATGGTCGGTTGTCGGTGTAAATGTCTCTGTGTGTATATCCTGTTCCAGTTCCACATGAACTGTACTGATCCTGAAGATCCTATATAATATTGTTATTTACATTGACAGACAATACGCTCTAAATTAAGTCCGTGGTGATGAGCTTCACCTAGTGGGCCCATTCTTGCAAAGACAACGTAGTTACTTCTTTTGCACTGACTTAAAATTGATCACTTTTACATGAAAAAAATGGAGAAAAGGGTTATTAAATTTACACATATTAAAAAGTGCGAATTCTCAAAGTCTAATTTCTAATAATAAAGATGACAAAAAGTCACTACTCCATCATTAAAGCCACTACATCTAATGTAAGGTGAAATAACTACAGTACTGTTGTTGTCAGGCACAGAGACAATAATAAAGCTAAAAAAAAAAGTGTTCAGCTCTGACCGTCTGTAAACAATGTTCTCCATAATAAGAGTGTTGGATGTGCTGGTTTATGGACTTTATGTCCACTTTTCTAACCATCTTCTAAGGTCAGCTGTGACTCATAGAATGACACTTTAATGCAGCCTCAGAGAGCAGTCAAATATTTACTCTGCAGTTTGAGGAGAGAAATGAGAACGAGGAGTGGAGACCATTAATCTTCAAAGGTTACAGAGACTTGTTTCATGCATTTAAAAAACATGACGTTAACAGTTCCAGCCCTACAAATACTACAAACAGTACTTATCTTGAGGACTAAAAGTACTACTTCATATGATGGCTCACTTTCTAAACCTTTGAATCAGTTCTGGGCTGTTATTATAATCTGCTCTTTACAGGGAAAATCACTCCCCCCCCCTTCTTTTTGCATCAGATCTTGTGTTTTCTTAGGTTTATCAGATGTAAATAATCCATTTATATTGGAACAAACACCCTGGTTTTCAGCAGCAAACATTGGGTCAGGCTGTCACTGTTGTGGTTAACCAAAAAACAATCCTGTGATGAAGAATTCGCCCTGGCAGAGGTCTGGATCCATATCTGTCAGTTTGTGGTATTTTAACTTACGTGTCTGAGCCAAAGATTGGTCTCCATGATCTGGTTGACCTCATCCTGAAAGAACCAGAAAATCTCTTTAATGAGAGAGTTGTCACACAAACCACCACTGACTTTAATACTGTTTGATGGTTCACATAAACACACACACACACAGATAGTAATAGAATAATCTAGGCCTCAACTACTATTTCAACAAATCCATGGTGAAGGTTCAGACTGATGGAGGTTGAACTGTTCATGTGATCATTTTGGTTTTTTTAGAAATATTTGTTTTAATTTATTGATTTAACATCATCGTTATCATCACACTGGCAGTATGTTGTTTTCATTTCTCTTTCTTGTCCTACTTTTCTTCATCTCGACCTGAACCTTTTCTTCTTCACTTTAATCAAAAGAGGAAAATTTGAAATAACGTCTTTATTTAAAGTCAAATAATAGACTGATCTGAATAATCATAGAACTACATCCATTATTTTTGAGGGGCTAGTGTAAATTGTGACGTAACACTGCCCTCTAGCTGTATTTTCATTTATAGTCTGTCATTTGCTAGAGTTAATTAAACTTTTTATTATCATTCTCTCCAGGAAAATATATCCTACAGCACATCAGAGATGTTCAGTCATTGCACCTGTAAAAACCAATAACTGAACAGAGTATTTCACTCATTTTAGCCGTCACAATCTAAATGTGTACTTTATGAGTACTTTATACATCCCATTAGACTGTAGTGTGTTGATAGAAACCTCAGCAGACTTTATCAGCTCTCAGCTACAATCAGAGTGAAGCCCAGTGACTGTTTGATGACTGTTTGATGACTGTTTGATGACGTATTGATCTTAATGAGCTCAGTGTGAACGCAGACCAAAGACAATGGTGTTTCTCTTAATGTCAGGTGTGGAGCAGAAATAACACTCATCCATCAGCACTATAGAAGCTTCCAGACTTCTACACTGAGAGAATGGGAGCACTTATCTTTATCTTTCATCTTTCTTAGATCCACTCACTCACTACTGCCCCAAGTGAGACCATTGATTGCGTACAAAAGTAAAATAAACTGATCTTTGAGGCAACAGCTCTAACAATATTATTTTGGCCAATTATTATATATTATTGTGGCTGAAATACAATAGCATGGCAAAACATTAAGGGTGGATTGAAAGACATTAAAATTAACCAAAATAATAAAAAACATTTTTTGAAACTTAAGAAAGATCAAAATATCTGTTTTTAAATTTATTTTATTATTATTTAAATATTTTTTGCTGCAGTTGTGCAGAGGAGTGTCTTATAGTTCAAAATCATATTGAAAGTATTTCAGCTTTTATCCATCAACAATGTTGTCAAATGATCAATTTCATGCTTGTTGTTGAGACACCTGACATTTTTTCAATCAATCCTGATTTCTCCTCTGGGATCCGTGGTGTTGATATCCACAGTAGATCTTAGATGTAAGAATTTAACTTACTGTAGGTAGAGAGATCAAAATATCTGTTTTTAAATTTATTTTATTATTATTTAAATATTTTTTGCTGCAGTTGTGCAGAGGAGTGTCTTATAGTTCAAAATCATATTGAAAGTATTTCAGCTTTTATCCATCAACAATGTTGTCAAATGATCAATTTCATGCTTGTTGTTGAGACACCTGACATTTTTTCAATCAATCCTGATTTCTCCTCTGGGATCCGTGGTGTTGATATCCACAGTAGATCTTAGATGTAAGAATTTAACTTACTGTAGGTAGAGACGTAAATTAACTCTCTCTCACCCCCCCACCCCCACCCCACTAACATCTGCCCTCATTGTTATTCTTCACCCTTTTACTCTGCTGCTCATGAATGATTTATTTTTAAGCCATAGATCCATACGCAGGCTAACTGTAGAGCGCAGGGTGAATCTTACTCACCACTTTGACCAACTGAGACATGGACACCTCGAACTGAACGATGACCGGGTCAGACACGTTCTCCACAGGCCGTATGTACTGGTTGTAGCTGGAGAATATGACAGAGAAGAGTCTGTGTTCTCCGTCTGAGCAGGTTCCTCCTGAGTGAGAGCAGAAGATCACACTTCCATCATTGTTTTAGGACAAGAATTTTTTTGACCCACGATGAAAAGGTCCTGCCGTTTAACTGGACTGGCCCGAGAAAAGTACATTTTAAAATACTGCATCCACCAAGGAAGATAATTTTACTGTGGCCGCTGTTCAAACATTCGTTTTTTAAATTGAATGACATTCACTGCTGAACAAACAATAAAAGAAGAAAACATTTACAAATTCATTTCAATTTAATTTATTTTAATTTATAAATTTAATGCAAAAGGTGATTAAAATAGTTATAAATGTCCCACCTGGTAGCAGACGTAGGAAGAAAAGGAAACATGTCATCTGACGGAGACGTAAACTGTGTCTCATCCTGCTTCAGTCGACCAGAGCGGAGTGAAAGGACGCAGCTGAGGGAAGACGAAAGAGAGAGTGAAGTGGGAGTCTGCTGCTGCCCAGAGAGAGAGAGGGAGAGGGAGGGGGTGGGGGTCATTGACAGCAGACACACCAATGCACCCCCCACCTCCCCACTAATGATACGAGGACAGTGTGGTCAGTGGTGTGAAAAGGTCACTTTAACATCAGTATTTATTGACATAATCCGTTTTTTCTCTGTATCTGTTTGTACTTTTAATTCCTATAAATATTAGTATTCATTAAAAACTATAAAGTAAATATATCTGTGCTTAAAAAAACCTGGGATCAAACTTAAATGTAAACACAAAGGATACTACAAATAATTGTTAATTGAAGGACGTCTACAGTAGAATTATACATTTTTTCTATCAGTATCATTAAACTTGAGTCACTGTGTAGTAACGGGTGGATAAGAATACCTGCAAGTGAAGTACTCTGGTGGTCAGCTCTGTAATATATGTGCGGTTCATTTACCTCTGTAGAACCTCTGTGTTGGCACTTTTACCCAACAGTCCTTATCGAACGACTTTACAAGTGCATGACATCACCGACACAAGATGGCAGCACTGGTCTCCAGGAGATTGTGGTTTAGTTTGGTAACTGTGTGGAGGTGAAGGGACACGATGTCGTCCATCTTTATGTTCAAACATTTTCCACTGACCTGAGAACTGTTTACACTCCACCACTTTAAATCATCATAACACATCATAACACAGTGTTTGAGTGTTTGTCTCAGTCAGTGACTCAGAGAGCAGAACTGCCTCGTCAGTTACACCTGAACTAAAACACTTCATTAATGATCCGTCAGCCATCGCTTCGCACTGTTTATTTAAAATGAATGACACAGTGAACACATGGTGAAACCTGAAGTAGTGACTGGAGCAGAGCGGGTCAAGACTTTAACAAGAGGCCGATGAACCAGCACTCCTCACTCTGCACTAATGGTCTTCCCTCGTCTGCACAAATAAGCACTTAACAGAAATCAACCACGGCTCAAATGGGAGTCAGACTAAATAATACACCTGTTACTAATTCATAAATAATTACTTTACTGACATATGATGGTGAAATGTTTTTATTCTTGGTTTATAATCAAACATCACATTTAAACATCATGTCATGGTCTTCATGGTGTTTGAACATGTACTAATTCTTTAGAATGCAGTATTTAATTAATGTTCATCTCACACGAATTATTATTTATTCAACAGGTGTTTGGATTTTATTAATTGTGTTTACACTTTTTGCTCCTGCCATACACACTTGTGCCACATTTGTGCTGCACGTGCGACAGTCTGTCGCTGCTTCTGTCTGTGAAGAACGATTGTCAGATGTTGACGTTCACTTCACTGTAATTTATCTGCTCCAATCACTCAGTGAAATCCATCACATTTGTTGCTGTTTCTTTATATGCGAGGTGTCTCTGAACTGGGCTGCTGGTTGGGAACAATCTGACTCTGGAAGAGAGGCTGCAAGAACAGACCGAGGGTTCCCACCACACACACTATCACAAAGATCCACAGGAACATCCGGTCCACCACCATGGCCACGTACTTCCAGTCTTCAATCACCTGCAAACAATTCAACACAAACCAAGTGGACTGAAAATCTTAACATCGGACACTGCAATGCCTCTATGTAACCACTTGGGGGCAGAGTATGTAACAGTGATGCTGCTCCTCGAATCTAAAACCTAATTTAAAATCCCAGCTCCGTGTCTTACGTCATGAAGTACGGTATGTCCTGTAGTTTAATGAGTTCAGAATCTGGATTGAACTGGAATACAGTTACATCTGTGTTTGGTCACAGTCACGTGACAACCAGACAACAGATAGAGGTGATGGTAAAGACTGGGAACGTGTATTGGATATATATTTGAATTCAATCCCAGTACAAACAAATCTCCATATTAATGTGAGACCTGGAATAATCTGGAATAATCTGGAATAATCTGACCCTGTCCCCTCTCTGGACGGCCTCATCTGTGGTTGCCTCCCCCTGTTTTAGTCATTTGTCACAGACAGATATTGATTTTAAAGGGTCACAGCCACTACTTAAAGTGAGTGGTTTTACATGCAGCACCTGTGAGGTCACACACTGTGGAGTCAATACAAACAAGTGTCCACCTGGGTGGACATGTGACTTCAATGAAGGGATGATTGATGCTGTGATTATTATATAGTTATTGTTGTATGGTTATTATTATAGTTATTATTATATAGTTAATATTATATTAGCTGAGTTCAACGTTAAATACTCAAAGATATGTGATGTGTTTCAGAAATTAAGAACTTTTTTTTAATCTTTTCAGTGAGTTTAGTCATGTGACGTTGATGCTCCAGTCTCAGGAGAGGGATTGATATTTTTATATTATGGTCTGGAGGATGAAGCTGGCCACAGCCAGAGGTCACAGCCAGAGGTCACAGCCAGAGGTCACCTGGGAACAGTCAGGCTTCACTACACAACAAACTGGCTGGTGTGTAGTTCAATGTTGACATTTTATTCCATGAGCTGTTCAAATGTGATAGATTTTTTTTTTCTTTTTGTGAGATTCGAGCAGGACTCTGTGCTCTTGCCTTATAGCAAAAAATGTCACAGGTTCAAACCCTGCAGTAACTGACTGAAGCATTAACACAGTTCAGTAAAGAGCAGTGGGTCAGATTCTAATTGAATGATTACAAAAGTCTCGTTATGTAGGACAATTAAAAAAACAGCATGTAAATTAGACTTGCTTAGTGGTTAAATTATTAATTACAACTGTAAAACTGTTGTAGCTCAGCTTCTTTTTTAGCAGCTTCAGTGAAAAACAACAGCTGTGAAGAGTGTGAAGAGGCTGAGCTGAGTTGAACATTTTTACTATTTGTTCAGATTCCAGATGAAAGAAAGATTAAATGTAAAACCATTAAAACCAGCGTTATGATGCTACATTTGTTAGCACTGGTACTTTAGGGATATTCTTCCTAACGCTAAAATTCTTAACCCCCCCCCAAACAACTCAACTTAATAATAATGTTTATAATAATATAAATGATTTAAATGAGTTTCCATTAAAACCTGCTCATTTCATCAGTAACTATTTCCCCGACAGTGTTTATACATACACTCTGGTCTCCGTCGTCTCCCATCATGTGCTCGGCCACAAACCGGACTCCGTTCACAGCCTCTTGGACGTCGGCAGCCCAGTGTGTGGGGCTCCGAGGGTGGAGGTCTTTGGTGGAGGTGAGACCAGTGTGAAGGTCGTCTGTAGAACGCGGCTCCTCGTTCCTCCTGAAGTGACTGTGACTCATTAAAGGAGCTGTGTTTTTGTGGCCTGGCGTGGAGAAGGCAGAATCAGCGGTGAGCAGAGCAGAAGACGAGGTGTTGATGCCTATTCTGGAGGTCAGTGGGTGGCCTAAACCTAAACTGGTTCTTCCTGCACGTAGACAACGCTGATGTCGAAGCTGCTGACGAGAAGAGTTATTGTGAGGGCGTCTCATGAAGAGTAAGGCCGGCAATTTGACCAGAAATATCAGCTTGACCCAGGGCGGCATGGTGTGGGTGCTGGGAGAGCGGTGGTGCACATTGAGCACACACACACTGGTGATGATGGAGAAGGTAACCAGCACCATGGTAAACATCAGGTACTTGCCAATTAATGGTACGTCCAGTGAAGTTGGAGGAACAATCTTGGAGATCAAAAGCAGAAACACAGTGAGAGCCAGAAGGACGGAGATGCAGAGAGTCATCTTCTCTCCACAGTCTGAAGGCAGGTAGAAGACCAGGATGGCCAGAGAGGTGATCAGGACACAGGGAATAATGAGGTTGATGGTGTAGAACAGGGGCTTCCTCTTGATGATGAAGTCATAGGTCAGATCCACGTAGGTGGGATCCACTGGGCTCACAGTTCGTCTGCCTGGAAGAGCCAGAATATCCCACTCACCACTGGGGGTGAAGTCATCCATGCTGGCCGCCTCCGTTTTTAAGATCAGGTCTATCTCAGTGTGGTCGTATGTCCAGGAGCGGAACTTCAGGGTGCAGTTCTGCTGGTCGAAGGGAAAGTGTTTGACCTCGATCTTACAGGCGCTTTTGTAGATGGCTGGAGGAAGCCAGTTGATGGAACCGTTGAAGAGAACGATGACGTTGGTGAAGACGGTCACTTCGTACGTACCATCAGCACTGACAAAGATAAGACAAAGATGAACGACCTGTCCTATCAACTGTCTGAGGTCATCAGTAGTTCAAAGAAGGTCAGGAAGGTCAGGAAGGTCAGAAAAACCAGGAAGGTCAGGCTAAAAGTCAAAGACTTGTTCAGGTTCTTTACATTTGTTTTTAAGGCAGTAATTCCAGGTTTATAGAACAGACTGTTGTTTATCACCCCGCCCCACACCAACACATTCACAACTAGTACTTCTAGTACTTCTAGTACTTTATTTCTACCAAACTGCTATTCTGTTCAGCAACAGTTTAATTTCCCCACACAGAAAGAAAATAGTTCAAATTAATTTGCCTTACTCTTCTCCTTAGGGGACACGCCCTTCACATTGGGAACCACTGGCATAATGTTAGACCGTTTTGCTCAAAAAACTAAAAAACATATTTAAAGACTTTTTTTTACATAAAAACCAAAGGTGATGCTCACTTGTTGTAGAGGACGATATCCGGCAGCCAGACGTGTCTGGATGGAATACGGAGTTTGTCAATGCCTTCGTACTGTGCTGGGTCCCAGGATAATCTGTAATCCACCCAGTGCTGTGGACATAAAGAGGAACCAGGCTAAAAGTCCGACATCAACTGATTTCTAATTACGTTCTTCATTATGGAGTTCTATTAGTGTACAACTACAGACACCATGGCAACAGGGAGGACTGCTGTTCAGGAGAAGACAAACATGATATAGAACAGACTCACCTGTGTCAGCCAGACGTTTGTGGTCATGATCTGTTCTCTCTCATTCTGAAAATGAAAAGAAACACACAGCCTTGATTTCACTTCACAAACCCATCCACACACACACACACACACACACACACACTATAGATATTACAGCTGTGTCCACTGTAGGTTAAAGCATAAATGTTCTCCACTGGATTTACATTTGTTGTAGCATCGAGGATTATAACATCATGATTATTTATTTATTATTGCACAGTTTCACTGTTATTGTAAAAGTGCAGTATTTCTACCTATCTCTGGTCTGTCACACTCTCTTCTCATGTTACTTGTTCTATATCAACATGTTCTATAGCACAGTCAACACACTGTCTGTGACTAAATACTGACACCGTGGCCAAATGCCAATCACCTACAGGGTTACAACACACAAGCTGATACTGTCAATGTGCTGCTTCATCCTGCGGCTAGGGGGAGCCACTACTGTAAATCTGACTTATCCTCCGTCACTTAGTAAAACAGATTTATGGTCTCGTTTAAGACAATGTGCTGAAGTTTGACCATGTCAGAGGAGGACGTTGACCTCTGACCTCTGACCTCTGACCTCTGGTTGTTCTTACCACACTAATGAGCTGTGCCAGAGACACCTGCAGCTTCACCGTCACTCTCTCTGTCCTGTTGACGGCCGGTCGGATGAGCGGATTGTACCGTTCTTTTCCCAACAACCAGTTCATGAGGCGCTCCTCTGAGTCAGCACTGCTGCCACCTGGTGACACAGTGTTGAACACACACACTAGGAGTTCAGGGTTAGTGTGACGATTGACGATTATAATGTGTGTGTGTGTGTGTGTGTGTCAGTGCAGCTTTCCCACTTCATTGATTGCAAACTGGGGTTAATGGTGTTGAGACAGACATTGGTACTGTGAAGGTGAAGAGGTCACTGCCCCCCCCCCCCCGTTCAATATAACCTGAGATTATAATGAAGTTGTTCAAAACTGTAAAAGTTTACATGGTGTTTCTCATTATTCCTTCACTTCTGATGTCATGACATTTGGTTTTAATAATAAAAATAATTATTTTTATTAAATAACTTACTTTATAGTTCATATACGTGGAGCACAGTTTTACTTCACTGTTTTTTAATGCTGACTTTACTCCATACATTAAACTTCTATGTATGTTTCTGTCTTACACTAAGTCATATTTGCCCAGTGACACTAAATACTTACTTTGTAAACTGTAGTATTATGAGAATCTGTTGTATTTGTCAGAAAACCATGATGTAAAAGTCTGTCTGTCTGCTCTCCTGTCTGTTTCTCTGGGCTTCATTAGTTTCATCACACTCACCTGTCATTACCTGTGCGTTAGTCTCACTGGTCTCACCTGGTCTCACCTGGTATAAATACACCCCCCCCTCCCAGTCTTTCTCAGGTCAGTGTTGTCTGTTGTTGTTCCTACGTCATTGAGATCATCTGTTCTGTGATTTTATACTACAATAATATTACAGTACTAGAATACTACAGTACTAGAATACTACATTACCTTTCTGATTTCACTGGTTCTCAACATTGAGATATTGTTTCCAACAACACTGTCCAGAAAGATAGACAAATGGAAAGACAAATGGAAAGGAGCAAAAATGTTTGCAATTCTGGTTCATGGAATGGAGGCCAGATTTGGTGGTAATTCATTTAATTTCTATTATATTTAAATGAATATATATATATATATATATATATAGTCAACTTGACCTTCAATTTCAACATGGTACAGAAACATACATATATACCGTATATATGTATATATATATGTGTGTGTGTGTGTCTGTGTTTGGAGCGTTTTCAGTACATGACGTCTTTTACTATTATTAGCGAGTGTACCAACTTCTCTGGGCTGTGACATCCAAAATACAAATGTTTCATATTTCAGAATGCTGTTTTGTAAGTTTACATTGAAATCGTCTTTTTTTTTTTTTTACTGTTCAATGTTTTCACCCTTATCTTCTAATATTCATTCATATCTATGGTTTTTAAAGCAGTGACTGTAAAAACCCCTGACTCTCAGTGAAGTGAGGCGCTAACGTTCCACTTTGAGACAAAGAAAAAATGTTCTTCTCAGCCCTGAAACGGATTATTCTGAATAAATTCAAGGCAGAATCAACTGATTTAAAGCCAGAGAGCAGCGAATAGATACAAAGAAAGATCCACTCACACTGAGCCATGGAGAAGAAGTAAACGAGGATGGACAGAACCCGACTCATTTTTCTGGAACCATCTGCTCCGCAGCAGTTCAACTCGAACATACCGAACTGTGGGAGCTCAGAGTCTGAACACTTGGCCAGTAAAGTGTTCCAGCATCACTGCTCTGTCCCAGAGAAATCCGCTGCATGAAAAACATCGAACCTCTTTCCTGGGACAGCGCGCAGTGAATGAGCAGCCGTGGCGCACAGTTCTCCGCGTCCTCATGCAAAGTCCTGCGTCCAGGACCTGCGTCCAGGACCTGCGTCCAGCCTCTGATCAGTGACTGGGAGTTCACCACAGCAGCTCAGTGCTGGATGGATGGATTCAGTAATGGTGGCTCAGCCGCTTGTGTTTCCCACAAGGAAACAAACAGATTAATGCATATTTTAAAAGGGCATTTTTCTGCCTGATTGATTTGGCTCTGAATATGAAAGGAGTGACGTCACCGCAGTGATGGGTGTTGAAACTTTTCATAACTATGTTTTAATTTTCCTACTTAAGGCAAACTGCTGCCTGAGGAAGGAAATGCTTTTTTTTTGTTTTTGTTTTTGTATGCTGCTCCAACATCCATGTTTTTGTGTCCCTGTGATACCCGTCCCTGACTGGTCTCTGTCCCAGTTGCTGAGGCTGCATCAGTACACTGTACAGTGACTCCTTAAACCAAATAATGTTCTATCCATTCAAACAGTAGCATTTAGGAATATTAATGACATTTTCTAACGGTTCAACCTCTACATGTTTTTAATTCTGAACATAAAGGTGTCAGATATTTCCTCTGACCTTTGTTCCAGTCCACATCCACGTTCTCAACAGGATCTAATTCTTGACCTCCAGCAGACATTTTCCAGCTGCTGGGGGGAGGGGGGTGCACACATGAGAGGACAATAAATCTTTCCTGGGTCATGTGTGCAGTCAGAGTAGCAGCAGTGTAATCTAAGAGGAGCAGATTTACAGTCACTTCACTGTTTAAAGGTTCATTATAATGAGCAGTAACAGCAGTGTGTCAGACCAAGGACCATTAAGTTCAGGTCAAAACCAGACTCTTTTGGTCAAATGTTGACTTATTTATCATCAAGTTTAGGTGTGGGTTTTTATGGACATTTTTGTTAAATAATAAAAAAATCTAAATCAATTGCAATCCCATAAATCACTGTGCTGAAGTGTGTGTTTCTTCTTTATTGCCAACTGCTAAAATTTGCATTTGGATCAATTTATTGAAAAGGTGTCAAAGCCTGGACATCTGTGTTAAAATGGACATCGACAATCAATGGTCAAATATTTTAGTTATCTGTGAAAACATTGTTTCTTAACAAATACTGTCCATCTTGTTTCCCAATAAATGAAAATAAACATTTTGCAGACCCTAGACTTAGCAAAGAAAACAGGCCATTTTCACAGAGGTAAACAACATAATGTTGTTTGGATAAATTTCTCCATATGTCGTTGCACATAATCTCACACCGAATACGTGATTGGACCAAAGCTTCATTAATCAAGAAGAACTTTATTTACCGAAGTATAAACAGGTTTATTTAATGAAGGGAAATTGATGCCAATGTCTTCAGGCATTTAACCTGCTTGATTTTATACAGTTAAAATCTCAATAAAATTTGATTTATTTTTAATTAGAAGAAGAGTGATCAAACAATAAGAGCTGAGTAATTAAATGAAAATATACTTGTTGCCATAGTTACGCCGACATGGCAGCTTTGACAGTTAACTTGTTGATGCACCGTCGGATGTAAAAAGCACGAGTGTGAGACGTTTTCCTGTGTGGCAGGAGGAGAAATGGCTAATCAAAGAATTGCTGTTGTTGCAGTACCATGTTGCACAACCACAATCCTGTTCTGTGAGGCAAATATATCAAGTGGGCAGTTCATTACCTGGAGTGCTTGGCTTGAGTACCAGTGTGTCTCAGCCTCGTGTGAAAAGTATTGATTACCAACCACACACTTCCTGTACAGTGATCAACCACTCTCATTGGTCAGTTGGTCAGTTAGTTGAATATTAATTCTTATTATCAGAAATCCTACATGTTGATTTGAATGAATGTGAAACCCTGTCTGCAGTATGTTTTCCTGTAAACACTGAGGTGTGAGGCCTTACATTAGAGTTGACAGGTGACCTGTGTTCAGCTGTGGTTTGTGTCTGAGTCACTGACAGTGTGAGCAGGTTCTCTGTAGTACACACACACACCCTGGTTTCTATATTTAATTAAAGGTAAAGTACTGCATACATTTGTAAATATTTAGTAAAACAACACAATTGTCTTCAATTCTTCCCTCTCCACTAAAAGGGAAAAGAAATTCACTGTTCCAGATATTAGACTTTACTACAAGGTCAGCAGAAGACTTTATCTCAGAGTTCCAGATCTCTGTTAGGTCAGACAGGCGGTCAGCAGTAGATGGTCTGTGGACAAGACAGATTAGATGTACTCTGTGTCTCAGTGACGGACCGAAAGGTTAAATCACTCCTGAGATCCTGAGTGTCCAAACCTCCTACAGCAGGAGCGATGGAGATGAATGGAGTTGTGTGAAGACGTTAATATGACCTCCTGAAAGTGCTCCACAGCCGAGCGAGGGCCATAAACCTCACCTGTCTGGATGGATTGGTCTGAGCCGTCGTCTGATTTCCTGTTTTAGTCTGAGCTCTGATTTAGAGGCGGCCTTCAGCTAATGTCGAGGGTCAAGGATCTAATCAGAGCTTTTCACCAGTGGAGTCTATGAATGAGTGAAGCAGAGCTGACTCAGACGGTGGACACTCCAGGGATGACATACAGTGTTGTTGGGAAGAACATACTCCTGTTTCTCCAACAGGGTTCCTTGTTTTCCTGCTTATCCACATAAATCGAATAAGGACTAAAATACACTCTGAAATGAAGACATTGTTTATGAAAAGCCATGAGTAAAACTCCAGTTTATCTACAGCCTAAACACAAGATAAACAGTTTGAACAAATCAAATAAACATGACATGTCATCCTGTATTTATCCCTAGATCATAGATATAGATCAGCTTGTACCTTTACAGATACATTATATACAGCAATTGATTACTTCTAAAACTGTGTCTTTCAGCGATTTCCTACAAATGTCTTCTTCTTCGTGGTGCAGAGCGATATGATTATGATGAAACTCCAGAGGTGTTGGACCTTTGCAGCTATAACCGTCCTCATGGGACTCATGGAGTAAGAGCAGTGAGGTCCAATCAATGATTGATGCTGGACGTGGAAATGACCACCTGGACTGGACCAGGAGTTTTATTACAACCCTCGACCCAGAGGGACCATTCATCTAGACTTGGTCCATGATGGAAGAACCTCAGATTATCAGACTACAGGGGTTTGAGTTTAGAAAAACCAAAATGGCAGCATGTGCTTGTGTCAGAGATGTTCCTCCTACAGTGGCTTGAAACATGAGGATGATGTTCTGTAATCATGGAGAGACTTGGAGTTCTGTTCATGTTGTCTTCAGTGGGCCTTCATGAAATGGTGTTTCTAGCACATCAATCTGGAAAAGGATTTTATGGCAGGCCCACAGAGAGTGAAAGAGAGAGAGAGAGAGAGAGAGAGAGCACATAGTATCTGTCAGTCGTGGTCGACCATGGTGGACTAGTACAGACCTGGTCACTGATGAGTTTTAAATCCCTGTGTTTGTAATACTAGATGTGGCTCTATTGGTTTTTATTGGTTCAATGTTGTACATTTGTCCCTGATTATGTTGCTGTGATTGAATTCTGAGGCTGTTTGACCAACTCTCCAAGGAGAAACATGGAGAGAATAAACACCGTGTGTCATGTGTTTGGTTCTTCAGAGACCACAGCTGGTTGGACGTCACAGAGATCTGGTTCCAGGTTCAGACGGTTCAGAAGTGATTGATTTGCAGCATGTCTGTCTGGACTGGCTGTTCATGAAAGCAGGTGCAGATTAGCTGAAATCAAAGACCATCAGACCAAAGGTCTCCTACTAAACTGTTCACCTCATCCAGCAAATTAATAAATGACTGAAATTAATTAAATTTACCGTGCCCTCCCTGTGTTAGCTCTGCGCCCCATAGATTGGACCTACCTCCCCCTTTTGGACCAACTGTGTTAAATAAAGTTCAGTTTAAACCATTTGTCTGTAAAATAAAAGTTCCAAACAGAAGATTTAACTGTATTTCCGTGAACAAATCAAAGTTTCTGACAAAGTTTTGCAGGTTGTGGA